AGCCATCGGGTCACCACCTGGGTGGGGGGACTGCGTACACACGTATACTCAGGAATGCTCGTTAAAAGAGTACTTCTTTTCTCCTCCAAAACACTAAGCTATGAGCACAGTTGTTCTCTTTCCAGAAAGCAGTGCTCACAAAGTATTTTGGTGAGAGAACTCAGAATGAGCTCACACATACTTCACAGGCTCTTCTATGAGGAAGAGGTCAAAACAACCAAAGGCGGCTGTTATGTACCAGAAAAATATTTTCTATATCATAATCCCAAACTTCCTGCCCCAGTAATTCCAATTAGGCTACGGAATTACTTTCTGATTGTCAGTTTATTCTAAATATTATCAATCTCTGCTGACAAGTTAACCTATAACAGGAAATTCAACAGACAGTATAGTTCATATTACATTATCTTTATTAGATATATTTAGTCCTAACCAAGGTTTAAATAAATCCCAGTGACTCAGAGTCCACACAGTTGGTATGGCTGATTTGGTTTATACATTTTGTTACTCTAAGTGGAAAGGAAAGTTACAGATAATTGATTTGTGTTCCTTGAATTTTTGCTGAAATCTTGATCATGAAAATTACTAACTTTTCAATTGAAGAGCAGAATAAAAATGAACAAAAATAAAATATAAATCTAGATGTGTTTGAAGGTTATAATCCTGACCTTTATCCCATGTCACAGACATGGGTTAGAAATTTCCATTTTTTTCCACTAAGCAACCTCCTTAAGGACTCATCGCTGCACAAAACTAAGCTTTAAAAATATCTCCAGCTCTTTTAAAACATAAATAATCATAATTTATTTCTATAATAAGCAAATAATCTAGTGATACTGATACAGATCTCAAATGCTACAAGAAGAAATAAAATATAACATAATGAATTGTAATCAGTGGTCCATCTTCTAAATCTACTTGTGATTTTAACATATTCTATCCTGTTGCCTTATAAACTTTATTAGGAACCCCCGGAGACAGGGCAAGACACTGTAGGAATATGTTTGATATATAGTTGGATTAAATAACAACCTAATATATCAAACATATCACACAGAGGCCTGCAGAAAAGGCATCCAGGTTTGACTGAGCTCGAGAACAGGCACAGTATTGAAGGTTACAGCTGCAGGGGGTGGTCACCACTGCAGCAACTCCGATACCTGTCTTTGGAGCACAGGTCTGTCTGCAGGTGTGGAAACGGCGCCAGTAGCAATATTGTCAGCACATGCACCAGCGCTCACTGACTTTCTCATTTTGCCATTATACCGTTTTCCCAAGTGAACAGTGGATTCAATAGTGCATGTCTGGGAGACCCTGGGTAAAAAAAGATGCTTAAATTTTAAGGGCCCGTGGTGGAAAGATACCAGAATCATTGTCATAGACCTTTTATAACAGGCAACCTGAGAATGTGGTGAGCAGAGCAATTTAAACAAAACCATCACCCCTCCCCAAAACTATTTCTTAAAGCAGTGCGAATGCTCCCCAGGTACAGAAGGAAGACATACTCATTTTACATGGAGGGCACGTGTGTGCAAGGGAGCAGAGTTGTAGGGAGAGGGACGTAACAGCAATTGTTTATTTCAGTATCTTGAGGTTTTTTTTTTTTTTTTTTAAGGTTATGGGAGAGGATTGAGAGAAGCAATTTACCTCAAAAGACTGGATAATTTTGGCGTCAGATTGTTGTTGCTGTTGTTTTTTAACTGGGGAAATAAATTCCTTTATAAAAAGGCAAGGAAGATATTTTATTTCATGCAGAAATTATCAAAAAGTGGATTCCCCTCCTAGACAGGCACAAAAGCTATGGTTTGGGTTGATGGTTTCTTCAAACCATATTATTTATTTTAGATAAATAATATCCATGTGGCAGAAGCCTCTGGTCATCAGGCAGAGAGAGACTTCAGACCATTTATAAAGTGTTCTAGAAGTTGCAAGCACCCTTCCCAAAATGATGGGAGAGACCTAGGGTAGGTACCCGCAAGGAAAGGACTCAAATCACCATTTATGTTAACTTTGACCTTAACTGAAGGGTTCCTCAGCTTCCCTGTAAACATTCTCACTGTAAACACAAAGGCTAGATGATCCCACAGTAGCGTTGGGAGTCCTCACTGGCCCACTCCAGCAGTCATCATTAATTTGTAAAGGGCTGTTATTTTTTTATTTATTTTTTTTGAGACAGAGTTTCACTCTGTTGCCCTGGCTAGAGTGAGTGCCGTGGCGTCAGCCTAGCTCACAGCAACCTCACACTCCTGGGCTCAAGCGATCCTTCTGCCTCAGCCTCCCGAGTAGCTGGGACTACAGGCATGTGCCACCATGCCTGGCTAGTTTTTTCTATATATATTTTTAGTTGTCCGATTAATTTCTTTCTATTTTTTAAGTAGAGACGGGGTCTCGCTCTTGCTCAGGCTGGTCTCGAACTCCTGACCTTGAGCAATCCACCCGCCTCGGCCTCCCAGAGTGCTAGGATTACAGGCGTGAGCCACCGCGCCCGGCCCGAGGGCTGTTATTTTTAAAACATTATTTTATAAATAAAACACAGACCCTGCCATCATCCCAATTCCATCATCATTCTTGTACATTCCCTACTTATCTTTTTCATATGCAAGTATGTTTACAGACTTGTAATCACAATGAGTACATAATTCTGCATCCTGTTTCCCGCCCCTGCCCCTTTACATCATACCATGAGCATCTTCTTCATGCTGCACAGTCCTAGCAACCATTATTTTTAATAGCTGCACGATATTCCTTCAAGGGGACGCTTAGGTCACATCCAACTGCTCACCACTGCTCATACAAACAAGGCCGCAAGGAGCAACCCTCTCACACGCACACAACTTTCCTCCCCTCTTGGATTTCCCCCTCCGGACACATTCCCAGAGGTGGGATTAATGGCTCAAAGGGCACACGCAGACCACAGATGGCTCCTGTGGGACTAGGCCAGCCTTCTCTGACAATGGGGGGCAAAAGGGGACTGGTTGGGACTGAAACTCCACCCAGAGCCCGCATGCATCCCTCTCGGCTCAGTCATGGTGACTGACTCTGGCAGGTAATTGGCCTCTTGGTGCCTCTGATTCTGATGGACTTTTTGCAAGGATCAGATGAGTTAATCCAGGTAAAGTATATAGAAGACTGCCTGGCATATGCTTATCACTGTATCACTGTGAGCTTTTTGTTTTTCTTTTCTTAGGGGTCTATGGAATAACTATTATTTCAGGCATTTTCCTAGGATAAAAGTCCCAGAAGCATGTTTTTGGTCATGATGATGACAATAATGGTGATACAGGTACCATTTATTGAGTCTCACGGTATGTCAGGCACTGTGCTCTTACAATACCTTACTTAATTGTTCTGACAGTCCTATGGGGCAGAAACACTAATGATTTTGTTTTTCCAGTCAAGACTCATGAAGTAAATAAATGAGTGGACAGAGGGACACCAGGACTCAGAGACAGAGGAGAGCTCAGAAGGACTCTGCAGAAAGACAAAGGGAAGGGGCTGGAATGGGGGCCCTCAAGTGCTAATGTTCACTTAGCACCAGGCTAATTTTCTAGGAGAATGGAAGTGTCAACTGACATGGCTTTGGCATTGGCAGACAGAAACTTTCCCAAGAGAGGCCACTTGTGATCAATCAGACAAGGAACAAATTATGCACCAAACCTCTAAATCTTAGCCACTGGTTGATTCTTGCATTTAAAGTCCATTTTTCATTCACAATTAACTGATCAACAAAGAAGAAACAAAGACATAACCAGAAAATGGAGTTGTCTCTACAACCAGACTTAGCTCTTAAGTTTGTAAGAAAAACACTGACAATATCAGGCAGCCCAAGATTCTCAGGTTAGAGGCCAGTGGGGAGAACTCCGGTAAACTCCCAAATCAGAGGCCAAAACTCTTAAATTATATCTTGATGAGAAACTGTTTAGATGCCTTTACCAAGTCTAGAGTGACTATTAGGAGATTGGTTCTAAGAACTCAAAGGTTTGAAGAGTGTTCCCAAGCGTGACAGACAACTTATGTGCTTGTGTCTGTCTATTTCACATGTGGCACTGGCCCAGGCACTGCTTTTGGGCCGTAGGGCATATTTCAGTGCTTGGACTCCATTCTTTCATCTTACAAAAAAAGGTAGAAACGTAGGCACACCTAAACTGGGGGGTGGGAATCCAATTTTTTTTTTTTTTTAGAGGAAGGGCCAGGAAATCTTTCCTAATACATTTGGGTCCTTGGAAAGGAGGTGAGTTACAGGTGCTACCAGGGACTTGCTTGAACAGGAAGAAAAAGAGGCCACCTCTGGTTCCACCGCCTTCCTGTTGAAGATAAAGCCATGGAAGGTGGAACAGGGGGTTACAGCTTCTTAACAGGGCTGGGGGCTTTGCCCGTGGAGACAGCACTAACTTGACATCCTTTTGTTTAGAGAGTGTCTTCCCTACTGCCCAATCTAAAAGTATCTCTTTCCTTTAAACGGTTATTTCTCTTAACATATACTCATGATCTTTAATTTTAAGCATTTATCTAGATGGCAAATGCAGATCAAAAAACACACCAGCCAGCCAGTCTCCATCAGACACTGAAAAAGCCTTTAAACAGATGCATTTCTGAGGTTCACAATGCCCTCTGTTGATTCCCAGCATTGCTATTTCTCTCTAAAAAGCATAATGGGAACCAGAAAACTGGAGGCTGACAATCTCACATCCAGTAACAGGAACTTTCGACAGGAAGCATCCAACACCTGCTTTATATAATAGAACTAAATCAAGACTGTAACTGCCCCAGTTCTTCCTCTGGACACCCAGAGGGATTTTCTGGGTGGTTAACTTGGAAGACTCGCCCGCTGATTTTGCCCATACTCTGTAAAAAGGTGCTGGGCAGGGAGAGCAGGTTTGCTGCTTGTTAGTCTGACTGGGGGAAGGAGACAGGCTCCCCACAGCACGCCCAGCTCCCTTCACAGCCACCTGCCGCAAGACCTAGTGACGTCAGACAAGTGGCCACAAATGAACACTCACTTTTGGTTTCGCTCTTGGCTTCAGTTGCTCTAACTTCTTAGCGGCAGCCTCAATGGAGGCCGCAGCCCCCAGTAATTCTGTTTCTGCAATGACGGTTGGGTCTTCTGGATCCACCCACTCCGTTCCTAAAATCAGTCCAAAAGAAGGTCACTGTTGGTAGCTGCAGACCTCAGGGGCACTGGCTTAATCATAAACAATATCTGGACCTGTATACAGGGGGCTCCCGTGAGCCTACTGCCTGCCTTGTCCCAAGGGACCTTCTCTCTAGCTCTCACAAAGGCCACCTGGATGTGGGGGCTGGGGAGCCAATGCTGGTTGTCTAAATCAGCTGTGTGTCTAGTCCCACCACAGGAGCAGTCAGCAGCAGCTTCAAAAACGAAGATCTCATGGACCAAGGCTTGAGCCTTACTCTGACTTTGAATTTAAAGCTCATGAATATAAGTAAGTGTCCTTAGGAGACTCTAGACCGCATAGAGATTTGTCATTCTCTTCTCCCAGAACACTTGAGAAAAGGCTACCCGCCTCAATTCAAAGGAAAGGAAACCGGTGAGAAAAACATTTCCCTGGTGAGTTGGCTGCTTCTATGCAAGCACAAAGGATGTGCAGACAACATACACAGCACTATTTTCTAAATATGAAAGTAGTGTTAATATTTGCATATGAGTAAGTATCCTGATGAATGAAAATGGAGATAAAAATAAATGGGGAGACTCCTAAGGGAAGTGAGCAGTTCTAGATGGATGGCACCATTTAAGTAGAAGAACTTAATACAAACACTAGAGAAAAGATTTGCTTTGGGGAGGATGAGACTTTTAAAATCTAACTTATACCCATTTGCTTTAAGAAAGTACCCCACTGTACTCCTCCTGGCTGCATTTGCCAGCAAAGGGCCCGTGCTGGCTGTGCTTGTCCTCTGCTCAGCTTATCATATCAGCACTGCTTCAGAGGGGTGCCCTGCACGATGACGTGAAGATACGAGAGAATCTAACCTACCTTTCATGGCTTCCGCGGCCTGAATGAGCTCAGTCACAGCGCCAGCGACTCGCTTGGAAAAAGCTGCCAGTTGATGCTTGAGTTCTGGGGTTGGTTTCTGAAGAACCTATGGGTGAAGAACAAGTCGAACACATAAGGAGGTAGAACCGCTGTACCGGGAAGCACACAATTCCTGGTATGCGTGGAGTCAGACAGCCTGGTTTTGAGTTGCAGCTCTGTCCCAAAGTGACTTCAGACTCTTAGAGAAAAACATTTAGGACTCACTGGCTTCAGTTTCATCTCACATGACAAATGAAAAGTTGGGAACCAGGAGAACCTCTAAGGTCCCTTCTGACACAGCTCCCAAAGATCACAAAGGAGATGAAGTCCTTTATGTGGACCTTCATGTGTCCTTTATTTGTACACAAAACAAACACATGCACATGAAAATTACCCGAAGTGTAAGAACACTCTGAGTGAACAAAAAGCCCCATGCTCTGAGCCAGCTGGGGCATGGGACAAAACAAACGCAGGACCAGAGGAAAGGTACCACTCAGGTCTTGGAGACAAGACCCCAAGTAAGCAACAAATAACTGATCAGGAAGTTGTTTCTGAAAAAAACAATACATTTCCAGGTTTTGACCTTAAGCTCTCCTGGGACAAGTCTGAAGGATTTGCCCTCTTTTGAACTAGTTCAAAGGTTTTTAAAATTGGGTTTTGCCTTTTGTTTTTTATGGAATTAAAAAAGGTATTAGAAATCCCAAATACCAATCCAACTTAAAGGACATCCCCAGCTGATTTCTTCTCAAATTCATCCAAGAATGGAACTAAGAAATAGGATGGGAGCAGAGCGCCTCACCACCTTCCACCATAGATTTAAATTCTGATGTACACCATCCTTTTACTTCCTAATTTTGAAATTGCTCTTCCAACACTCTTCCCCATGTTTCACAATGGTAATCTTCAGATTTAGAAGTGCTCAGTCAGGAGAAAAGTACAACCGCCGTCTGTCCCTGCACAATCTTGGCGCCTCTGAACAGGGGACCAAGCTTTGGGATTGGACAAACCTGTGTTCAAACCTGGCTTCATCTGCTGCTGGATCATGAACCTGTTTCCTCATCTGCAAAAGTGGGATAAAAGCTGGATAATGTCTATCCCTCAGGGCCAGCATGAAGACTAAATGAAGTAGCACATGGGTAGCATCTCATATGATGCCTGGAACACAGCAGGCATTCGTTAAATGTTAATTCCCTTTTTGGTGCCCATATCCTTTGTCACCTGGCCAGGTAGTACAGTCTTTCTCAGGAGTCTGGAAAAGGTGGCTTTCAGACTCCAGCCTAACCCTCTGCACCATGACTATAACAGAGGCTCAGTAAAAAATGAAACTGGAGGAGTTAATGGGTTACACAGTGAACACCCCCCGAGACACCAGTATACAGATGACATATGTCATACACTAAACTGATTGGTCAATGGTTTTTGAGCATTACTTCACATGCATCTATCCTCATCCTCTCTCCTCTTGTAATCTTTTAAATTTATTTTTATGTTGGTTATTGTTCCATGATTCTGGCTGCTCTCTTGTTCTCATCCTCTCACCCTATTACAAACGTACATACATATATATATATCACTCTACAGATATTAAGAACTCAGTACAGGCCAGGGATGGTGGCTCATGCCTGTAATCCTAGCACTTTAGAAGGCCGAGGCGGGAAGATATCTTGAGGCCAGGAGTTTGAGACCAGCCTGAGCAAGAGCGGGACCCTGTCTCTACTAAAAACAGAAAAATTAGCCAGGCATGGTGACGTGCACCTCCTCAAACTTCGGGAGTTTGAGGTCGCAGTGAGCTATGAGGCCACTGCACTCCAGCCTAGGCAACCGAGTGAGACCCTGTCTCAATAAAATAAACAAACAAACAAAACCCCAAAACTCAGTACAGACCCATGAATGGGTGAACAAATGAATGAATGAATGAGTGAAAAACAGACCAACACACTATTGGGACAAGTCCTACTACCAGCTTTGTAGACCAGTTTCAAAAGAATACTAAAACCATGGAGAGGTGGAAGGAAGGGGAATGCCTTTCACTTTCTAATACAGCCAGTGGGCAGGCAATTTAGTTAAGTATAGGTGCTGGAGTCAATGCCAATGTACTGGTACTTATCCTCTCTTTAAGCCTCAGTTTACTTAATTATTAAATGAGCATAACAATAGTCTTTTCCTTACAGAGTTGTTGTGAGACTATATAAATTAATACATATAAAGGGCTGCTGATAAAAGTGTTCTGGTGCATGGCTTGAGCATCAGGATCTCCTGAAGTTCCCAGATGATTCTCATAAGCAGCCTGAGTTGTGAACCACTACTCAGATGGTGGCATTTGCCACCACTTAATTGTAAAAGGCTTGTACCATATTTGTCTGAAACAATATATGCTGTAAGGCTACCAGGTTATTAGTAATTATGACTCAGGGTCTGAACAACTGAGCAGTCCATGGGCATCATTAAATGGTTTCTCTGCAGTGGCCAACACAACGTGAATAAACAAAAGGTTACAGGTATGGTAGGGACACTCACACTTAATGGTAAAAAACTGAATGTTTTTCCCCTGAGACCAAGAATAAAGTCAGGATGTTTATTCTCATCCTTCTATCCGTGTTATACTAGAATTCCTAGCCAGTGCAATAAGACAAGAAGAAGAAATAAATGACACACAGATGGAAAGGGAGAAGTATGTAGATGATATGTCTATATAGAGAATTCTAAAGAATCTATTAAAAAAAAAAACTTCTAGAACTAATAAGTAAGTTTAGTAAGGTCACAGGATTTAAGGTCAACATATATACATCAATTACATTTCCATATACTAGTGATGAAAAACTGGGAATTGAAATTTTAAAAAAGCAATACCATTTATAATAACATTAAAAATTATTAAATGCCTAGGGTTAAAATTGACAACAGATATACAAGACCTGAATGCTAAAAACTACATTATTAAAGAATACCTAAAAAAAAAAAAAAGAAGAGATATACTGTGTTCATGGATCAAAAGACTCAAAATTGTTAAGATGTCAGTTCTTCCCACATTGATCTATAGGTTCAACACAATCCCAGTCAAATTCCCAAGAGGTTTTTGTAAAAAATAAAAACTGACAACATTATCCTAAAATGTATATGAAATGCAAAGGACCCAGAATAGCCAAAAGCATTTTGAAAAAGAACAAAAGTTAGAAGTCTTAAACTACCTGCTTTCAAGCCTTATAAAGACATAGTAATCAAAACAACATGACTAATGACATATAGACATTCAGACCAACGGAGCACAAACGAGAGCCCAGAGCTAGAGTCACACATATGGTCAAGTGATTTTCAATAAAGGTGCTAAGGCACCCTTAATTCAATGGGGACAGGATAATTTTTTCAACAAATGGTGCAGGAACAACTGAATAGCCATATGTAAGAAAACAAACCTTCACCCTTTCCCTGCACCACACCACATAAATTAACTAGAAATGGATTATAAACCTAAATATAAGAATTAAAACTATAAAGAAGAAAATACAGGAAAATAATCTTAGTCATCTTGGATTTGGTAAAGATTCTTAAATAGATGACCAAAAGCACAATTATAAAAGGAAAAAAAATCAATAAATTGGACTTCATCAAAATTAAAGGCTTTTAATTTTCAAAAGACACTGTTATCCATACAATGGAATATGATTCAGCCATAAAAAGGAATGAACTACTAACACATGCTACAACATGGATGAATTTTAAAATCATTAAGCTAAGTGAAAAAAGCAAGTCACAAAAGACCACATATTGTATGATTCTGTTTATATGAAAAGTTCAGAATGGGCAAATCTGTAGAGGCAGAAAGTAGGGTGGTGATTGCCTAGGGCTAGGCGTAGGGGGTGGGGAGAGCAAGGTGTGACTGCTGATGGATACAAGCTTCCTTTCTGGGGTAGGAAAATCAGATTATGTGATAGTCACAATTCCGATTATACTAAACACTAATAAGCTATGCACTCTAAAAGCATGAATTTTGTTATCCGTAAATTATATCTCAATAAAGGTGTTGAGAAGAGAATCAACATAGCATTCAAATGAAAGCATAACAGGAAGCTGGGATGACCTTTGCAAATAGAAACATTCAGTGCATCCTAAATGTTTAATATCAATTTATCCTAAATGCTTAATATCTGAGGTATAAAAGATGTATTTTCGTTTTACTTTTATCTTTATCCAAGTTCTATCCACATATCATTTTTTTTCCCTCAACGCTCTGTTGTGCTGTCATTTTCCTTCTTTCTTTTTTGTTTTTTGAGACAGGATCTCGCTCTGTCACCCAGGCTAGAGTGCCATGGCCTCATCATAGCTCACAGCAACCTCAAACTCCCGGGCTCAAGGGATCCTCCTGCCTCAGCCTCCTGAGTAGCTGGGACCACAGGTTTGCACCACCATGCCTGGCTGACTTCTTTTTTCTATTTTTTTTGTAGAGACAGGGTCTTGCTATGTTGCTCAGCCTGGTTTCAAACTCCTGGCCTCAAGCAATCCTACTAAGTCGGTCTCCCAAAGAGCTAGGATTACAGGCTTGAGCCACCACACTGCTGGCCTCTTTTTTTTTTTTTAATATAATGTGCATTTGTCTCCCTTGCCCCTGCAAGACACTGTTATAAGAATGAAAAGACAAACCACACTCTGGAGAAACTATCTGCAGAAAAAAGGTCTGACGAAGAATTTGTATCTAGAAAATATAAAAAATTTTAAAAGCTCAATAATAAGACACAGCACTCAATAAAAAATAGGCAAAAGACCTACACAGACATTTTATTAAAGAAGATATACAGAAGACAAATAGGTACATAAAAAAAAGATGCTCAACAATGGAAATTAAAATCACAATGAAATGCCGCTATACACCCACAAGAATGGCTAAAATTAAAAAGACTGACTTGTCGGCGAGTAATGACGGTAGAGCAGTCGGAACACTCACACCTGGAAATGTAAAACAGTACAACCACTTCGGAAAAAAGTTTAGATCTACCCTATGACACAAACATTCTACTTCTAGGTATTTACCCAAGAGAAATGAACACATACTGGCGCAAAGCCTTGTACAATATATGAATGTTCTTTGAAGCTCTATTTGTAATAATCAAAATCTAGAAATAATCCAAATATCCATTAACAGGTGAAGGGATAGACAGATTTTGGCAAATCCGCACAACGGAATGAACACTACTTAGCAATGAAAGTGGACAAATTATTGATACCACAACAACAAGGAAAGAATCAAAAATGCCAATGCTGAGTGAAAGTAGTCACACGAAAAGGAGTAGATGATAGGATTCCACTTACAGAAAAGTCTAGAAAATGCAAAAAGAAATCTATAATAAGAAGCAGCAGATTAGTGGTTGTTTGGGAATTTTGAGGGGTGATAGATATATTCATTACTTTCTTTGTGGTGATGCTTTTACACATGAATTCATATGTCAATAGTCGAGTTATATATTTTAAATGTGGTATTTAAAAATGTGTATTAGATATGCTTCAATAATACTGGCAAAAAAGTTATAGGTGTGGTGGGCAGAATGACTTAAATCATCAAAGTAGAATGATTAAAGACTTTTGTCTCCAAAAAGAAGAGCCCTTGACATAGAAAGATAAGGCACCACTTCTGTGTACACTACACCCGCTCAGACAGGGACAGCTCTATGTGAAAGAACCCTGGCTGGAGATAAGGCAGGAGGAAAGAAGTTCTATTTTTATTCTGCCATTAAGTCCACGTGATTTCTAATAGCAGGCAACAGACAGATCCAAATTAAAGCTCTGCCAGTGGAAGCGAGGGTAATTTTAACCTTGCCAAAGACTTCGTACTGTGGTTTTGCAGAAATATTGAACAATGATGGCTGCAGAGGCAAAGTAGCTGCTTCTTGTCCTGTGTTACACATCCTCTATGCCAAACCAGCCAATAGCAAAATGCAGGAGGCCAACATCACTCAGATGAGAGCTCTCAGGGCAGCAGGGAGATGGCTCTGTCCAAATTAGATCTCATGTGTGTTGAGAGCTAAGTAGATTCTCCAAACAAAAGGATTCCCCAGGCTGGGGTTCTCCATTTGGAGTCTCTAAATACCAAAGGTTCCAAGTGAGCTTTGGGGCTGTGACTCCTCTTAAGAGTCTAAGGAACATTCTGTGTGTCTGTGTGTTGATGTTTCTTTAAAGAGAGTGGTGGGAGGCATGAAACGGCCCGGGGCTTTCAGCTTAAAGGGGCACAAGATCCACAAAAGGTAAAGAATGCTAAAACCATGACAGTCATTTGGCTCACCAAAACAAGGTGGGCACGGAGAGCAGAGGTGAGGAGAGAGGAAGCACTTTGGTGGATATAACAACTTGTTCCCAGGGATAGGGTTTAAAGTTGGCATGAGGTCAGGGAGGGGACCCTGCCAGGGTTCCATTTTCCTTCTCCCATGAGAGAAACTTCTCCCTAAGACAAGTGCTGGTACTTGCCCTTCCTTATGAAGTGGGAGCTCCTCTCCCCAGAATAAGCTTTCTTTCTGCTGGAGAAGGAACCGAGAGACCTTCACTCCACTGGCCATCTTAAAGGCTGCCCCCCTCCTTTCCACCCAGGCTTGTGGGTGTGTCAGAGATGATGCTGGATGTGGGCGCCCACATAGCAACACTCCTGTTAAATGACTCACCAAAAGCAATGGTGCAAGTCACCAATCTGAGGCTCAGGCGTGGTGCAGGGCCTGGGCCCATAGATGCCACATAAGTTATCCAATGCTGCACAGATGCAGACACAGGTGCTAGAGAAGACACGCTTCAACCCAGCAACAGAACTGGGGAAAAGTGATGAAACAGAAGTAAGAAGATCTCTGTATCTCCTCCCCTCCACCAAAATGAACAAGACAAAAGCAAAAACACGAGAGAGAGAGAAAACAATGAGAAATGGGGTCCGAGGGGAAGCCCCCACTTAGGAAGCAGAGAGGGCACTGGTGCTGCAAGCCCAGCACCACCCATAAGCCAGAAATGGAACCTTCCAGGCAGCAGATTTCAAAGAAGGACTCAGCAAATGTTAGCTCGGCCACACAGCGCTGGGCTGACAGACACGCTCATCTCATCCCTAACAAACGAACTCATTGACATCCAAGGAGACTCAAGCCCAGATAGGACAGTGGTCACGCAGCTATTAATATTTACATGGCAGACCCAGGGTTTGAACTCCAGGCTTCTAAACCTACTGTTTCCACTATACTGTCCAATTTTCAGTTATAACAAAGTTCCGTGTGACTCAAAATATATTGCTCCACAAAGAAAAAGATGCCTTTTGGAAGCCCTGCTGATTTTATTCTTTTTAACCTGAATTTCCTGCTAGGCATGCTCATGGACTGAACACTTTAACTATCTCCCAACCCATCTAGCCAGTTTAGCCACAGAGGCTCATGTCTGTGAACACTGAATGGCTGAGATATTCTTTCCTCAGCCCACGTGTGACACACTGGTTTCCATTCACAAGGGTTCAGACTTTGGGAGCCCAATGTTAGTAACTCCAGACTGGCTACTCTCCCAAAAGAAGTACTCAGCATTGACCACAGTTACCTAGGTGAAGAATAAAAATAATGATCCCTTAACTGACCTAAAGTGTTCACGATCAGAAGACAATTTATTTTTGAGACGAGGACAGTGAAATGCTAGAATGAGCACAGAACTGGAAATATCGAGACTGTGATTTCGTTCCAGGTCTATTGCTGAATAGCTGGGTGACCTCAACCAAGGGACAAACTTCCCTGGGTCTTTGATCGTTCTTTGGCCTGCTAGCCTCATGTGGTTGCACAAGGACAAAATAAGAAAAATTCAGAGCGCCCAGCAAATGCAAGGCTTGACAGCCCTCCTCTAGGTATGTGACTTGCACATCTGAAGGTGGCCTGTTGTATCTCTTTATTCAGGTTTGTTGGGAGGAGAGACATCATCAACTCTCTTATGGGGATAGTCAGGGGGTGTCCCTGACTATTGGGGCCTGCCTCAGACCTTACTGGATTCTAAAGGTGGCTCCCAAGGCTTGACAGAGACAGAGGCACACTGTATATACTTTTTGGTTCTCCGTGGTTTGGTCCCTAGGGTCTGTGGGGAGTAAAGCCACCTTAGCACTGGGAGTCTGCACAGACCCAAGGCTCCCCCGGGGGCAGTCCACCAGCCATAGGCACCACACCCCCTGCCTGGTATCTTCCGTTTCTGCTTTCTTAACCAGCCTTGTGCTGGGCACACCAGCCAGGGGCAGTCATTCCCAAGGTAGCCTAAGCCATTCATTCAAGGATGGGAGGAAGGTGAGAGAGCTTAGTTGGTCACCTGTAGCAGTGACAGTGGTCCTCTATAGCTTGCACGGTTCTGTTGGAAGCCTTCCGTGTCCTCCCAGGATGCACTGGGGTTTTCATAGCAAGACCTCCTGACACTTTCTCAGGTGTGGCGCTGGCCACCCACCCGCTTCGTCCCTCACTCTGCCCATCCCTCTTTCTCCTCTCACATGCGGGAGAGAACCTGGCTCTCCTGCACGCTAACTGCAGCTCCCCGCAGACTGCACTTTGAGCCCCGTGTGCTGGATCAGGGCATCGAGGGAGACCCTTCTGCTCAGTCCAGTCCCAGCCTCACGGGTGGTGCCTGGACAGTGCTCCAAGAAGGGTTTTGCCAAGGAAAGGATGGCCTGTAGTTACACCAGCCAGGGCAGCTTGAGTGACACACAGCTACCACCCCACCCCACCCAACGCGCCTCCTTACCACCAAGACGTGCTCGAGAAGATCCAAGTAGCCGAGGGTGCACTCTGTCCCATACCGCAAGGCTCTTGTTCGCACCTCGTCACTGACGTCAGGGTGGAAGGATGCTTGCTGGAGAAAGAAAGGAATGTTGACCTCTTAAAATAGGAAGAGCCAGCTGATAAGTCACCTACCCAGCAGTGTTGGGCAGCCCTGGACCCAGAGACAGAAGACTTTAGCCCCAGTAACCTCATGAAAACCTGCCCTGACTCCCTGGACACAAGAGGTGTCTCTCCCCCATGTTCTCCTGCCTCCCCCTCCCCTCAGCTGCCCACAGTATGTTCTGACACTGTGTGTGTTGACTTTGCTGGTGCCCTGGGGCCAGATGCTAGAAACAACTGAATACGGTCACTGGTTCTTCCCTTTCCCACACCCCCCTCTTTGTTTGAAATGCAAAAAATTCCATATGCACTAAAAGTCCAGGAATGATTCATGATTAGGGCTTACAGCAGGAGACATACTGACCCGGGGTCAGCCTGGCCTCTCTCCAGCAACATGAGGAGTCCTGAAGACCCCTCTCTGTTCGCAGGCTAATTAAGCCCAGGTCCTTACCCCTCAGCCCGACTCTGCTACAGCTGCAGTGGTCTCTGCGAGCAGGGCCCTCTGGCTCCTGGGAAACCTCAGTGAGCTCCCCAGCACTCTCAGGGCCACCATAGCTCATTTCACACTGTACACAAGTCGAGATAAGCAAACCAGAGCATGTGGTTGACGTAACATCGTACGCTTCTTTCTCACACTTGCAACCTGCCAACTGGAGTCATTCATGACGGATCATTTCCGACGGCATACCCATTCACAGGGTTGCCAGATAAAACACGTCCAAATTTGAATTTCAGACAAACAATGAAAAAATTTTTTAGCACAAGTATAGGACACTCTAGTTTTTATTTGCCAAAAATGGCAAGGCTACCCATTCTTTCTTTCATAGCTTCACTCTGGAAAGAACTTGAGGAGCTTACAGAAATACACAAAATAGAAAACTCAGGACACATAAATCACAAATCAGGACAAATACAAATCACACACTGGAATAAACGGTCAAGGCTTTATCCCAAGGCGAATGCTGACCAGCCTCCCTGTTTCTTCCACTTTTCTCCTCCCTAGGAACAGGAGGCGCTGGTGGGACACCTGCATGTGGACACCTGCTCTCCCCTGACCTCCCCTCCCCTGGAAGGAGCAGGGCTAGTCCTGGTGGCCAGCATGTCATTTATAGACCCAGTTTTACTCCTCTGAGGACTAACGGGCTCAGAGGCAGGGACCTAGAGCCATGCTGTTAACCACTACCACTTTTTGTTCACCCCTGTACCCCTGTGCCTCCAACCGTGAGCACAGAGCCCCGTGTCTGCTTGACGAGACGCCACCGTGGAAGACACAGTCAACAGCACTTCCAGTAGGTTCTGTGCAAGGCTCTCACATGGGCTTGTGGGAAAGGTGAAGCTGAGGTGTTCCTGCCCACTACCGGAAGCCCTGTAACTTGGTGGAACCCCCCAGGAGAGCAATCTGGCAATACTTAAAATCTCATACATTAGACCCACTGATTCTACTTCTGAGAGTCTTGCCTAAGGCAACAATTCAAGGCACAGGAAAAACAGCTCTATCCAAAGATGTTTATTGCAGTAAAGTTTGTGATTAAAAAAAATGCAGACAGGGCCGGGCGCGGTGGCTCACCCCTGTAATCCTAGCACTCTGGGAGGCCGAGGCGGGCGGATTGTTTGAGCTGAGTTCGAGACCAGCCTGAGCAAGAGCGAGGCCCCATCTCTACTAAAATTAGAAACAAATTAATTGGACAACTAAAAATATATAGAGAAAAATTAGCCGGGCATGGTGGCACGTGCCTGTAGTCCCAGCTATTTGGGAGGCTGAGGCAGGAGGATCGCTTGAGCCCAGGAGTCTGAGGTTGCTGTGAGCTAGGCTGATGCCACAGCACTCACTCTAGCTCGGGCAACAGAGTGAGACTCTGTCTCAAAAAAAAAAAAAAAAAAAATGCAGACAACCTAAACCTCTGATAATAGGGGAAAGAGAACATTCGTTAACAGGGTATTTTGTAGTCATTAAAAAGTCAGTGCTAATTGACTCATGGCAACACAGAAATAGGAACAGAACATTAATTATAATAGTAGATATAAAACTGTATCTAACATAAACACATGCACATGAAAGTAAACCCAGAAAGAAATACACATGAGAATCAATTTAGGGTTTAGGGGCGTCTTTCTCTCTGCTTAAGGAATGGGTGTAATGTTCCCATTGTGAGATGAGCTGGTACGTAATTTACCTCCATGTTTACCGTGCTCAGCCCAAAGGCAGCGCCCAAACAGGGCAACTTGGCCCTTCTGCTGGCACGTAAGGCTTCCTTCTTGACCCTACCACCCAACACCTCTGCTTTTCTGTATATGTCGTACTGCATGAACACCATTTCTGGCTGGCTGTCTCATTTCCTTTTGCAAAGGGGTGAGGAATACAGGAGACCAAGGTAAATGTAAGTATCAGTTAAGTCTGATAGATAAGTCCCAACCTAACAGGAGTCTCAGGGCTCACAGCAGTGACACTTGCTGTCGAGTCTGGTTTTGGAGGGTGCAGCCAACATACAGGCTTCAAAGCTCTGGCTGCTGTTTTGTCCTGCACAGCCAAGATGGTCTGACCCAGGGCAGAATAACGGAGGAGCCGAGGATGGGCAAACAGCACCTACACTTGTCTGGCTGGCCTTGTCCCCTGAAAACTGGGGCCTGTCTTAAAAGAGACTTAAGAATCTGAGCTGCATTCCCTTTAATCATGGTCTTTCTTCTGTTCAGCTTCCCCTTTTGATGTCTGCAACATGGGGACAAAGGTGTCTGTCACTCATCCACCACAGCAACCTTGAGCATTAGGGCTGGGAGGCCCAGGCAGAGACACAGGCTGGCCGTGGAGTCACAAGAGCTGGTTTTCATTCTGATTCTGATGGTAAATAGCTGTGTGACCTTGGTCAGGCCACTTTATCTCCCTGAACCCATTCCATCACCTGACAAACTGGAAGAATCCTTTTTGCCCTTCTCACCTGGGATCAAGTGACAGTACACGATGGCCCTTCCAAATCTATGAGGTGCCCTGTGTGCATTCGGGCCATATCTTGCCAAGTATACGCTACTCTCTGATGGAGACTGTAACCCCCTCGGAAGTTGTCACTTCTGATGGGCAGATTCTATTGAGCTCGCATATCAAAATGGCACACACTTGCGGCCTTAGGAGGGAGTCCCAACTCCCTGACCTAGCAGCCTCTGTCCTTCACGGAAGTGGCCCCGCCTTTGCCCACCCTTGTCTTTCCAGCCCTCCCTCTCCCTCCCCCAAACATGGTGCTAGCTCCCTGGCCAGGCCTCGCACACAGGTTCCTCCAGTGCCCCCGCCTTACCCGGCTCCCTTCAGATCATCCGACCCCTTCTGAGGAGCCGCAAGAAGCCGCAAGAGTAGGACCTTGCAGCAGCAGCTCCAGCAGAACTCACTTCACCACAGAGAGCGGCTCTGCTCCCTCGGGCCCTGAGCTGGAAAAGCTGGTCTTCGACTTGTGTGGCGCATCCCCACCCTCACTCGCCACCAACCCCGCATGGAAGCCAGAGTCCCTGGGGCAAGGCAGTGCTAGAAGGGTGATGGTCGGGGGTGCTCAGTGGGATGCTAGGCAATGTGGGGGCGCTTATGGGTCACTTTCTCGACAGATGGAAAGCAAGCAAAGGTTGTAGGGTTCAGGTCTCCCTGGCTCCCTCACCAAGCGTGGGCTCGGGGCAGCTGCTGTCATGATCCGCCCAAGGAGGAGAAGAGTTTCTCCAAGACGCCTGACACAGGCGGCAAAAAGGTGGTTCCCCAAGTCCTGTCTTTCTCTAACTCACTTTCTCACCAGTGATGGCAACACCTCTCCTAGTGCACAAGTGACTTATGGAGGCAGGAGAGGGGTCCGGGTGGAAGAGGGAGGACCTGGAACAAAGTGCTGCAGTCCCTGCTTACTACTCTCAGAGTGGCCCCCGCCACACACTCTGTAAGAAGGCTTCCTGCCTGTTCAGGAAGATTTGAAAAGAAGGCAGAGATTTGGGCCAGCAGGGCCAACTCCATCCCCACTCAGAAACACAAAGCTGCCTTGGAGAGTCGTTTCTCACAGGCTGATGCTTCTGCTGTCCTCAGTGTGCATTTTATGACAGAGTTGAAGGTATCACACCACTCCGTCCTATGCATCTCCAGACTGCAGACCCCTCAATCACGACAGGGAACTACCTATCCGTCCAGAACAACGCCAAGGCCTTTACCTTGCAAGCTGTCAACATATCTGACACGGCTTTGCGGCTCAGATTGGCAGTGGCAATCACGTCCTCCTGTCTACACGAATTCCCAGCCGCCACGGCTTTGGCTGTTGCCATGGTGATGCCTTTCGTCATCCGGATCGATTCTTCAGGTGACGATGTCTTTTCAGGTACCTCTTTTGACTGAAACACCTAGGAGTCAGAAACAGAGAGGTGGAAAAAATCAGAAAGGAAAAGACAAAAATAATTTATTCTTCTCCAACCGGGCTGTAGCTCAATGTCTGAAAACCAAGCCAGCAACTGGAGGAAAATGTCAAATGGCAGGAAATTAGAAATTTAATTTGAGCACAGTAATAGCATTCTTGCTTTCAAGATCCTAGCACGGACAAACCTCTCGCACCTCCACTCGGCATTCACGGGAACAACACGGTGACGGTGTCTACAGCATTAACTGACTGGTCTGTGCAAACTGACTCAATATTTATACGCGGCCCACCCTGGGGAAGGCCGTGTGTGGCCGCCTAGTTCTCTTCTTCTATACCTGCTGGTGCTTTGGCAGTTTCCAGAAATTCTGCAGTCCCAGTGCCGGTTTCCAGGCAGGACTGACCTGGATGTATCACTCTGGACTCACCTCTCTCTCTTTAAGGGGTGTGCGGTGAAATGAAGCATCCGTTCCTTCTATTCTTAGCCTGCCTTACAAACATAACTGCATAATTGTGCAGAGGTGCTCGGGTCGAGTGCGCCACAGTGACACTGTGAATTATTTAATAACGCCCCCCTCTTCAGAGAAGCTGAAATAAATTAACCATGGTGAATCAATACCTCACTTTCAAGTTCCACCTGTCAGTCAAGTCAGCTGTTTCTGCTTCTAGTCCATCTGTCTTGTAGGTCTAATGAGAGTGGCTGGCGCCCTGGCTGTGTGCTGAAGTGCATCTGTCCCTGCGCGTGAGGACCCCATCCAGGCAACCACATTCCAGCAGGGAAGCCTTCCCGGAGGCAGGAGGGAGGACCTAGTCAGTGTCCCCACAGGATGCCGCCCAGTGCCAAACATCACCGTCCCTGCAAAGGGGCAGCTGTGATTAAACAGCCCAGGACCTTCAATCCCAGCTCCACCCCTGAATGCTACGGTGGAACTGAGGCCACATGTCAAGTCCACGCTAACAAGGCCCTCGTGGTACGCACTCCATGGAAACCCACAATCTGGGGGAATTTTAAATCACACTGGTACACTTAGAATAACAGTGTTTCTATAATATCCCAGGATAGCTTCGAATTTCAGATTTCTTCCATGGCCACCATCAGGCCTGTCCATGCGGGTCAGAACCCGGGTGCGGACCCCTGGCAGGAAACACCCAGCCTGTGCAGCCCGGCAGTGCCAGGCAGCGCTGCTATAAGGGCACCACCGGTTTTTGACTTGCTTCTGCATTTTTCTAGTTTCTCCTTTACAGCAGGAACCAAGCACATGACCACCAAGGCCGGATGCATTGGAGACATGACAAGAGAACCCAAGGTGCTGTCCCCAGAGCCCAGTGCAAGTGCTCTACTGTTTTGTTTCTGGTGCTGGCCCTCAGGTTGCCCTCGGAGGTGGCCCTTTCAAGGTACAGGACGCTGGCAGCAAGCGCAGGGACCCCTCCCTGCAGAAAGTTGGATATGTGAACAGACCTCCTATGAAAAGAAAATCTCAGTGTGAAACCACTCATTTTCAGCATATTTCTATCTGTAGCGATTGGGATGAGTCAATCCTCAACCATCCGGGGTTCCCAAGAACAGGAGCTCACACCCGTGTCACAGTAACTGCAGGATGTCCTCACTCCACAGCGCTGGGACAAGGCAGAAAAGAACAGGGTCAATTTCTCTCAGACCTATGACTCGAACAGAAGGAAGCTGGATCTTAAAGGGAAGTGTCTCAGGTACAGGCATCCACGCTTTTCCGACAACAAACCTCAGACTTCGAATTCCACACATGTGCAGGCAGCAGTATGAGCTGTTGCCAATAGCGACGTGAATCAAGAGCGGCTACACACCGTACATATGATCTAAACTCAGAGCGAATGTCAACAGTCATAGCGACCTTCCCTTTTGCCAGGAACCTTTTGTAAGGTTTTGATTTCATACTGTAATTTTAGTGGAATTAAACATGAATAGTCCTAGTGATAATTTCAATTAATTCCTTGATTAGTATTACAAATCGATCCAGCTAAACTCAGTGACACAGGGGTTTTCGATACAAAGCTACCGGCAGACAGTTGAGTGGGCCTCCTTAGTTCAGGTGTTCTAAGTAAAACCTCACTGTGCAGAAAGTGTCAGAGCCCGAGCTGGGGTCAGCTGTTAGTGCCTGAGGGAGGTGGCAACGGCTCCTTACCGTGAGCTCTTGCTTTATGTATTCGATCGTGGCCTCAAGTGCCCTGGTGCCCCGGGTGGCCTCATCTTCCACTGCCTTTACTGTCTTGAGGAGGGAGGTGACATTGGTCACCATCACCTGCATAGGAAGAGAGAAAATAGATAGTTCACTGTCCAGTCCCTACTCCTTTAGCTCTGGGTGGAATGCCATCAGCAAAGACACTTCTTTGCTTTGCTTTAAATGAGAAAGGAGCATGGGTGCATGTTCCCCCGGTGTCCTGTATGTGCGCTTCCCCCCAGCACTCCTGAGCCTGCTCATCCACAGCTGGAGCCCTGCCCTACCTTGGCAGCCCCCTTGAGCTGGTACATGGAGGGGTCGTCAGCCGGCTTGCTGGCAGCTCCCTTGGTAGCACCAATGAGATCAGAAAGGGCCTTGGCCACGTCTTTGATGGCGTTGATCAACACCACCTGAAAGAGAGCATGCAGCCCAGGTGAGCAGGTACCGAGCAGTCACCTGCTGACCTCACGCAAGGCGCATAGCCCGAGGGCAGGCTGGGGCACTGGGGACAAGAAAGTCTCTGTATCGGCAGCTCTAGAGCCTGCTGCATGGCAGAACCTCTTGGGAAGCCACCCTTGGAGATTCTGAAGCAGGGGTCTGAACTTTCAAAAGCTGCGCAGGGGAGGCTGGTGCTGGGCCAGACGGAGATGTACAGCATGTTTAAAATCTCCTAACTGGCCACTCGGTGGACAAGGTGCTGCAGATGGATGAGGGCGGCTAAGCAGACACCTGAGAGGCCACGCCCCTCACCCGTGAGCTAACGTCCCAAACACTGACAACAAAACCCCAACCTTACCCCCGGCCTGCGAGTTTCTCTGCCTTACCGAGTACACTACAGGTACATGGGTCTATCTTCCTCATGTGAAATCTCAACTATTGCTGTTCAGGCCCTTAGCTCTTGCCATCCTCTCTACCTGCAAGCTCATATGTCTTGTCCACAGAGACCTTTCTTGATCCCCCCTGAGCTATAGACTCACCCCACAAATACGGAAACTCTGCGAGATTGCTCATTTATTTATTTATTTTTTTTTTTTTGTTGAGACAGAGTCTCACTGTGTTGCCCGGGCTAGAGTGCCGTGGCATCATCCTAGCTCACAGCAACCTCAAACTCCTGGGCTCAAGCGATCCTCCTGCCTCAGTCTCCCGAGTAGCCGGGACTACAGGCACGTGCCACCATGCCCGGCTTTTTTTTTTCTATATATTTTTAGTTGTCCAATTAATTTCTTTCTAATTTTAGTAGAGACGGGGTCTCGCTCTTGCTCAGGCTGGTTTCGAACTCCTGAGCTCAAACAATCCGCCCGCCTCGGCCTCCCAGAGAGTTAGGATTACAGGCGTGAGCCACTGCGCCCGGCGAGATTGCTCATTTATCTACAGCACTTATCAGTATGTGGAATTACTTTCTCATTATTCACTTTTACTCGTCTGTTTTCTCCCCCAACTTGGATGCAAGCTCCAGGAGGCTTGGCCTGGACTCCTATTTTACTTCACATTCAGAACAGGCCCTGGCACACAGCAGGTGCTCAGTAAATACCTGTGGAATGAACGCACAGGTGTGTGGCCCACATAAACCTGGATGCGATGCATCATCCACGTTTGTTTTTCTGATTTCACCAAGACCACAGACCGTCTTTTAGCGTGCTGGACTTGGAATCAGAAGTGCCAGTCGTCGACAGGAATTACAAGACACTGGGCACTGCATTTAAGTGTTCTCAGTTCACTAGCCCCAATAACAACAGCTACTTCTATAAGAACAACAATGTCCCTTTATCGAGGGCAATGTTCCAGGTGCCAAGGCAAGCACTCTCCTCCACACATCATCTCATTTAATTCTCACCGCTGCCTTTCCAAGTGGAAACTGCAAAATCCTTATGTCCAAACTCCCAGAACCTGGAGTGGCAGAGTTGGGATTCAAACTCTGGTCACCGTGATCCAAAGGGCCATGTAACCTCCACTCTGCATTATACTCTATGGCTCCGGCTCCTACCTACAGTGGCATGAGCAATGTCAGCCCTATCTATATCACCACACTGCTGTGAGCATAATCTGGGATTACAGGCGTGGAAATGTATGAGGGACCCTAGACCCCCAAACAGTGGCAAGTGCCGCACCGCTGTGGTTGTCCAGGCTCCTGTCCTCTCCCACGCCCTGCCTTCCCACCTGTGCCCCTCACCCGCAGGGCACAGGGAGCTGCAGCCAGCCCTCCGCATCCACAGGGTAGGTTGGGGCTGTGATGGTGCTCGTGAGGAAGGCGTGACGCGTACAGACCTTGGCTGATTCCCGAGATCACAGAGCGGAAGGGGGTAGCAAGAAGACACGGAGGCACAGGAAGCAAAGATCTGCCTCCAGCATCCACAACATCCAGAAACGCTGTCCCATCTCGTCACTTGACAACCCATGATGAGCGAGCTGGGACATTTTCCCGAGGGGATGTTTTTATTATTAAGATTTCATGAGAAGCTGGTGCTTCAGGATATCCAGACAATTTGGGAGTTAAAATCTTACAGCAATAGCAAAAAAAAAAAAAAAAAAAAAATTAACCCAATGAAAACATGGTCAAAGGACCTGAAGAGACATTTCTCCAAAGACGACATACAAATGGCCAACAGGTATATGCAAAGAAACTCAATGTCACTAATCACCAGGGAAATGCAAATCAAAACCACAGTGACACATCACCTCACACCTGTGAGCAGGGCCATTATCAAAAAAAGGCAAATGCTGGCGAGGATATGGAGAAACCGAAGCCCTCGCACCATTAGCAGGAATGGAAAATGGTGCAGTCACTACGGCAAACAGTACGGAGGTTCCTAAAAAAAACTGCAAATAGAACTACCACGTGATCCAGTTATTTATTCAAAAGAACTGAAATCAGGATCTCGAGATCTGAGCACCGCCGTGTTCACAGCAGCAGCAATGTGGAAATCATTGAGACGCCCACCGCGGGATGAACGGGCAAAGGAAATGCGGTAAATACACACAGCGGGATGTCACTTGCTGCATGTACATATCCAATGGACTATTGATTTCCTTCTAAAAAAGAAGGTCATCTTGCCATTTGTGACAATATGAATAAGGCTTGAGGACACTATGGTTAGTGAAATAAGCCAGTCGCAGAAGGACAAATACTGCCCGATTGCACTTATATATCTGAAATCATCAAACTCACAGCAGCAGAGCAGGATGGTGGCTGCCAGAGATGGGGGAGAAGGAAACCGGGGACTACTAATCAGTGAGTATAAAGTTTGTCACATAAGACGAGTAAGTTCTAGAGATCTGCTGCACAACACTGTGTCTACAGTTTACAATACTGTACTGCATACTTAATGTGTTAAGAAGGGAGATCCCATGTTAAAATGTTCTTACCATTCATTATAAAATAATATTAAAAAATAAAAGTTGGGGGAAGAGGTAGAATGGAAAAGAAAGGCAAATGGTGACAATCACTGAAGCCGAGTGGCGGGAATGCAGGAGTTCATTTTACGATTTTCTCTACTTTTGTGCATGATGAAAATTACCATAAACATTTTTTTTACAGAAAAAAAAGATTCGATAGCAATTCAATGTAATTCTCTGTGTGAAAAGATTTACATCCCCCCTGGCCAAGTCACTCCTCATAAAGTTGAGCAGGGCCGGGAGAGCGTGCTTCTGATACGTGGTTCCAACTCCGGGATGCGTTTTCAAGCGTTTCCTTCCTCCACGGGGGTAAAAACAACCCCCGCAGGCAGGGATTTCTGGGAATGCTTAGAATTCCAAAAGGCGGCCAGTCTGAACTCTGATGTTATTGGAAAGAAATCCAGCAGAAGGGATACAACAGTAACGTGAGGAATGTTTCCTCATGGAGCTCTGCTCCGCCGGTGGACGTCAGGGGCAGGCCACCAGGGAACAGAGCTGGCGGCCTCAGGTTAACCAGCACGGTCACTGCCACTTGCCTCGGCACCAAATGGTAGGGGGTTTCTATCTCGTTTTGTCCAAACGGACTAGGTTGCTGAGTATGGTTTAAGCAGTAAACTGAAGTTTCTACCATTTGGTGGTGCCGGGAATGGACAGAACTGAGGGTTAAGTTTTGCACTCTGGGAACGGGCAGGATCTGTTCATTGATGACCCTGGTTGGCTGTCAGTTCACTGACAGCTGAACACATTTGTTGTGTATCCGCTATGTGCCAGGGCCGTGCTGGGCGTGCAGGTTTCAAAGGTGAGTAAACCGTGGTGACCGTCCTTGAGGAGCCATGGTCTGGGCTGGGGGGAGAGGCAAGGCAGGTAATTTCACTGAAGTCACTAAATCCGAAGCAGAGGTCACAGGGACACAGAGCCCTTCCCTACGCTTGATTTTCTCTCCCACCCCTGCAGAGACAAACCTCTCACATGGGCCATCTACACGGGCAGAGTTCATCTCTCTCCACCCTCATCTGGCTGCTGTCCTGCCTCGACGGCACCAGGGCCAATGGCCGTTCCCAGACTTTCATCCTTCTCGACACTCGCCGTGTCTGATGGCTTGGAACACTCCCTCCTACCGTGCCCTGGCTTTTCCTACCAGCTGCTGCGGCTTCTCAGTCTGCTTCGGGATTTGCTGTGCGACATGGTCCATGTTGTAGATGCTGGACTCCTCAGGGCTCTGCCCTGACCCCGGTCTCCTCTCACCCCATGTTTTTCCTCTCCTGTGGCTGCTGTTGCCAGCTTCACGGTAACAGTCCCTGAACCCGCAGCCCTGTGCCCAAGCAGGCTCAGGCCCACTCATGAGTTCTACCTGTTTGTCTCTGGCACGTCCCATTCAACGTGCCCCAGACTGACCCGCCTTCCTCTCCCTACCTACCCCCACCCTCCCTTCAGGTAGCGCCACCCACGGCTACAGGTGGAACCCTCCTAGACTCCTCCCCTATCAGCTCCCCTGGCCCATGTCCTTCAGTCCTTCACCAGGCCTGGCCGGGCTTCCTTCTAGATTCCCCTCCTGTCTGTCGGCTTGTGTTCATCCCCACAGTCTGTGCCACCATCTCACCTGGATACCTGCTTCCTACCCGTCCTCACACTAGACACACTGACTTGTGTGAATCGCTGACTTTGAGAGCTCCTGCCCTGCCTCAGGCTCTTCTGAGGCCCAGCGTATAGCACTGATAGGAAGACGAGGAGGAGCATCCCCAGGCCCTGCCCGTACCTGGGTCTCGGGGTCGTTGGAGCCCAGGCTGGCTGCTCCCAGCTTGACCACCTCGGCGAGCTGGGTGATGGTGGCTGCTGAGGACTGGGCCGCCTGGGCCAGCTTGTCTGGAGTGGACGCAGCCCCGGACACGAGCAGCTTCGTGTCTTCCACCAAGGCCTTGGCTGTCTTCAGAATGTTCTCCCTGAGAAAGGGGGCGAGACAAAGGGCAAAACCTGATTACTTGCAGTTAGGAAGGAAAGCAATCCCTCACAGGGGGCTTTGAAGAAGAGAGGAGGTGCTCTCCACCAGGGGCTCTCACCTTCCATGGACGCGAAATTGGGCCAACCAGTGTGCACACAGTCCATGGGTATGAAAACGTCCATGAAAGAGTCAGGCCCTGCAGCTTAGCGCCTGCCCCCTGCCTGCAGTCAAATGACAGGTCAGCTTCTTTCCTGTGGCTTCCCTATCCCTTAAAACACTTCACAGCTACAGTGAGCTGTGAGGACACAGGGGTTGCGGCACCTTGTCCAAGGACCAGAGCCCAAGGGGCTGGGCTCTGGAAGGGGCAAGAGAACCCCGGGAATCTCCTCCTCAACCCAGACTGCCGACTGAAGACAGAGAGAAAAGTGCTGGACCCATGGCGAGGATTTGGGGGTCCCCAGCAGCAAATGGGGAGTCTCCGGCACTGGCCTTCTGAGCGCGGGCTGAGAGCCTATGGTTTCAGTGAAGCCTGGGGCAGAGAGAGCAGGCTTTGAGCCCCACTCCTCCAAACACGGTAAAATCCAAACACGCCTGCCTCTGCCACTCCCATTCCTGCTGGGGTCGGAAAGCAGTCAGAGGAACAGCTCTCTGGCTCGGAAAGTGAAAGATCAAAAAGCCGTCCTCTGCTGGAGCGGGCTGGCTTTAGGGCTGCCAAAGGCACAGCACAAACACAACTCCGTGTTTACAGTTGGCAAAAGGGGCTTGTTTTGATTACGTGGTTCCCTTTCCCCACTTGAGCATCCTGTTGAAATCAAAACAGATAACCACATTTCTGGCTCCCGGGCAGTGCCTCCAAAGTTGAGTGTGAGTTTCAGGGGCAGGCCAGCCTGAACCCCCACGCCCACCCCGGCCTCATATACCTGTGGTCTGCGAAGGTTTCGCTGTTCTCGGCGTTCAGCGTCCCGGCCGTCGCAAACATGATAGTGGTGTCCAGGTCGGCGATGATCCCAGACACGGCGGTGGCAGCCGTGATGCATGCCTGGGTCCCCTTATTCCCAGCCTGGAGAGCCGAGAGCACCAAAGACACCTGTAGGCAGAAAGGGAATGTGAGGGGAAGGCAGGACATGGAGAAAAGGTGACCCCAAAGCGTACTCTCTCTGAAAACGCCGAATTCTCGCTCTTGAGAGTCAATGAAGCTTCGGGGTTAACAGCACACACCGTTGGTGTCAACAGCCTTGGTCTGAATATCAGCTTTGCCATTTTCAGGCCACTTGACCTGCAAGCTGCTTCACCCCTCTAAACCTCTGTTTCCTTATCTTTAAAATGGGCTATTACTTCTTGCCTGTCAGGGTTGTTGGGAGGATTAAATAGGAAAAAAATGTATGTAAAATATCTTTGAGGCATTTGGCATGTAGTACATGCTCAGTAGAGGGCAGATGCTACTATTTATTTAATTACTATTATGTTTCTGAAACCGCAAAGAGGGATAAAGGGTTAGGCTCCTGTGGAAGGTGTGACCATTCCATCCCCCGTTATTAGATTTGCAGTAGAAACAGCCCACTGCTAACACTCATCGCCTTCACTTGGCTGCCTCGTGATCAGCAATTCTCCAGGGTGGAGCTCAGAGGGGCCGAGTCCAGAAGGCATCTGCGTGTGTGCCCTCTCTCTCCACCTGCAACTCTCCGGGGAGCCATCATCCACCGCCGAACGATAATTCCAGTGACCGGAGGGTCCAGTGAGTCGGCCAAGGAGTTCACTCTGGTGCCTTCCGTGTCGGAAACCCTGTGCTGCTACCTCCCCACCTCATCCCCCCCGGTACACCCCCACTGCTCCTAGAGACACTTTCCTAGAGACTCTGCCACACGCCCGACCATGTCACACCCTTGCTTACAAGTCTCCCCTGGCTTTGGAGAGGCGCTGAGCTCCCTTCCTAACCATACCAGCCGGCTCTTGATCTCCCCAAACACACCCACCTCTGCACTCTGGGTCTGCACCCCACCTCCGATGCCCCCTCCCTCTGTTCTCTAGCCACCAACCTGCTCACCCTGCAAGAGGCAGCTCAAAGGCCCCAGGACAACTCCCCTGACTCTCCTCTTTTAGAGACAGCTCTGCCTCCCAGGATTCTGTCCCTGCCCTCAGGATGGCCCACTGCATGAATGTTAGAAACGGTATGTGTTAGGCTAGTGGCTGGAGGCTCTTTGAGGCCAGGAGCCCCCGTATTAATCTGTGTGCACACACCCGCCATCCCTGACTACGGGTGACCCAAAGAAGAGTCTGAAAATGTTCTGTATGTGTATTGCCTAAAACACGCCGACCAGGGCAGGGGAGTTACAGCACCAGTAAGAGGCTCGGTGTGAGACACTCTGTCTTCCGTGCCGCTCAGATCTCAGCAAAGGCTGTGGACGTGGCCCTGACAGGAGGGGCACAGGGACTGTTTCCTGAGCACCCGCCATGTTCCAAGGCCAGCGTGCAAGGAACTATTTCTCTTCCTCACTTCCTGACCCTCCTTTAAATGCTACTAGGCCCCACCAGGAAAAGATGAGTCAGACTGGCACACAGCTGGCCTGGGAATGAAGTATCTAGTTTCTGGAAGGAACTCTCAGAGCATGGGTGACAGAGCCCAAGACAACCATAACTGGAGGTCTGTGGGGGATGGGGGTTGTAAGACATTCTTTAGCCAGGGTGAAAGGAAAGAGTCTGGAAACAGTGTCTGCCCCTCTGGAAAAGTGGGCAAGTCAGCAGGTGTCCACTGAGCACTTACTAGTCAGCAGGGGCTGAGGACACAAGGCAGACTATCCAGGAGCTCATGGTGGGGTGGGGTAGTGCGCTGTACACATGCACAGGGCATGCGAGAAAGACACGAGGCACGCTGGGCAGAGACGGGAGGCGAGGAGGTCAGGAGAGCTGGGACACAGCAAGAAGTGGCCAAAGAGGCTAGTTGCTGAGAACCAGCCACCTCCCTGCTGTGGTCCTTCTCCAGGTGTCCTAAATCAGGGGGCTACTTCTGTGTGAGGCAGCGAGGCCGAGGCCAGCTCAGGGAGATGGTGCTGTCTGGCCACACTTGCAAATACTAGGCAGCTTAGACCCTCTCCTCCCTTCTGCTACAAGGTCCTCTATGGGGGAACTTGGCAAGAGTCACTTCAGTAACAAGCAGGGGCTTTGAAGGGAGGGAAAATGCCTTCCTCAACCAAGAGATTTATTTCCTTACTCTGGGGAGGCCAGACAGCCCTGTGGGCTGTGGGAGAAGGCCAGGCCGCGGCGTGGCCTTGGTGAGGGGCCACGGACAGAGCAGCCTCTGTGGCAGAAGCTTCCAGCTCAGGGCCCCCTGCCCACCCCTCGAGTCTTGTTGCCAAGTTTATCAACAGCACAGAGCTCTGTGTGCTAAATACCAAGTGAAGGGAGAGGGAAGAGCCAGCGAAGCATGGGAGCTTCACCCTGTGCCTCCAGCAGCCTACAGAAGAGCTGACCTGGAAAAGGACTCAGAGACCCAAGCAAAGCAGATTTGCATTTGCGAGCTGGGGAGGAGCAGGGAGCAGCCTGGGGATGAAGGGAGTTCAGGGTAGAACGGTGAACCAGGGAAACTGCCTGGGAAAACAGAATTTTAGAGGAAACTCCAAAACTCTTTCCTCTAAAAACAAAAGTTTTGGAGGAAAAGAGAGTCTTATAGAAAACGGTAGCTAGTACGTATTAAACATTTAACTATGTATCCGACGCAGTGCCAAGCAGTTTTCTCCGCAATCCCACGAGGCAGGTATTCTATATTGTTATCTCATCGAGTGGTGAAAAGGTGAAGTAACTTAGCTAAGATCTTAGAGCCTTGTTCACTACACGATGGGACTCTCTCTACAGATAAATGCCTTTAGTCAGAAAGCCCGGTGCGAGCTCCTGCTCCTCCCCAGAGGTGCAGGTAACTGCGGAAGCCCCCCAACCCTCCCCCGCACTACTGTCCCATCTGTTAAGCACGAAGGTTGGAGGTCGCATGAAAGGGATTTCCAGTCCTGACTCAGCCCTGAGCACCTTGGGAAGACCAGGGCTCAGGAAGTGTCAAAGGGGCTGCAGGGAGAGGCTCCTGGCTGCTGACGGGGGTTTTGACACGGTCTGTCCCCAGGAGAGCCCTTCGAGGGTGGGGACGCCAGGGCCTGACCTTCGTGGGACGGGCCACTCACACCCTCACATTCTCAGTGTCTGTGTGTGGCTCCTGGATACACCCACCCCTGGGAGAGCCTGGGTCTCGAGATGAGACAGCTGAGTCGGCGGGATTAGCTTCGGCAGAGTCTCCCGCTTTGTCCCGGATCGCAGCAGGCACTGAGAGCCCGCGCGGGTGACCCGAGGGCTGCTCCTTACCTTCTCCGTGACGGCGCGGGCGCACTCAATCAGCTCCCTCTTGGTGTAGCTGTCCGTGGGGCACACCTGGAGGGCCCCCGCCTTCTGCACCAGGAAGATACAGCCGTGGCCCAGGTCCTGCACGCGGGTGCGAATCTGGAAGCCGATCTGCAGAGGAAGCCCGGGATGGGGGAGGAGAAGCGTGACGGACCCTGCCATCGAGGTCTCACTACGTGGAAAATTTCTCCTGTGTCCTACGGGGGCCCGGCTAGGAAAATTCCACTCCTATTAGGAATCTGTGTTTGGTGAAGTATGGAATTCGGTTGATTTTGCTTCCCTTTTTAGAGGCTATAAAATGCCCACAGTCCCCATTGAGCAAGCCTGTATCTCAGGTCCTAGCACCCCGCTTTCCTGGTTTTTGCTACCTTTTCTGGTTTACAGCTTATCTGCCTCTCAAGCCACCAGATAAGAATATTGATTAGATGAACTCGACTCTGTGGGACAATTCTGTTATTCATTCAACAAGCATTTATTGAGCCCAACTGTGTGTTAAGGTCTTTTCCAAGCAGGTAATGCATTTAATTTCATTTATTCCTCGTAACAGCCCTGGAGGGTAATCAGAAGTTCGAAATGTAGTTGTAGTATTAACTGTATTCAGATTCTTGCAAAACTGATGTTTACCAACTAGAACACCCCCTTCCTCAGCTGCACCACCTGGGCAGTGACCACACTGAGCCCAGGCTTCCTTCCCTTAAAAAGGTTCATTTTTAGAGCTAAAAGCTCAGCAGGCACACCTTCTTTTCATGCCCCCTGGGTTGTGTGCTTACACAAGGTACTTGGTGTAAGAGAAGCCCAGTGAGCTCCGCTATGGGTAAGCCGCCAGCTGTCTCCTTTAAGGTGTAATACCCCCTCCCCCGCCAAAGTTTGCATTCCTCTGACCCTGTTTCACATCAATTTTCATTTTGTTCTAATCAATACAGATGCCATAAATAATCTCTCCTTCAGCCCAGGTAAACAACTAAAACAAAACTTTTAAGCATGAGTGTTATTTTCAAGAATCTACAATAGCTAGAAGCTACAGCTTATCTTTCTAGCATCTATCAAGAATATTTACTAAAAGATCTCAGGTCTTGTGAATAAAATCTGGGAGATTTTGGCCACTTGCTTGCTACCTTCTGATACCGTCTTGTTAGAGTGTAAGGAAGGGTGACTTTGGAGAATGAAGGGGGAGCTGCCAATGTTCTTTCTTCTATTATTGAAATGCTACTTTCGAGACAAGAAGTTTCTTCCTCTTAACCCCTTAACGCCCAAAGAAATTTTAAGTCCATTTAGAGTAATATTCTCGTGATCCAGAAACTTGAGCTTCTGCTCTTTTGGGTGGGTGTCTTTTGCATTGTCCATCGGGTGCTGTAGAAGCCTCATAGGCAGAGCTGTCACATAGAAAACATGAACAGCACCCCTGAATTGTTCAACAGGGCAGCTCTGCAAACAAGTCTGGACTGGTGCAGCAATAAGGCTGCCACTGAGGAGGCGAGAAAAGCACCCTAATTCAGCACACACAGCTGTAATGCTGTTTAAATATACCTGTTTGCCGGACATGTTTGTTGGCTTAAAAACAAGGTCAAGCTAACACAGGGAGATGCTCCATTAACATTTTAACCTCAACTTGGCCTTTGAAGCTTTCTAGATCCACATACTTTAATCCTAAGTACTCAAGGGCCCTGAAGTCAATGATAACCACAGATCTCTAAATAATAAAGTGCTGCTGGAAAAGTTAGGTATAGAGGAAATGGAGGGAGAAACATTAATAGAATTTTAAAGTAAAAAAGACCTTACCAATTCAATCTCCCCATTTTACAGATGAACAGACTGAGGCCCAGAGAAATAATGTGATTTGCCCAAGATCACACAGCTGGGCCCTAGCAAAGCTAGATGAGAATCCAGGTCTTTAATCCTGAGCACAGTGCTCTAGCCAGTAGATGAGTGTTTTCCTAACTGCTTTGATTTTTTCTACTCAGTAGGACACTTCCTCCCTACCCCAAATAAAATCTCTTGTGGATCTCAACATGTAAAATAGATAGAAATAATGTGTTATTAGTATGTTCTTCCTTTGAGTTGAAATTTATATCCTTGGCTCAATAAAAAGTTAACAATGAGACCGAATGAACCAGAGTTTTAAAGACGAGGTTATGAAGGTCAGTTACAGCCTCAGCCAACAAGTCATTTCTGTCTTTTGCTTTGGTTGCATAGTGTTGAGAAAATCCTGCTATGTGCATAAATAAAGAAAACAGGAGTTTTCTCCCAGTTCTTGACCACTACAGGCAGGGCGGATGCAGCATCAGCCTGAGATCTGCAGAAAACCACCCAGCGGCCTAAGGCAGAGTGCAGGCCCCCCAATGGTTCCCTTTCGGCCTGGACCACACGCAAATATTTTTTTCTGTTGCCCACATGAGCGAAAGGTTGAGAGTAAGGGCAGGGATGGGGCTGGTTTTTTCCTAACAGTTTTAAAAGTAGTTAAGTTTAAAAAGTGAGACTCGAAGCAAATATGCAGAACCTCCAAAGCTCCTCTGTGGGTCAGGGTTCTGAAGAACATGGTGCAAAATCATCGTCCTAGAAAAGGCTGAGGATCTCCAACAGCGTTTTCTGCATGCTCCTCCTGCACAACGTCAAGCCTCAGCCTTCCGTGTGCAGAACGCAGGGCACTGGAGCAAGCACGTGCCTCCTAAATCCCCCTGGGGTGGGAGGGAGAAGGGCCCTGCATCTGAGCTGTCGCAAACCTGAAACCTAGCGGAAGACATGACTGAGGGTGGGATACACCTTCAACAATGCTCTGTGCTCCCTTAATAGCACCACCCTGCACCCCAAAGGCTATGCTATAAAACACGCCCAATGCCCTGCTGCTCAGCCCCTTTCTTGGAGGCGACATGAGGCATGTAGCAAGGGAGCCTGTAAGTGATCAACGGTGGAGCTGGCCCAGTGGGCGTCAGGAATGAAATTCCAGCTAGGAAGCTACAAGGAAGACCAGCACCAGAACGCAAAGAGATGAGACTAAGCAAGGCAACAGCTGCAAAGGCCCTTGGCGTTCTCATTCAACCCAGGGCTTTGCCCCGACAGGTGGGTCTGTGCCAGGTCACACAACTGTCTTCTAGGTACCTGGAGGCCCCCTAGAGGCTTGGCCACACAACCCTACTTGGACAATATGCAGCAGGGATGTGATTGTTACCAAGGACAAGTTGAGATAGGCTTCACTTGCTTTTCATGGGCTAGGAAGGCTAATGTAAGAGGAAGAACGGGATCTCGGGATCCCAGTCCTGTCCCAGCCCCACTCTCGACCTTTCGCCCATGTGGGCAGTAGAATGCACCAGGGACCTTGCTTCCAGCTCTGCCCTTTCCTGGCCACTGGACTCTCTGGGTTAGCCCATTAACCTTCATGGCCTTTGTTCCTTTCCCCACCACATAGGACAGAACCTGCCCCACCCACTTCCCCAGGGCTGAGGGGACGGCCAAATGAACAGGTATAGGTGAAAACATCTGGAAAAGCTGGAAGTGCCACATGAATGCTTATTGTTGGAAAAAGAGACAGACTCGTGCTGGCGAAAGAGCCAGGATGGTGATACTCAGTGAACTTGAGTTTGGATTCTGGCTGTTCCACATATTTCCTTGTTAACTTACTCACTCACTTAAAACATTCACTTATTCCAAAAAGTTACATAAAGTGTCTAAAATACTAATGACTATAGTTGTGTGTTATTGTGCAATTTAAGCTCCCTGAGCCTCAGTTTGCTTATCTGTGAAATGGGGAAGAACAAATGATTCTTGTCTCACATACTGCAGTTGTGAAGGGAAACAGGACAGCACCCAACACAGCATCTAACATGGGGTGAGGACTTGATAAATAATAACTCTTTATTATTATTTTGTAGGGCAACATGGGATAGCTAGGGCACTTAAATGAAAGAAGACAATAGAATCAACATAGTCTACCAGCCATTTCATAGAACGTTCTGTTCAACCGGAGAACATCCTAGAAAGGGAATGCATTTTCAAGACTGTATTCAAACAGATAAGGGATTTAAGAATGCTAAGCTTCTCAAAGCAACACTAAACTTCTCCGTAAATATGACCAGCCCACAGGGTGATCCAACTAACTACCAGTGTTTATTATAAAGGAATGTTGCTCAAAGACATAAAACTTGAGGTTTTAAATTGGCAACTTCAGTAAAACATTCCATGAGCCTCAAGAAAAACCATCAATTCCCTTCTTGCCCAAAGAAAAGTAAAATGGAGAAAATCGTCTCCTGGTTCTGTGCCCTGAGGGAAATTAAAAGCCTGGTCTTTATGAAGTTTGGGATCTGATTTCAGCTGGAGAGGGGTGTAAGAAATACTGATCGTCTTTCCTTACCGCCTAAAACTAAACAAAATGTACCGATTTTTCTCAGGCCTTAAAAGCAATTACATGTGAAACCAGGTCAAACATAATTTGCCTGGGATGGCGTATGAACGTTCAAAAGGTAATAACGGACTTATCTGAAGTTAGAAAATATGGAAGGAGAAAACAAAGAGCCCGACCTGGGCATCACTTTCCCTCCTCCAGAAAGGGTGCCTGGGAGTGGAAAGTTTTAGAAAATTCTAGAGCAGACATCCATCTCATTTGGAGGCAAGGGGCTGTGGTTCTCACCACAACGCTTAACAAATGATCCTGCCAGCTTTTAAGGCATGCAGTGTTACAAGTGGCTACTACAAATTTTCCTCAGAGACAAAGCTGCAGTCACTAAATCTTTTCCCCGGGATTTACATTTTGGAGTTGCGGCTCACAGGACCTCAAGTTCTTTCTTCTTTTTCTTCTTTTTATTTTTTCTAAGGGGAAACTAATCTTACACTGCAAAGCTGCTGGAGGGTTTTAACTTTTCTGAAGAAAGACGTTTTCAGGCGATGTTAACAATGGTTTGAATTTTCCATGGAAAAATAAGCAGACAAAGCTCCTGCTTGATGTTCAAGGACAGAGCTGTGACTTTTCCTGTAATTGCCACATTCTGGAAAAGACCAAAGCGCTGACTCCAGGCAGCCGACTGCAGGACTGCAGCGAAGGGAGCGGTTTGTCATTTGCCCTGGATGTAAATGTTTTCACACGCTCTGATGTGGAGCCCTCTTAGGTACACAAATAATTCCACAATCTTGGAATTAAAAACTATGTTGCTTTAGGGATCTCCTAGGCTTCTCGGTTTTCCCCCAACTATCAGTCTGGCAAATACACACCAAGAATTTTCCTTAGCAAGCCACTGGTAATTTAATATTCTCTCTGCCCCTTTTCGCTCCAGGTCACACTGCTCTCGTGTCTGGAATGTAAAATACATCCCAAGATGTAACGGTGAAGAGGGAAAACCGTCGTGAAAACGTCAGCGGCTATAAATGCAGGGCCAATAACCAAAGTAACCTGCTGTTGTGCTTTTAGCAATATATTTTCTCTCCTGGCTGCTCTGGCATTATTTTATATTTTGCTTCAATGGTCTGCGCTGCAAGAAGGAAATCTGCCTATTTCACATATGGGGTGGGTGGCTCATGAGAACTCAGCTGTGGAAAGGGTCCCCAGTAACTGAGGCAGGTCACCACTTAAACTAACCAAGGCAGATGGTAGTAGATTCCATTTTTAAAGGTTTCAGAAATCTAAACTCCCCTTGCAACCAGTCTTGTTTTTCATCCCCCTCAATGCCAAACACTTCTTTTGTCCAACCAAACTTTTCCTTACTGTAACGTAAGTTCCCTTACACTCGTTTATGAAATTCAGAATCACATGCTAGTCAAATGAATTATAAGTTTAGATGATCTTACTAAAACAGTGAGTCTGCTTTTTAAAAAGGGATGGGCCCGTGTAAAGAATCAACAGAATGGTGACGTGGGTGTCTGATAACTGTTCTTTCTTGGTTGCGACTTAACATACTCATTACAAATAGAATTATTCATGCTGCGGTCTAAATATTCAATTATTCGGAAATCTCAAAATGCAGACACTGTTAGAAACTTAAGTAATCCCATGCTAGATATATATGTACACAAGTACATATATATGATATTCCTGTACATGCATTGTTATAACACACATCAGTGATTTGTTTTTGGTCTTCGTTTCTGCAGTATTTCTGGGAGTCTCTGTTATGACATATTTAGACCTGACTCCCAGGAGAAACAGCAGCACTGAGTCGCTCGGGACAGTGACTGTCACTGCGAGGAGAAGAGAAGACCAGGTACAACCTTTTGCCTTGCCAGCCCAGCTCACTTAGGAATATCTTAAACAGGGTTTGTGCTCAATAAATGGCTTGCTGAATTTCACAGAATACAGTTACCTCTATCTTCCCAGTGTCCCTGCAATCCATTACTCTTTATTGCAAACTGAGCTTTCTTTCTCTAAGAAGTCATGCAGTTCCTCAAGCCCTGGACCCCTGTGTGTTCACACTGACGCAGGTGCAGGGCTGCAGGCACGCCAGGGCTGTGCCCATCCTGCATGCTTCCCGGTGACTGTCCCATTTCTCAGAGGTGTCAGACAGGGGAGCTCTTAGAAAGTGGCCTTTGGAACCAAGCTTTTGTTGCCGTAAGACTCTTAAGGGTGCAGGCGTTCTGAGGCCACGTCTACGTTGGCCACTCTGGAAAGCTAGTTTAGGCAGGTAGGCAGTAAACAGGTGTCTGCCAAAAGGATTAGGGGCAGGGATCTGGCCCGGTTCTTAGAGAGCCACCATGAATATTCAGACTCTGCCAGACCCTGTTTCATGACAGCAGTCCTTTCTTAAGAGAGCGGCTGCTAAACCCCATACTTTTTTCTTCTAACACATCTGCAAACCTTTGGAAGACATAAAAATCATGGAGGGGGGCTGTGCTGACGGGAGTAGGAAGTGAGAAGAAGATGGCAGCCCCAGGCTCAGGCATGCTAGGAGAGGCAGCAGGTGATGGGCTGGGAGACAGGGGACCTGGCAGAACACTGTAAACAGAGTCCTTCGGTCTGAAGCCCACACCCCAGAGGACCCCAGCTCTCGGCCAGTCTGCCCCAGAGAGGGCAGTGAACTCTGAGCACAGCCTGGGGCCACCGGGGCGGGACCTGTGCTGTGTGGCGGCTGGAACTAAACCTGGCTCTGGCTACTGGGCTGGGGTCTTCTAGAGGGAAGCTAAGCTACAAAGAAACCCCCAGAAGTGGGTACCAGTGTGTGTTTGCTTCTTAAAATAGGGCCCTTAAGGTGGCAGACCTCCTCTGGCTCCGCCGTGGCTGCTGCCATCTGGCCCTGGAGAGCCAGGTGCCCATAGTCACTGGTCATTTGTGAAGCCAGTCCTCCCAACTCCTCCGGGTTAGTAACCGACTTAGTCATCTGGAAAAAGAAAACAAGCAAGACACAAACACACACACACACACACACACAGAGAAAAGCATGAGAACCATGTGTTAATACCACTGGAAGCCAAAAGGTCTCATTCACTTTTAAGCTCCCGACAGGGCAGAGGCCAGGACTGCGTGTGGGGCCGGACGCTGGAGAGGGCAGCTCAAGCGAAGCCCATGCTGCGTCGCACAAGACAGGCCACGGCCCTCACAGGCCCCACGGGGCCCCTTCTGGCCGGGCCAGACGGACACATGCTCAGCGTTCAGGCTGTGCAGCGTGGAGCCAGGCCTCCAGGGTCCACTCTCTAGCAGGTGAGCCTGGCAGCCTCTGGGCCAGCCCTGCCCTATTGGGTCACCAGAGGAATACCCCCGAGAGACTACCAGCGAGCACAAGCCCTGTGCCCCGCATACCTCTGGGCACAGGCTGCTGGTCTCTGGGTACCCAGAACCAGGTCCCACCCGGAGGAGAGAAGGCATGAGGACAGGGCTGTCAAGGAAATCATGAACAAGAAGTGACGGACAAGCCAATGTTTTGGAGGAAGAAACTCATAGAGAACACAGCTTTGTATCAAATTTGTGCCCAAGGATGACAAAGTTTCAGCACAAATTTAGCTGAGAGTAAAACGTGGCCCAAATGGTCAAGTTCTACCTTGTCACTATCAAGATACTCAGTATTTTCTCGTCTCACAGACAAATGCATCTCAATTATCCTATCTAGCTAACATGCTAGTTTCTAGCTTTTCCTTTTCCTCTGGACAAAAATGCCTCTTAATTCTCACAGCAGTTTTAACCTGCCTGCCACCCAGAAAGGTGTTGGGGTCCCTTGTCTAGGGGCTTCCCTCCTGCCCCACCCCCTCTCACTCTGGATAACAATACTGCCTCTTTGTGGCCTTTTAAGACCTTGATTTTAAAGGGCTTTTAAAAACCCCTTTTTAAATGACTCCATATCCAGCGAGGCAGGATGGGAATATCCATCCCATCTAAGGCATATTTACAAGGAAACGTCACAGGCTTCAGGCCAGGTGTGGGTTCCAAGGAATGCATGCTGAACTCCAAGAAAGCGAGGTGGTACCATGTGTCACTCCATCTGTGCCCTGTTGACAGGGGCACGGCGATGCTGGGGGCAACCTGACTCCACCTAAAGGTATCAGGCTGGCCATGTGACCCAAGCTTGGGCTCCTTAGGATCATGGACACCAAGGGTCAAGACAGGCCAGACCAGAACCTGGCCCAGGAGATGTTTCAGAAACACCACGAGGCCACTCAAAAACGTTTCACTGCTGTTGTGCTGGGCTCCCTGCTCATCAGGAATTGGCACCAAAGGGCTGCAGGATTGGACCTGTGATCTGTGCCCTGAGCTCCCCTGAGAAGGGCAAGTTTGGGCTCAACTCCGACATCTCACAAAACACTGAGATGGGCACTATTCCCACCTCCCTCCCCAGCCCGAACTCTTTTAAACAACAACAAGCCTGGCACATCACAGCATTTCCACGAATGAATGCAGCAGCCAGGGAAGCCTTTCTGGTCCAAGCTCAACCTCTAGTGGACGCACGATTACATGACAAAACCATTCAGGGAGGCGCCTGGGCCTGATGGAACAGGAGCCGTGTGGCGGCTCGCTCTGGTCCCTCCAGCTAGGAGGGCCACTTGATCTGACAGCTCAGGCTTGCGTGGCAAGTATCAAAGAGGCATCTTCTGGAATCTTATCTTGTGGCATCCAAGCCTTCAGGAGTTGACGGGAACCTTTTCTGCATACTCCTGTTAATTCTTTGAGGACACCATTTGTCATCTTTTGTACAACTTCTCAACATAACAAGACAGCCTTCACTGTCTCCCAATTTCATTTATATCTAAGGCTCCATACAATACAGCTCTGGTTGCATTACATTTTAGAAAACAAAAATACCTCCAAAGTTACATGCCTTCTACTGTCAGGAAAACATTTTTACATAACCATGCTGTTTCATTTTGCCCGAAAGACTGGAAGTATCTTACTGTCCAAGTATTACACTTTGATTCCATCTGACAATCTCATCCCTGTTCTGTTTTATCTCAAAATATCTTCTCTTGTACTGTAATTTTAACCTATAAAAACACCTCGAATCCTTTGAGACGTGCATAGGATTTTCCCCCTTTCTCCTTAACTCCAAATTCCTTCTCATTTTCTCCGTTCTCTCATTTTCTCTCCTTCCTTTGCTTTCCTGTCCTCATGCCCAAGTCTCAGTCATCTTTCATTCCTCTTGCAGCTTTTTCGTGAGAGGAGAGCTCCAGCAGACTGAAGCTTCTAGACTGCAGGTAGCCAGAAAGACCACAGAGGAAGAACAGAAGCTGGAGCCCTGGAGGGACTAGGGACAGGGACTGAGCTCTCTCTCCAACACAGATTCTGGATGTGAAGGCTTGGGGGTGGCAGTGCAGAGAGGGCAACCAACCGGGGAGACGGCAGCTCTTTTTCCTCTTACCATTTCCTGAGCTGTCACTGCAATGGCTTTGGAGTATTTAACCACAGTCGTCTGATAGTCGACAAATGTTCCCTTTGGTTCTGGAGGGGTGCCTTCATCCAGCTACAGAGGAGAGGAAAAGAACCCAAAGGTCATAAGAAGCCTGTTGAAGTGGACTATATTTATTCAAATTAGGAACTTTGAAAAACGGAGAGGCCCTCAGAGATTCTTTGGCCCAGAATTAACAGAATTACCCAACTTCTGCATTATGGACAGAGGTGCACGTCAGCATTTGGACGTGCACACCAGCAAGGAGAGGCCCCAGCTTTGCCTGAGAGGAGTGGGAGGCCTTCCAGAGGAATGACGTTTTAGCTAAGTCTTACCAGGTGATGAGGAGTCTGCCGCATCGGGAAGGTGTCCCAAGAAAAGGGAACAGCATTCATGCACGTGGAGGCAGAGGTGGGCCTGACACTTCTAGGGAAGTGCAAAGTGGTGGAAGGCAAGGTGGGAGAGGAGGCGCCTTCCTAGGAAGGGTCTAGTCCACGGATATCTACACCTTGGAACCCTTACTTACGATCTAAATCAGGGAGCAGAAGAAAGTGGGAGCACTAGGAGTAAGTTGTTGCTCCCCTGACTGAAAGTGCAACGGGAACCGAGAGAAGGGCAAGATCACTGTGCAGTGGAAGAGTTGGGAAAGCAGGACTGTGTCCCTCGAAGGGTTGGAGACATTGGTTCAGAAGACCCGTATTCGAGACCTGGTTCCAGGGCTTGTGAATGGGCCTCAAGCTGGTTAGACTCTGAGTCTCGGGTCCTTCATGGGTAATCTCCAAGCATCACATGGTTGTAGTAAAAATGAAGACTATACCTGGTCAAGAACCACATAAAGGAAGAGGAGATAATGACCATGATAAATGAAGAAGATAATGATAATGTCAATAATGACTATGATGAAGAAAAATGCAACGCATCTTCACCCATCACTATCATCGCTATTGTCACCATTGGTTACTGAATAATATCCCAGGTGAGGAGACAGGTGAACAGAAATGAGCACAGGAAGAACAAGTCTTGTGAGGTTGGTCTGACCTGAACAGAAGGGGGTTGTTGAGAGTGATGGGGGAACAAGGCTGGATCCATTTTTACGAGAATCTTGAAATCATGAAGAAATGCTAGGATCCGGGGAAGGTGGTGACATATTTAAGAAGATCTCCCTGGTAGCCCTGTGCCATATGATTTGGAATCAGGGAAGAGACTGGAGGCCAAGAGGTCAATTTGGAAAATGTTACACAAAGTCTTCAAAAGAGCTATTAACACATGTGATGAACAGACGTGAGCTACACTGCAAGTGAGAGACTGAAGGCTGTGCGTGACGTGGCTGCACGGCCTGGGGTGTAATTTTCAAACTACTATTATCAACACAAACTCCAGGCTGGACTTTTTAGCTTTCCTTATCGGGCAGATAGATGCTGCCAAACATCCCCACCACGGCACGGGGACCGTGCTAGTCAAACGAGGACGCAGTTGCGCACTCATTCACTCGCTGTAAAATAATTGAGCATCTCCTAAGTGTTGGGCCATGTGCAAGGAGCTGTCACATGATACGCAAACATGCCAGGATGCGGGAGCTAGAGGCGGCTCAGAACTCTTAGCTAGTGACCACTGACAACCATGAAGACCCTTTAACCAGTCTGAAGACAATGGGAAAAGAACAAAGCAGTGAGTTTTCTAGGAGTTCAACGTTATTTAGTTGAAAGAACTTTCCTTTGAGATTAGAGATAGCCTGCTCACTTTTTTTGATGTTATTATTAATATGACCTTTCTTATATAAAAGAGCAGTTTTGTAGATAGCAGATATTTTGTTTATTTTGTTTAATTCTTTTTCTTGGCCAGAAAGAAAGAAAAAAACCAAACAGAAACAAAGAAAAGGTACTGCATCCTAAAATCCCACAGATCCCACTAACCACACTGAATGAGGAAATCAAGGTTCAGAGACCTGGAATGACTTGTCCAAAGTCACCCAGAAAGCTGATTACTTCACATTCACCTGTTAGTTCCCAAACCTTCTAGTGCTTAGATACAGGAAAAGAATACCAAAGAGAACCTCCATAGCGGAAGCCCCCAAAGCGTCATGAATTGTATCCAAGTTAGAATCAACTTTGAGAACACTCATTTTTCTGCCAGTCACTGCCTTTGAGAACTTCAGATGAAGAGTCTAATAGTATCACAGGTGCTTTAACCAAATTAATGAAACTGAGAGAGAAAATGCCAGCTTTCCAATGTCTTACCGTGTGGGGGCACAAAGGACCTGAAATATCACTCACTACAAAGTCCCCAGTGATAGGCTAAGCAAAGGGAGAGTGGCGTGGGGAAGAGATGTCGTGTGGCTATCCTGGATGTCAGGTCGGGGTAGATAAGAGTTTAGGGGTACCAATGAAACCCCAATTGTATACTTTGTGGAACTAAGAGTGGGGAGGAACCTTTGTTCCTGGCCTCTGGGGCTTATGTCATCAGCAGTTCCTAATTATTGCTATCAGGTAATGCCAGACTTATTGCCCAGCCCTTCCAAAAGAATTGAGTGTGTCCTTTGGCTGAGAGAGCAGGTGCTACACCACTGACAGCAGGTGGAGCAGGACCCACTCGCCCCATCCGCAGCCCGTCACGGTGCCTAAGGCTTGGGGCCTTCACAAAAAAGACTTTGGGATCTGACTTTCATTTTCCAGGAATTCATAGACTGTTTCCCGATTACAGTGATTCTAAAAAATACCGTCTCCCAAGAAGAGAAAAAGATTATTGCTTGAAATTCTAATTTGCACCAAGAAACCTTGGGCTCCATTATTTAATGTCCTTGGTAGATACGTAGCTTCTTTTCAAAGCTCTAGTGTTCTGATGTCATGAGACTTATCCAAGGGCCTTGAGAAAGGGGGGAATTTCACTCGTTTTCTGCCAAACTGTCCATATTTGAAGCATGAGAAGCCCACAGCAAAAAATTAGCAGATGCTTTGACAAAGCCAAGCCTGGGGTCTCTAAAGGGAGACACGGCGTTCCAGCCTGGGCTTGTTACTTTATCAGTCTGACAATGACTGCATAATGTTTAAGGATAATTATTCTAATTATAGTTTCAGGGTATCATTTCTTTATGGAGATATGAACAACCAATCTTCTCTAAATTAGCAATTAAAGACTGCTTATTATCCTGAATAACCACATTAATGTATTCACAATCTGACAATGGACATTTCAAAACAACAGATGATGCCTAAAATTCTTGGCTATGCTATCACAGGATGGCAATTAGATGTTGATGAACAATTGTTCATTCTAATGAATATCAAACTGACATGACTAGTGAAGGATTCCTCGGGGGGAAGAGCAGGAGATACGGAGTTGAAACTGTCTCCAGGCATATTTCCCTACTGACCCAACTCAATCGATGGGTCACTAAATGAGAAAATGATACTCATGTTATCTTCTATATCTGCAGCCTACATGAGTTCACTGAGGCCTTTTACACATACCGTTCCAGTGGTTTCTACCCTTGGCTAGATACCAGGACCATGGGGGAGATTTTTAAAGTACAGTCAGATTCCTAGACTCCACCATGTAGAGACTCCACCCGAGTCAGCGTAGCTGGAGCCTAGGAATCTGCATTCTTGAAAGCTCCCTGGGATTCCAAAATAGCCATTCCAAAAACCAGCACTTGGGACTCACTTCATTATTTCCTTGTGGAGTTTATTCCCCACAACAATCCTATGAAGCAGACAGGGGAGGTAAATAATTACTTCCATTTTATAAATGAGGAAACCTATGATACCTTCTTTCCTTACGTAAAGTTGGAAAGGTGCACTTGGCTTACAAAAGTAATGCATTAATCATAAAGAATCATACGTTGGACATGTGATTGGACATCTGGACATGAACCAGAACAATTTTCAAGAAAAGAAAGGGCTGTCAGTTGGCTCCTTAGAGGACAGCACGTGAGGCCCATGTGTGAGGGAGACGGAGCCGAGGAGGGAGCCGGGGACCCATGCCCACCTTGCTCATGGCCTCTGCGATGGCATCCACCATGCCCCCCACCAGCCCCACTTCGCTGGCAGCTTCGTTCAGTGTCACCATGATGTCGTCCACCGCTTCCTTCATCAGCTGGGCAGCCTCTGTGATGGCGTCGTGGGTGTGCTGCGCCTGAGGGGGGAATCGGGAAGTGTTTCCTTAAGCATAGAAAGCCATGCTCAGTCTTTTAAGAATACTTCACTTCTTTTAAGAACAGTTTTAAAAAGTGGAATACAAAACCATATCCTCACCATGGAGCTCAGCAATGTATTCTGTTCTACATCTTCCCTTTCCTTGTTCACGTTTGTCCATTTGTTTGCAAAACAAAAATCAGAAGGTCAAATTTAAAAAGATCCCTTTTTTACAATCAAGAAGAAAAATAAGCCGGGTGCGGTGGCTCATGCCTGTAATCCTAGCACTCTGGGAGGCCGAGGTGGGCGGATTGTTTGAGCTCAGGAGTTCAAGGCCAGCCTGAGCAAGAGCGAGACCCCATCTCCACCAAAAATAGAAAGAAATTAATTGGACAGCTAAAAATATATAGAAAAAAATTAGGTGGGCATGGTGGTGCATGCCTGTAGTCCCAGCTACTCGGGAGGCTGAGGCAGTAGGATCACTTCAGCCCAGGAGTTTGAGGTTGCTGTGAGCTAGGCTGATGCCACGGCACTCACTCTAGCCCGGGCAACAAAGTGAGACTCTGTCTCGAAAAAAAAAAAAAAAAAGAAGAAAAATAAAGCTGCAATATCAAACAGCATCTTATGTCTGATTTTATACATTATTATGTTCAGGACGGTAGAAAGAGAATGCTACAGGTTCCTGAATATATTAATACAAGCTGACACATTTAATAAAAAAAACAAATATAAAGGAAAAATGTGTTCATAACATACGTACTTCTCTTCAAAGTTGCCTAACACATTGTAATTCCTTTTTTACAAATAAGATTGGACTATGGAAATGCAGGTACATACAAGAGAAATAAATCTGTGGAAGGCCTAACAGCCTTTGGAACGATGTCACAAATTATAACACCAAGAGGTCGGCAGAATGAATGAGCAAAGTGCTCCAAGGGCAGAGGCCCTGCAGACCAAACCCCAAGTACTCACGCATCCCTGAGACCTCACCTTGGAGCAGGGGTTAGGTGAATGAATGAATGAGACCAGGGCACTGCTGGGCTCTCTGAAAGACATCTCAAGGGGCAGCAAGATGCAAGGGGAGAGCCAGGGTGCTGGGTCAGACAAACCTGGGCTCTCGATTCTGCTTTACTGCCAACTAGGTACGTGGACCTGGGCTTCGCTTCCTCCTAAGTGAAATGGGAATAATCCTAACACCACCATGCAGGGAAATTCTGATGAGATGATATGGGTGCAGGCACCTTACTGTTGATAATAAAGGCAGTCTAGTAGGGGGCTGGGCCCTCACCCTCATGCCAGGTAGTTAGTGGCAGAATTAAGCACTGCACCCAGGTCTACCCACACAGTGGCTGTGGTTCCTCTGACCCACCTCAGGGGGAGACGACCCTTCTAAAAGGCCCAAGACGCTGCATCTTCACCTGGGTGGATGAGAAGGTCAGGGAGCCAGTGGGAGACGATAAGTCTTTTGAGTCATTTTCTACATAAAAGAGGAGACTTCCAAAAAGAGACTATGAGAGCCACAGCAATTGGCCTTGTCCGAGTTGAAAAGCCATGGGAAGCAAGAGGGTCTTCAAATGTGACATCTGATGGGATGTGACATATGTTCATCATAGATGGTTATCCCTGAGGCACCTGTGTCAGGATGCACAGACCTCTCTCTTTGGGATGAACACAGTAAACTGGTAATTTAGGTTGATAGCTGATTTCGTGGCACAGAGAGGGTAAAACACAAATTGTGCAGACTGCTTTGACAATATAAGTCTGAAGGGTGGTATCTCCTGTAGATACCCTCCAGAAAGAGCACCTCATACGTTCTCATTTACATAGAAGGTGTGTATTTCTCTAAGTCTCCGTTAGAATGAGATGACTGCTGGAGACACAAAAACGCCAGCAATTCTGCACATTCGTATTAAAACTAAGCACATGTTTTAGGGGACAGGTGAACACTGCGTGACACGGATCTGCTCCCTCATGTCGGCTTAGGAAGGTGTCAGACGCAAATTTTGGGGGTGGCAGCAGTAAATCACAAAACTGTTCTTTGAACTCCTTAGAAAAATTTAAAGGACACTTGCCCTGTACCAGGTCACCAAAACATACAAAAACATACCCTTGCTCTCGGGTATCCCAGGATTGAATTACCTTCCCCTGTGCAAGCGCTGATGAACTCTCCAGAAGCTGCTCTCCTTTACTCCTCACGTTTCAGTTTTACAGATCTTTAGAGGGTCAGCTCAGAGTCTCCCTCTTCTGTGAAGCCTCCTCCAATTATTCCAGGCCTCATCTCGGGCCTTTCCCTCTGAACTCCAAAGGCAAGTCTCATCTTTACTAGACAGCCAAGTCTCAAACCATACATGCCTGCGAGCTGCCCTCAATAGTTTCAGACACCGAAAGACAGAGCTGGACCTCAATTAAGGCACGTTTAAACGACCGAGCAATCTAGTAAATGGAGGCAGTAGGCCCCACCATGAGGTTGTTATTTTAGATGCTGGAGGGGTTCCTTGTTACTGCTTCTTGTTATACGACACAGGAGAAAAATCAGGTTCTGTTCTATTTGGGACACACGTCTGAAGTCAGCTTCCAAGAGAGCCTTCTTTCTTTATTACAATGCTTCAACTACAAAGTCCAGGACGGCAGGCACAGACATCACAGGAGTATGGAAAATGGGAGAGGGCTACGGGGGTGGGGGAGATTTCAACTTCAGTAGAGGGGAAAACAACTAATGAGAACGTCCCAACAGTGTATAGGGCTGTGTCTTTGCTGGAGTGTTACAGGCAGAAGCTGTAGGGGCCCATCAAGGATGCTGCAGAGGGGAACTGGGTGGGGTAGGGGTGAGTGTAGAAGGGAGCCCAATGGGGTAAGGAGAAGCGACACAGCAAATGCCTTGGTAAGTGTATAATTCATTAACACCAGGCTCTGGGGCTGCTCCTTTATGTTTTTTAAACACCTACAACCTCAGGCACATTATCTGATCTATAACTCCCCTAGGGAGCGATTCATAATTAACCTCACTGTATAGGTAAGGAAACAAAGAAATGAAGTAATCTGCTACCAAGAGGCAGAGCTAGGATTTGAATCCAATTATGTCTGACCCCAAAGCGTGTGCTATTTTTCACCAAATCAAAGCTACCCATAGCTATTTAACAACACTTTAACTCTATTTCCTCTGCAAACAGGACTATAAAACACCTAACATGTAGCACATAAAACCTAGTAAATATCTTCCCAAAGAATAACGTCCAAGTTGATTAAGTCTGTGCATCAGCCTCCCAGGAAAGGGTCCGAAAAAGCACATTTGCAGCATCCCAGGCGTCCTTTGGGACAAACCTGCAGGGTTTGCAGACAGAGAGCAGGCCGACTGAGATCAGTGAGGGACACAAGTGGTCACCTGCCTTGCCTTCACTGTCCTGTCTTGCTTCATCCTCCAGGGCATCTGGTCATTCACTGAAAACTACTTCACACTGGTAGAAAAATATTCCAGACACCATTTCCAAGCAGAGGCTGTTATTATAAAGCCTACTAGCTACGTATGTTCCCAGCCATAAGGTTCCTCGGGATAAAATAAAATTCCATGAGGAGCTCTGAACTTGCAGTCCAAGCAGGTATGCTAACATCTTAAAGTCCAGAAAACTCCTACTTCAAATTATCCTACTGGCACTGACACCCTCTCAGGTAGGAGTGGGGACTCGCAGCAGTAAGTAGCCTGGGGAAAGGACAGCCGGAACTGAGTCAGAGGGTGAGTTCTGGCTCCTCTTGCTTGGGCAGGTGCAGAGGGGACCGGCCCGACTTCAGGGCACCTGCTGTTAATCTAGCACAGTCAAAACGGCAGTCTTTGTTCTTCGTGTGCTACTTCACCTCTTCAGCAACTAGACTTACTTTTTCAAAAGACCCTGCACAACTTGAGGGCAGTGGCTGGCTCTTAATATTTTAGCACCTCCAGAATAAAGCTCTTAATAATTGCCTGATACATGAATGAAAAACTGAACATGGAACATGTAAGTCCAAGACATCATTCATGCCGCTACCAGTTAGATGATGTTTCTAAAATATAGATGAGTTGTGTCATTGTCCTGTTTCAAGACCAGAAATGGTTCCCCACTACTTACAATAAAGACCAGACTGCTCAGCATGGAAGAGAAGAGCTGTCATGAAAGAATTCAGTCTATCCTCCTGTCTGGCTGTCCCCATATTCTGCATGTTCCAGACACATCAGACTGTTCACTACTATCTGAAGACATCACAATCGTTTTATAACTCTATCTGTGCCTTTGCATATGCTGTTTCGTCTTCCTAAGTTCCCAAGCTCAAAGCAAAATGTGGTACAAGGTCACCCGTAACAGGCTGTCTTCATCTTTGGCCACTTAAAGCAGCTGGGTGACACAACAGGCTGAAGAAATCTTCCTCTTGCAAATTGGTAAGGGAGATTTTCATATTAAACTAGTCTCTTCTTAAGTCCTAGGAACAGAAATGGTATTCACTGGAAAACAACAGAGCTTTCCTTTGTGCAAGCTGGGTGTCGGCACTGAGCAGGTATTCAGCAGGTATTTTAGTTTTTATTCCTGTAATAATTACACCACACATTGTTCTCTCCCAAAGGCACTTGCTTACACATTCTGTCAAGGAAAAGAGAACTTACACATAAGCCTTAATTATACATATTTCTTGGTTTTCCCCCTAAAGGTCCCTGGGAAGGCCACCTTAGAGCGGGAACTCAAATGCCACCGGTGAGAACGGGAGGTGTTCTTTCTTGGAGGGACAGAATACACCAGGAATGCATGAGGGCTTCTTGGGGGTCCTAAGTGAGTCCCCGATATCCTGGACCGTACCTTGGGGTTTCCTCCACCTTCTTTGGCTGCATACAGCATCTGTAATGCAGACTCTGCGAGCGTCTTGGTCTGGTCCAGCACAGTCATCTGCTGCTGATGGTCAAGGATCTTGGAGGCCACGCCAACCGCGGCTAAGATCAAGGGCTCAAAGTAGCTTGCCAGTTGTGTCACCTTTCAAGGAAAAAAAAAGGCCACAGATGTATGACGTAAGCACATGTGTCTCCTTCAGGGGCACCATAGTAGGGAGGGGCTGGGAGCAGGGCTGGGCAGATCTGCTACAATTGACTGCTGAAAGTACTCGCTAATTGATGAACTCTTGCCTGGTTTTTACTTCCTCTGGGGAATTCTTTGTCTCTTCTCAGAATATGGCAGAAGTGCTAAGAAACCCATTCCGAGATCCAGGGTTAGATAAGAGAATTGGATTCAACTTTACAAATCATTAATCGTTACAAATAAAGGACTTTTTAAAGAACCATGGACGTCTTACACACTGAGAAGGAAGGGGGAGTGAAGAGGGAGAGGACAGCAGGGGAGCCGAGAAAAGAAGGCTGAGATGAAAGGAACCTTCCCGAGCTTTTCCGGAAGCCAGTTCAATTGCCTTCTGCCCCAAGCATTTGGACCAAGCCTTGGATGTGGAATAAAAGCACAAATGAGTTCACATCAGCCTAGATGTTCTGTTTATGATTAGCCCACCCTGGGAGAACAAAAAAGCTTATCATGACAGCTAACCACTGCCCTGGCGCAGGCCTGGGTCCAGGAGGACAATCCCATACACACACACAAGCTCACCAAGGCTCACCAGCTGGGCACTGTGGGGCCACATGTCACAAATACTTGGTGTGTCCCCTATGCTGGGCTCCCTGATAAATGTTTAACATACAGCTCCTCGCTTAGTATCCACAACAATTTTAAGAGGCAGACACAAATGAAGAAACTGAGGCCTAGATGGGCTGAGCTGCATGCTCCTCTCACGCAGCTGGGAGGAGACAGGAACCAGGCATCCGACCCCACAGCCGGCTCTTGGCTGCCATGCTCTGATACTTTCCACTAAATTCCAGTTCTGCTGCTATTGTAACATTGCACTTCAGAAGTTCATCATTTGGTATTTGTTTGTTGCTTGGTAAGCATTTAAAATAAAGCCTGATGGCAATACAGCACTCTACCTAGCATGCAGAATATCAGATTTTAACATTTTGCTGCATTCCCTTCAGATACCAGAATCTACCTCCATTCAGATAAAACACCACAGTGTGAATCACACTTCTCCGTTCAACTCCTCGTTCTGTCTGGCAACGACTAATGGCTAAAGGATTTCCATCAAGGGTGTTTAAGTCTGTGCTTTCAGCCAGCAACTCCCTTAACGTGTCTTCCCGTCACGTGGGAGAAGAGTGAGTGTTGCTGGGACACAGGCAGGAAGGCCACTTCCCAGGAGCAGTCACCAGGCCAGAGGCAAAGCAAGGGGCAGCGGATCATGAGGGTGGTAGTGGCTGCAGCAAGCTGAGGGGGTGTCCAAAAAAGAAAACTTCATTAGAACTAATAGTGAGACAAGATTGTTAGCTAGCAATAAACACACTTTCACTCTGTTATCCTCACCAGGCAGCTATGTTACAGATCGGTTTCAAAGCACGTGAGCAGGGCTGTTGCTGGCCCTTAGGGCGCTTTTGTGTGAATTTTAAAGGGGTCCTGGGGCAGACCTGACCAACACCAGGGCACAGGGCTCGGCGAGCAGAGCACAGGCTGGATTTCAGCCCCTGCTCCCCGCTTCGGCCACACACCCTTGTGTAGGACCCAGCCTGCACGACCACAGGCAGCGGCCTCACACTTTGTTTTTGATTTTATCCTCTTCCCCAGGAAGGGCACTGGTGTTTACCAAAGGGAGTGGGGCCCTGATGGGCTGTCAGGGGCCAGGGCTTGGGATGGGATCTTTATGCACTAAAGAAGGAGTCGAAATGTCTAATGCATTAGAACCTTACATGTTTTCTAGACTCATTTTATCATTTTAAACTTAAACTTCATCATTGCAACTGTCAAATGTCAAGGGCTGCTGTGTGCTGAGAATAATTAAATGTAATAACCTAACTAGAGCCTGACTTCCCTGTGGAGGCAGTGTGGCTGGGTGACGAAGGCATTCAGCTCCAGCTTCAGAGCCAGTGGGTTGGAATCTCCCAACAATTCCTTATTTAGAAATCTTCAGCACATTGCTTCCTATTACTAAACTTCAGTTTCCTCATCTGTAAAATGGGGATGAATAATAGAACGAAGCTCATCAGGACTGTTAGGAGGATTCAATTAATGTGCAGAAAGAACCTATCATAATAACTGCCACATAGTAAGAAAACAATAAATGCTAGGTATTGTTATTCCGTATGTCATAGGCAAAGGTTTTCGAAGGGCTGTGATTTTGCCTGAATTTAGGGAGCTTAGCAAAGGACTTTTAATATCTTTTGCTTCTGAGAGACATGACAGAACATGAAACATCCTCCCTTGGGTTAGCATATAATTTCAAATAGCACAGAATTTTGAGTATCTGGTATATGATGCTCATTCTCTTGGGTGAGGGCAGCACAGTGGGTTGAATGTTGGCCCCTCAGGAGATATGTCCGTATCCACATCTCTGGAACCTGGCAATGTGATCTCACTGGGAAAAGGGTATTTTCAGATATATTCAAGTTAAAGATCTTGAAATGAGATCATCCTGGATTACCTGAATGTGCTTTAAATCCAATGGTAAGTGTCCACATCAGAGATGGGAGACGTGCAATGTGATCATGGAGGCAGAGACTGGTGTGCTAGTCATGGAGCGCCAGGAATAAACAAGATGTCAGAGGCAAGGAATAGATTCTCTGGAGAATCGCTCTCCAGCCTCCGGAGGGAGCACGGCCCCACCAGCACCTTGATTTTGGACTTCTGGCCTCCAAAACTGAGAAACTGTGAGAGAATAAATTTCTGTTGTGTTAAGCCACAGAAAATGAGTATAGTTGGGGTCTGAGAACTTGCATTTCTTATCACTCCCAGGAACCCCCTGAACACTGGAAGGAAGCAGTGCAAACACGTGGCCATTAACTCTCAGCCCCAGGTGCCTCTGGAGAGAGCCACAGGCTGCCTGTGTCCAAAACTCTCCTCTAGAAAGAGACCAATTCAGCCAAAGGGCTTAGAGGAAATTTATAAGTCAAGTGACATAAATATGTTTCTTTTGATGCTAACCACAAACATAGGAATTAATCTTCTACACTAATACAGTATCTGCAGAGACGATATTGCCCTCCAAAGATGTCCAGAAATATTTCCTTACAAAATTTCTAATGGAATCCAAAGCAATTGTTGAAACAACGTCCAGCTTCTCTGCTAAACTTGGTTTCCCTGAAATGGGCACACAGGCAGTGGCCCCAGCCTCTATGCCACCCTCTGCTCCTCAAACCTCTTCACACACGTGGACAAGCCCTTTTCTAATTACTATATAAAGAGACCCAGCTAAAAAATGACATTTGGTACACTTGAAAAGGCAGAGACACTGGCTATTTTAGAGCTGAAAAACCCCTCCTCAGAAGCAGTGGAAAGGTCAGTAGGCCCTTAAGCGACTCCATAATTCGAAAAAAGAATATTGATTTTCTAAAATCAATGCCTACAGAGAAGATTTTGGCTACAGCATCTCTTCATATGCACATCAGTACTGATAGCTGCACTGATAAAATGCTGGGAAACCCCAAGGTTGTTAGAAACTCAATTTCTGGCCTTTCCTTGCTGAGGCACAGGCTGCATGACAAGCCGATTCTCCTTTTAGGATTTGCAAAGTGAACCCCAAACAGGCAAAACATCACTCAGCATTTAAAACAATGTTGCTAGGAACCCCCGGTTGAATGATTCCCTGGAGCGATCACCTAGGGAGGGTTTGGTTGTGCTTTGCCTCATCACACGTATGAAGAGCCACTGTATTAAAAACCACAGAAGAATAACGTACCTCCCTAAACACACCAGACTGGGGCCAACCCGTCAGGGACAAAAGACGGCCAACTTTAGGCTAGGAGTGTCAACGTCAGTCTTTGGCTTATTTCAGCCAAGGTCGAGAGCAACTGGAGACCGTACATGCCTAGTTGGCTAAAGGCTGACCACAGCCAGAATATTTTACTATGGTTTTCTTCTCAACTCTAGGTGAAAATAGATCCTGAAGCAATCATTTCTGGAGAGGAGGCCAGAGGGAGGTTCAGTGCTATTTCCTGCAGTTCCAACCAGCACTGGACCTGGGCACAATCCTTGGCCACACAGGCTTTGGGAACAATAACAACCAAGTCAATAAAATATCTTCTCTTTCATGGACACATGTGTGCCCTCAGCAGGGTCCACTCGGGGTGCGTTACCTTATGTCCCAGCTGAGCCGCCTCTCCCCGAGCTGCGGTGGCGATGGGATCAATAAGGTGCCCGATTTCCTGGACCACTGAAGTCAGCTGCTCCTGGAGGGCCTGAGAAAGAGAGAGTCTCAAGTTCATCCCATGACAGTCCCCACAGAGCCCATTCGAAAGGTCCATATGAAGGATGGGAGAGGCCACATGAAACAGACATTAAAATGCCACTGGGTACACACCATCAACCCACCGCTCCCTGCCCTGCCCTTCCCCGTGGTTGACGCCTTGGCTCCCCTGGGCTGGACCCCCTCTATGGTTCCTCCTGCGAAAGAGGCAGGCCTGAGAGCCATTCTTCCTGCTGGCTTCTCTCCCACCAACCTGCCAACCCTGACAACTGATGCTACTGGAATTTTACTTCGGGTTATTCAGTGTGATTACTGGACATGCAGATCAGCCGTGGCTTTCCAGGAAGGAAAGGCAGCTTTGTCCAAATGGAGACAGCTAATGCTGGGGTCTGAGGGGACATTCAGGTCACTGTGTTCTCAGAAGTAATAACCCCTTAAGGAGGGAGAGTGACGTAAAAATGAAATTAGCTCTCTGAAAGCAGGACTGCTTCCCAATCAGTGTACTGTCAAAATGCTGAGATGCCCACTAAGCTCAGCTCAGACTCAAGAGTCCACTGTATTTGGCGGTGTGTGTGCAGCACTAAAGATGGCACCCTCAAGGTGTTTCTTCTCAGGTTTGAGAGATGGTTTCATCTCTCCACCCCCAAAGAACTGAATTATGCTGTAAAGAGACAGAGCAAGATATCTAGATGATTCTGGGAGTGTGAGGGCTTGGGGAATTCAAAGGTGGAGATTATTAACCAGTGGCAGGAAAGAGTAGATCCCTCTATAGGACCATTCACAGGAGCTTCGCTTGATAGACTCGGGATCATAGATCAGAACACTGGGATACAGGTCTGCACACACCAGCACGCAATTAGGGGATTCCTGAAAAAGTGGTGATGTCCTGCTCATCAGAAATGAGACTCCAGAATTTTCTACTCTCCTACAGAACAATGCTGCCTATGAGCTAGAGGGCTTTGGACACTTTCTTTTTTTTTTGAGACAGAGTCTCACTCTGTTGCCCGGGCCAGAGTGCCATGGCGTCAGCCTGCTCACAGCAACCTCAAACTCCTGGGCTCAAGCAATACTACTGCCTCGGCCTCCCGAGTAGTTCGGACTACAGGCATGCGCCACCATGCCCGGCTAATTTTTTCTATATATATATTTTTAGTTGTCCAGATCATTTCTTTCTATTTTTTAGTAGAGACGGGGTCTCGCTCTTGCTCAGGCTGGTCTCGAACTCCTGACCTTGAGCGATCCACACGCCTTAGCCTCCGATAGTGCTAGGATTACAGGTGTGAGCCACCGTGCCCGGCCTGGACAGTTTCTTCAATGAGAGGAGCAGCCTAACATGTAAACTTAAAACAAAACCTTGGAAAAGAAAAGGAAAAAGAGAGATAGAGATAGAGAGATGGGGGCAGTTGGAGAGAAACTTCTAAGTCCAAGGGTTTTATTTGGTTAACTACTTATTATCTTCACATTTGTAATGGGATTGTAGTCATGAATATAAGAATCTTCCAGCAATGTTGTCTTAGTATAGATAGTTTATTAAATTAACTATGGTATCACTAGGAAGTATATGCAGTTAAAGGGGAAGAATGTTTTTCCTAGTGAGCATGAAAGAGAGAATACTTTGGGTGGGACGGTGGAAGTGTGGAGGCAGAGGGCACTTTGGAGGTGCCAGTCATCTTTGCTTCTTGATCTGGGTGCTGATTAAAGGGCATGAAAATTCATCAAGCCGTGCACTTACTTGCATGTGTCTGTATGCATATACTTTAATAGCAGGTTAGAAAGAATAATTCTAGCATTCCACACCGGACGAGAATACATTCCTTTATTTTTTTGGAAACAGGGGAGGTGAAGCTGGAATGATACAGCTCTAGTTATAAAAATGAGCAATGCTGACCCTGGGCTCAAAGCTCACGGTCCATGAATTCAGTGGCAGGAAGGTAAACCTCAATGAACAGACCACTCATATTTCTTAAACACCTCTGAGTGTCAGGCACTGTGCTCTCAATAGAGAAAGAAGTCTGAATCAGGAGCCCTTGGTAATAGAAAAATCCCAAAGGAACAGAGCATAAAATTCTATTTTTAAACTCTGGCAAAGTCAGCAAGAGAAGGCAAAGTGGCTTTAAATTAATAATAGAATGCCAAATTTCCTTGAATGCTAGACACTGAATAAGTTAGGACAGAATCCTTTATCTCTCAATGGACCAAATGCATTAGAGTTTAATGCTGAATTTGCCCATTAACCAAAAACTGCATGGATGAAATATAACAGAGAAACATTCAAAACTCACGTGCCTAGGTCTGCTCTACTGATGTGTTAAAAACAAATACGGTAACCCCACCTTACCTCTAAATTACACGATATTGATAATTTTTCCCCAAATTTCAGCCACATTTGATCTTTCCACCCCAGTAGTGTGTGTACTCCTTCCCCAAGCCATCCTTCTCTACTCGGCTGTACCTCTCTCCAAAAAGTTCCCAGGGTGGCTCCACGGGGAAGGTTGTCTAATGGTGACACTGTAGCATCAGAACCACTTGGGCCCCAGTCCCTCCACCCGCAAAGCCTGATGCTGGGATCCCTCAACACTGCCAGGGGCTGCTGAGTGGGCCCCAGAGCCCTGGCTCACCTCCACAGAGATGTCATCCCGCGTGGCCAGGCTCTGGCTGACGGCGGCCAGCGATGCCTGCTCAATGTCTCGGATGCACCGGTTGATGCCATCGATGGAGTGGTCACACTCCCTCTGTCCAGGGGCCTTGTCCCTGGAAGGGACAGGGCACGTCGAACACAGGCTCCATGGGGCTCAGGTCCAACAAGCTGCCCCAGCCTTGGTGGGCCAGGAGCCCCTGTCCACTCCCCTCACCCAGTCAATCACCTCATTTAAGAAGGTATCCCCGACTTTGGCTGGCAACGCCTTGCTGCACATCCCATGCACTTCTGAATTTAACACTCGAGAGCACTCTACTTATTTCTTTTTTTTTTTTCATTTGAGACAGAGTCTCACTGTGTTGCCCAGGCTAGAGTGCTGTGGTGTCATCCTAGCTCACAGCAACCTCAAACTCCTGGGCTCAAGCGATCCTCCTGCCTCAGCCTCCCGAGTAGCTGGGACTACAGGCATGCGCCACCATGCCCAGCTAATTTTTTCTACATATTTTTAGCTGTCCAATTAATTTCTTTCTAATTTTAGTAGAGACGGGGTCTCGCTCTTGCTCAGGCTGGTTTTGAACTCCTGAGCTCAAACAATCCGCCCGCCTTGGCCTCCCAGAGAGCTAGGATTACAGGCGTGAGCCACCGCGCCCGGCCTCTACTTATTTCTGATAGAAAGGATGTGGCCTTGCCCTCCATCTCAGGCTGATGCCAGGCAACTGCAAAGGAAACAAGTTGGACTGGGGTTCTCCATTCACTAGCTTAAACATGGGACTAGTTTTAAAAAAAGGTCAGCACTATTTCCAGCATAAACATTCCGTGTTTTCTATACTGCATACTACTCACAGAGTCCTGGGCTACAGTAGGAGTTAAGATACATGGTGGGTTTTTCCTTGCAGGGCATTATGGAAGAAAGTTAACTGTGGTTTTGAGCTTCAGAAGCAACTGGGAGGCAAGATCTAACTAAGGAAAGAGATGCGTTTCATACTGTGGGGTATTAACTTTGGTTAACTTCAGAAATGTCATTATCTACTCAGGGGATGTTTTCTCAGGCTCCTACTATCACTAAGGAGATCAGAGACGCCCAGAGTTACTGTGGGCCCTAGAATATTATGCCTTATTAGCAAACTAAAGGTCATCCTAAATCCTGCTAAATAAACGATGGTGCTCTCTACCTAAGCTCCTAGGTACAGACAATGATCAGAAAGACTGGGACTAGAGCCACTGTGCCTGGCGGTGACCTTGGGAATGTTACCTAAATCCTTTCTGCCTATGTTTTTTCATCAGTGCAATGGATGCAATGGCAGTATCTACTTTACAAGACAGTTGTGACGATCAAATAAGGAAATACAGGTAAAATGCTTAAAACTATGTCTGGCATATAGTTAGTACTTAAGTTAGCTATTATTGTTGTGACAGGTGATACTGGTCCTGAAGAGACAAACAAACAGATGAGAAAGATCAACAATATTGCTATTAAGTAAAAACCCTGGTGGGCTGGTCCCCCTCCTGCCCTGCTTGGATGCAGGCTGGTACCTGCTCCAGGTGGGAGACTGACCTGATAGACGTGATGAGACCCTTGATGGAGTCGGACACGGTGTGGGAATGTCCGGCCAGCACGGACCAGGTGGGCGGGTCTTTGGGGTTGATGGCCAGAGAGCGTGCAGTGCGAATGAGGTATGACGAGCTCTCCAGCATGGTCTTGGCCGAGACCAGGATCGGTTCCTGTGCCTGGGAGCCCTGAGACCAAGCAGCAGAGGCATCGAGGTCAGGGTGTGCAGATGGCAGTGAATAAGCTGGGCCCTGGCAGGTCCTGTTCTTTACCACGTCACCACCTCTGCCCTTGGAAGGAGACATGGAGGACAGGGAACGAGGGAGATTGGCTCACACAGGCCAGCCTCAGTGGGAAACTGAGTCCCATGTCTGCTCCTTAAATAGCATTTTTTGAGTGTGACACAGCCCAAGAAAGAATCAGCCTCAAACCCATGCAAACAGATTGCCCTCCACATATAAGGCTAAGATAGTATCTCTCAAGAGCTGTGTAGTCACTGAATTTCATTAACTCAGTGCATGTAACGTCATCGACGACAGCAACAGTACCCTACATATTGACATTCTGGAGTTTGACCTATTCGCACTCATTCAGTGCCACACAAAATCAACCAGAGACCCGAGTATTATCCTTGCTGCAACATCTCCCCACCTCGGAGCTGATCTGGGCGGGGATGCTGACAAACTCAGGGTTGGATGCGAACGCCGTCAGGTTCTCCACAGCTTCGATCAGGGGCGCAGTGGCGATGCGACACTTATTGCGGTTGTCTTCGGAGAAATCCCCATCCAGGGCCTGGGGGGAGAAAACACGGAGCTCTTACCCCACGCAGTGGGAGCAGCACGCAGTGCCTAGTGGAAGGAGGCGGTTCGATGGGAATGCTGGCAATGTTTGGTGACTTCTCAAACAGCAAGAAAGGACTGACTGGAGAGACTCCTGCGACCAAGCAGAGGGCCCAGTTAGCAGTTGTAAGAAGCTGCACGTGTAGCTCACAGGACAGCTGACCTCACAGCCAGTCAACTCTCCACGCGCACGAAGTGGAGACACAGGTTCAAACGGTGCCCTGCTCCTCACTCCCCGTGAGCCACTGCGCCAGACCTGGCGGCTGAACTGCTTTCTTCCCTGCTTTTGAGACTCTGATTCTTGGGTTCTTCTTCTCTGTTTTCACTGGGATTAAGTCTATTCCCTCCCAAAAGATAAAAATACTTTAAATTGTGCAGCACTCGTAACTTTTGCTAAGTCTCACCTGGGTGTTCCTGGCTGACTGATGGGGGTAGAGCTGGCATAACGCCGTTTGTGAACGAACACAACGGAATCCAACGGGAAGGAACAAGCTGGCACTAGAGCTACCCCCGACCGTGTGGACGAATCTCACAAATGTAATGCATACTTAATTAAAGGCGCCAGACAGAAAAAGGGTACCTATGGTACAATTCCATTTGTGCAAAGTACAAAGCCAGGAGTTGGAGGGGAGTTCGTGGGGGTGGTTCTGGGTGCTGATGACGTTCTGTTTCTTGATCTGGCTGTAGTTACCCAGGTGTGTGCAGCTTCAGAAAATTCACTGGGCTCTACCCATGATGTGTGTTTTTCTCTCTATGTATCTTATGCTTCCTAATTTTTAAAAAGTTAGTAGCAAGTAACACAATGGCATTGCATGATCAGTCCCACTGCTGATTAATGGCCCGGATGGAAGAGAATACAGGAATGTGGCCTGTGACCCAGGCCAGGCTGCCTCACAAAAGGTTAACACTTGGATTCGAAGTTCCCCCACCCTGGACTGCACCTCCTCAAGAACAGGACTGGTAGAACCCACAGCCTGAGACCCTGCGACAGTACTCCTGCCTCCCCGGGGCAGGCTACATTTGAGAATGCAGTTATGTTTGCAGAAGAATGTAAACTTCCTTGTTAAATCATCAATTAAACTTTTAATTTAACCTTTATGAGCAATATATAAAGCCAATTTAGATAATTAGGGAAAAAAACAGGGGCCCTGGCATTACAAAACAAACCACATCTGAGATGGGAGAATTTCTGTTTTTCAGGAAGGCAAGAGGCGGCAGGCACCGTCAGTTTGAAGGCAATTTCTGAATAACGACTGCATACCAATCAAGCCTTGGCAGCCTGGGACAATAATTACACATCCACAATGCTAATATTGTCAGAGGAATTCCCACAGGCCCGGCTAATTTACTCACTAATATAGTGCCTGGCTCGCCTTGGCACGTGCCCTTCCCCCACCAGACAGGCACTGACCCTGCCCTCACCTCTCCATCCTGCGCTTCTCCCAGATCCAAAGGAAACCCGCACACTGCTACTTCTTGCTCACACACACGGCCGCATTTCTAACTGCCACTTAACGCACTTGGGAAACGCTGATTTATACCGCGGGAAACGCTGATTTATACCGCGGGCAATTGGGAAGTGAAGTCTTGGCACTCTGGTCTTGCCGCATCGTTAACATTGCTGACTGCTGGAGGGAGGATCCACTGGACTTCAGAGCGATCTGGGAACACCAGTGGGAGGTGGGGTGGGCGCCGCCTTGCAGAGCCTCACGCAAGTGGCCCCAGCACAGGCAAACGAGCAGAGCAAGCTGCTTTTAAGAGTGGACTTTGGAGCGAAAGGAATTCGGGCCCCAGCCCCACCAGCCGTGTGGCCTCTTCTGATCGCACCCCTCTGGCTAGGCAGATGGGGCTTCGAGCTCAAGGGGAGATGCTGAGCCTTCTCTCGGTGCTGCTCACCTTTCCTGCTTCTTACCTCTCCGCACTCTTCCCTTCCCCTTTCTGCTCCTACAGACCTCTCAGTCTACTAGGAAAAAGGGCATCTGATCGAGCCACCAGCCCTCAGGTGAATCTATTGAAACTGAAAAGATGACTACTCCAGGTAAACCTCCAGGAATGGCTTTCTGATGGTGCAGTTTCTCCCACGGACTGCACCCTTAGGATGAAGAAAGGGTTTTGTTTGGTTTTTTTTTTTTTTTTTGAGCACAGGCCTGAAAATCAGATATCACGGAGCCCACTGCCATTCACAGGACAGGGCCTTGAACAACAAGGACTGCTAGAGTGGCAAACTCCATCAATCACATTTTCCATTCTCAAAAAAGGAAAAGTTATTTCCTCCAAAAAAGGCATTTGGCATCAGAAAGCATGGTTTGTGCAGGTACTGTTTCACTTCTGAATTCTGCTTCCTCTGGGAGCAGCTGAGCCACTCAAGTCAACTGAATACTCGAAGCTGCCCAGTGGTGGGATTTTAGGCAGGCATGAGAGTTTCCATGCCATGTAAGTTCTAGGATACCAGCCATAATGATGGGAGGTTAAATTTATCTAGCCACAGGTCTACACCCCTCAAGACAAGGGCAACTCTAATCCCTGCTCAGCTCCTCCGAGTGTTCTCCTTTAGCAAAATCTCACAGAGATCTGGGAGAAACAATTTCTGTGTATGCACAAAATTAAAGACTCAGGGACTCAGGGGGTTAGAAGGGACCCTACAGATAATTCAATCCTAAACCCCCAATTTTCCAGACAATAAAGCCAGCACCCAGAAAGTGACATGAGCCGAAGTTGCCTTGCCACTTACTGGCACACCTCAAACCAGAACCCAAGACTCCCAGCTCCCTTCTTGCCCACCAACCTTAGACAAAGGTGACATGATTAAGGTAGTAAGAAGCCCAAGAGTCTTTTTCCTTTTCCTTCTGAAGAAACCTTACTTTACCAACCCAAACATAAGGATGACCAAGAAAACATACTTACGGCCAAGTCAAACTCGATTAAAGAGAGCTGGATAGGGTGTCTGTGGTACACACTGGAAGTGCTTAATTGCAAAACCCTGAGCTTTAACTCCGCCGCGAGGGGCAAGGCCAAACTTCAACTTCTCAGAAAAACAAATGCTGGTGTTGCATAATTTCTACTTGGCACCCAAACCTGAGTGGCTGCACATTTAAAATAACATTCCATTCCACACATCTGATTCAAGACTAGGTAACGAGCTGGGTGAAGAGAGAAAAGCAGGCAATGGTGCCCGCAGCCAGGGTTAGGGGCGGGTGCCCTTCTACCCTGCCCGGTACACTGAGCAGCGGCTGGCAGGCAGTATGGATGGACTCTTGCACAGCCGTGCTTAAAGAATGCCATCAGTGGCGATCTAAGACCCTGGGATGCACACTCTCTCCACGGGTGCTGATAGGCCAGCAGAGATACTCCCCTCCCTTCTTTGGACTGCAAGGGTGTGGCTGCTGGGATTTATGCTTGGGCACATTCTCATGGTTAAAAGAAAAAAAAAACAGCACTAAGAAGCATAAAATTTAGAGCAAAATGCAGTCATGAGGGCAGCTGTCTTAAACAATTAAATATTCATTTGTTTTTCTGTTTGACAGAATACTTAACTCTCCCTTCAAACAGGAAATCTACTCAGTGTCTAGTACCATGTGTTACAGTGAAATGACCTTTACCATCTTCCTGTTAGTAAATTAAAAACACAGCTCATGGCTCCCGGCAAACTCTGCCACACACTGGGAATTGAAAAACAGAGTGCGGAGGGGCAATATGTTCATGTCTGTTCCTCTTGCACTGCTGCTGTTCCCAGGGTGCACCCGGAGACAGAGGCCTTTATCTCTTCCATATTACAACCCCCCTCCGTCGCTCCTCTGATGTCTCCGCCTATCTTTTAGGCCATCACAAGAGCTCATTTGCTGCAGGGAATTGCAAAGAGGGTTTGACACTGTGACGAGAATCTGAAAAGAACATAAGATCTTAACAGAGATGCTTTATAGAGAGATAGGTCAGGATTTAAAACCAAGGAGGAGGCAGAAAAAGAAAGGGCTCCAGGAATCTCTATAGAATAAAGAGTTCTTTCCTTTTTTCCTCTCTTGGGCCATCTAAATATAATCTGTTTTCTAACGATCAGAAAAAGATCGACTTTAACTGAGATAAGTTAATTATGCAGCAACCAACAACGATGTCGCTGCTGTCAACTATATTGCTTTTTCCGTCCCCACCTCCCCCACGCTTACACACAAGCCCTGCAAACACAGCAAGGTCTTTCTTCCCAGCCTGCAGTGATGGATTAGTCTCTCCGTCCCAAAGAGCTGAACAGCACGCCAGGGCTGAGCCCAGGAGCTCAAGGGCCCTGGGGCCAGGGTTTGAATTCGGACCCACCACATACTGGCTGGTTTACCTTGGGAAAGTTACTTAACCTCTTTGTGCCTGTTTCCCATCTGAAAAATGGGGATAAGCACAGGGTGTTTGTGTGGACTGAACGAGTAATATATACAAAGCATAAAATAAACGTTTAAAAATGCAGGCTTTCTTAATTGCTAATGCCACAAACAATGATGGCAACTAAGGTGAGCTGCCCCTAGGATGGCATATGGGAACTGGCTGTGATTTACTTATTCATTTTCAACCTAGCTTATTATTGCCTTCAGACAGACAGGGTTTTTTCCTGTTTGTTCACTTTTTAATGGATTCTTTGTTTAAACAGCTAAGAAATTGCTGACTGGGGTTAAGTGCCCCGTGCTCTCAGCCAGCTTCCGACTGCTGCTGGGCTGATGTCCCCCCCTTTTGCCTCCTCTTGGCTCACCCTGCAGACTGCAGCGAAAGGAAAACGACGTGTGTAGTGTCCTATCCTCTGGTCAGAACTGGGAACCGTTACTATAGGACTTGTCCCAGCAACTCAGCAAACCCTCCTACCTGAACGAATCTGAAAACCCTTAAATAAAAAGCATTAACACTTCCAGTGCTTTTCCCTTCAGCGTGTTTGTGCAGAACTGGTATCTCGCCTCCCATGACAAGGCTCCTTTGAAGGCTGGGGATCGGGGGAGGGGGGACGATGCTGGGGTTTTTGTCTGTGGTCTGTTGTCCAGGCTGTGGCTGTTTTCCCACAAGCTCAGCTGCCTGCTGCCTGCTAGGTCCCAGCCGAGGGCAGACTGTGTTTGTGGCCTCAGCACTCACCTACAAGCGTGACAGCCGGGCTACTTCCATTTCCTCCTTGCAGGTGAGCCCTGCCCCACCTACGCCCATGGACTTTAACACAAAGATGAACATCTTATGAACACAGAACACTCTGTTTTGAAAAGCTGACTCTCCATTCCATTTAAAAATTTTAAACAGCTATAAACAGAATATCACAGGAGATTTTAAAGTGACTTTTCTATAATTTCCCACTCCCTTCTCCCTCCACCTACCTTCTTGGTCCAGATATATCCAACAACAATTGGCAGAGCCCTCTACCAGCCTACTCAAAACCACCCCACAGAAACATACAGTTTAAGTAAAAACAGCATGTTTGCTACCCAAGCATAGTGCCAAGAGAGGCCCAACATCTTCCAACCGGATTTCTGTCCCTAAGCTCCTCACGTACAGAATTTGGGGAGGCCCCTCTCCCCACCATCTAGAAGGTTAGTACAGACTAAGGCTGTTGGTTTTTCATGACAAATGTCTCCATCATTAAGGGACTCCCCTTCGGTGACATAAATCACGAGAGTAAATTAGAAGTTAAACTTTACCAGACAGAAGCTTGGGATAGCAGAGCTGGAAGGCTGCCCCTCTTTCCCCATGGCAAGAGAAGTTCCAGGGATTACTAAAGTCTGTAGTCCAGACCTACCTTGATGGTCTTCACCAGGTTGGCGGTGCTGTTGGCGACTTCCTTGGCCGACTGGACAAAGTGCCTCTTGGCCACCGGGTTGGCTGTCTTGGATGAGGCGATGCGGCAGGCATTGCACAAGGCTGAGGTGTGCTTGGCGACTATGGTGGCAGCTGACAGGACCTACAAAACATGGAGCTAGGTTGGGGGCGCCCTACGCTTCAGTGTGCAGGGGTCCACCCTGGTCCCCAGCCTTGGATTCCTCCTCAACTCACCCATCCAGAGCCTGTGTAATGGGTGTCTATCTCTGCCACCCCCAAAGTCACTCCAAGAAAGCAGAGGGCAAGAAATATCAAGCAAGAGAGAATTAAAGAAAAGGAAAGGAGGTGCCGATGTGGTGGTGGGCATGAGCTGGGCCCCCGAGAGTCTTCAAGGGGATGCAGTCAGCCAGCCCTGGGGACCCCTAAATACAAGGTCAGACCTTGGTCTAGACATGGGCAATTTCAAATTGTCTAGTAGTCACATTAAGATAAGTAGAGAAACAAGAGAAATTACATGTTTTATTTAATTTGGTACATCTAAAATATTTCATATAATCAATTTAAAAATACTATTAATGAGATTTTATAATCTTTTTTCATACCAAGTCTTTGAAACCCAGTGTGTTTTTTATATTTCCTTACAGCCCATCACAATTTGGACTAGCCACACATCAAGTGCTTAACAGCTACATGCAGCTGGTGGCCGCCATGTCGGGGAGTCCAGGTCTGGATGAGCAAAGTGAACAACATCCACAGGTGGGCTGTTGGCACCTAACTGAGGGGTCTGGCTCAGGAGTGTCCACAGGCTCCGCCCTCCTCCTTCAACTCATTTGCTCTCCTCAGTCCACCTGCTCCGCTTTGCGGATGCTGGTGACACCCCTTTGGACTTACTGGAAGGGCAAGGAATCCCAGGGACACTGACACACCAGCTCTCAGCCCTGCTTTAGGTCCCAGCGGTCACACTGGACATGTCACCCACAAGACTGCCTCTGCTACCCCGTGTCAGCCACTTCTCCTCCTTTCGGTACACACTGCTTTCATAAGTGACCAGGACCTCATGCTACTTTGGGTATGAGAAGTGTCACAAAATGTCACGTCCTGTCCATTCCTCAAATGTCTCCCTGGCTCCTTTCTGTGCTGCAGATTCTAATTCAACTTCGAGGCCTGGCTCAGTGCCATCATCTCCGGGAAGTGATCCCTGACAGCTCCCTCAGAGGATTCATGGCACCTTCCTTTGTATATCCCTGGCATTGTCATCATACCCTGATCACCGCATTTTCCAAACTTTGCCCAACAGTCTAAGAGCCAAGGGAGTGAAAGATCAGGTCTTACTCATGTTGACCCCTTAGTGCTGCGTACAGACACAGACAAGCCTTCGATGTACGCCCCCCCAAACAGAAGACTCCTCATAAATCTCACTGATTACTTCACCCCTCTTACCTTTCAGCACCCCATTTCAAAGCACCTAAAAGTGTCCACTTTCACCCTTTTTTGCAATATCCCCCCACCTAGTCATTATCTACAGTGCTGCATTCAGCTGCATTTTGTGAGCTCTGAAAGAACAGGATTCTTTCCCAATTTCTCACGCTCTCCCACAACCCACCCAGAGGAGCTCAAGGACTCGCAAACCTCACATCCTCCCCCGTGGTTACCTGCGACGGGCTGCTGTCAGGGTCTACCAGGTTCTGGCACGCCATCTGGATGGCCTGGTTAGCCCTGGCAAACTGGATGGGGTCCACTAGGCCCTGGTGGCCTGCCTGGCTGTTTGGATCAGAGATGCCGACCAGGTATGCAGCCTGGAAAAGGAGGAGAAAAACCATAGCTCAGGCTTTGTGCTCCTCAATGAGCCTGTCTGTAGGGGACAACAGTTCCCACTGTACACATAGCAGTTGTGCTCAGGCACTCCTTGGTGCAAGCTGGTCAGGGCAATCTCATCCCTCTCGCCAATGAGGGTGTATCGGTAGATAGGCTTCTGCCAGCTTGACATGCCAGCAGGAGTTTGCTGCAGGCTTCAGGAACAAAGTCTCCTTGTTCTTAAGAGAGCCTCAAGAAGTTCTTCTTTGGGGCTTGGACAAGGATGGACGCAGCCATGGTGGCTCTGGCAGCCACCTTATGACCATAAGGCTGCCCAGCCTCAGCATGAAGCTGACTCTCCAGCTGGCAGACAGGAAGGGCAGAAAACAGTGGGTGCAAATTGATGGTGTGGAACTGCTGGGTCAGCTGGCTCTGGAGCCTGCCCTCCCTGAGGGTCTGTCATCTCAGAGCTTACTGTGTCCTTGTTGTTTAGGTCAGTATCTCCAACAGAAAGAGTCTTCCCTTGGTAATTCAGTAAGATGGCCCAGAAAACAACAACAAAAAAGACAGCATTTGTTTCCCAAGAAGACAAGGGGCTATAAGAGAAGGTCTTCTCTTTGGCTTCCCTTTGGATGTGTCAGCCAAATGACAGGGAGAAAGCAAATCTGTGACCAGGAATTCTGACCTTCACTCATTTCCCCTGGGATGTGAGGGAAGGATAAGGGTAGAGAATTTCATACCCCAAACTAGGAATGTTTCTCTTTGGTTCGGTAAAATCTTCTACGTTCAAGGGAATTGTCAAATGACAAATCCTTCAAGGTAGACGCTGACATGTGCATTAAAAATGCACAGGATAGTCAAAGAAGGGCAAGGAACATGCCATATCATGTCTCTGCAGGATGGTGTCCAATTTTCTCTTTCTCTGATCCTAAAATGAACATGACTAACCTTTTTGCAATTCTAAAGCCTCAGAAAATGTAAATGATTTAGTGCTTATTTTTCCAGCTCAAAACAACTCACCTATAAGAATGACCACAAAAATAACAACAACCACCAAAGGTTGGCCTGAGCCTGTACACTGGGTCTGCAGTATTCACTGTTCTCCCTTGCCTGGCCCCAGCTGCTCTGCCGCTGGCAGGTACCTGGCCGATATTCCGTCTAAATGCGCCAGCCAGGACAGGAGCCACTGCCTTTCCAGTGGTTTCTGGGGTGGTGCTCGGAGAAAGAGGTGAAGCTGGAGCCCCCCGTGCCTCCCACAGGGATCCGGCACAGGGCGCAAAGCTGCACCAGGACAAGCCCCTTACCTGAGCCGCAGCCTCCGTCAGCCCACAGAGAGCCTTGGATGCAATTCCCACGCATTCCCCAAAGGCAGGGAGGTCCCCGGTCTTGGCGTTCTGTGAAATCCCTGCCATTGACTCACCCAGAACCTATAAAACAAACAGCCAGCAGTATTTTCTATCCAGCACTGCTTCAAAACAAGGGGTAAAGGAGGCTACGCTTCCAACTTTAACATTCAAAGCTGCTTAATTTATAATATTTGCTCTTTTCTCCTTATTTTCATTAAGAAGAGATTTAAGAGAATCATATCATTTCTGTTCACAAAGAGATATCAATAATGAAAGTACGAGCCTTTGACCCCAAAGTTATCTATACCTCCCAAGGAGATAACAATTAATACACACAGACAATAGAATACATACAAGACATCCCATGGGTGAATGGTCTAAACTGAGAACTATAGTTCTTAGAATACAAAGATCACATCCATTGAGCTGCAAGTGAAGTCATACATAGAAAGCAAAAGACGTACCTTCGAGATATCATTTGTTTACTTATTGACAGTAAAATTTAAACATATCTTTGTTAAGTACGTTTCCTAAATACTTTCAGTATTTTGCCTTATTTTGGAAATCACTGGTGTGTTCTTTCTTCAGAGATCTTACAATAACAGCTGAAAGGGACTTTAGTATTTAGAATTCAACCCAGAGGGGTCAAGGTGACACAGGTCACACGGGCACAGGTAGGGTGCCTGTTGCAAATCTGCTGTTCTGCCTTATAGGGACCTCATTCTGTACCAGGAGGGCTGGTCATGTCTTCCAGGGTCACAGATGATGGCACTGCAGGATGTTCAACCCTCTGGAAAGACTATGGCATTGCCAAGTCTAGAACCAAGGCAAAGCTCTGCACTGGTCTATAAGCCATCATGGGTGGGGAAATGAAAGAAATTCTCTAAAATTTCTTAGATATACAAAATAATCCAGTTTACATAAGGATTTGCAAAGCAAAGCAGTTAGAGGGGATTTTTATGTACAATATTTCTCCCTCCCTCCTAATCCCACATTCCTCTTTAATCTGAGTATGTAAAACGTATGAGTCTTCCCTTTAGACCATCTGTAATTCCACACGCGATGCTAGACAGAGGAAATTCTGGTCTTGGCCCTTCTGACACCACCAATACAGAAGTTTCTCCAAAGCCAACCCAAAAGTGATGGAAACAACACGCAGCTGTGCTCTGGGGGCATGCATTCACCTCCCTTGCATTTCATTTTTGCCTACTGATTTTGAGGTATCTTCATAAGACACTGGTACAAAGACTTTTTTCTCTAATCGTCACACCCATCAAATTAAATACTAAGGAATAAGGTTTTGTTGAGCAGAGGGGGTAAGACGGGGGCGGTAAGGCACAAGTCATTGTATTATCTTAGGTTTTTTCAAAACCCCACCCCCTGTCGAAAAACAAAACGAAACAATTTTCACTCCCCTTGAGAATACATGCTAGGGATAGCTGGCAAACAAAACACACAAGAGGACCCCGTATAATAATCCAAGGTCGCTGAAGGACTTCCCACATCAGTTCAGCACCAGGGGTAGAAAATACATGATTTGATTCACATTAAGACCCATCTGTGATATGATACAAGCAGTGGTTCTCAAAGTACAGTTCCTGGGCCACAAGTCAGGCCCTCAGAGCTTGTCAGAAATGCAGACACTCAGCCTCATCTCAGACCTACAGAATCAGAAACCGGGGGTAGCCCTGCAGTCTGTGTTTAACAAGCCCTCCAGTTGATTCTGATGCGCCCTCAAGTCTGAGAAGCACCTGGGCAAAGGGTGCAGCCCTACAGGCAAGCAGATATTCACAAAGCATGTTTACACTCTTCCCCAGCGAGGAGCACTGAGAACCTCTGAATTACAGCACAACGGGCTTACCTTGGAGTTTTCCATCACACTCTCAATGCAGTCAAAGTACGAGAGGTCACTCACAGGTTCGTTAGGATTGTCCAGCATGCCCTTGACAGTCTACGGAAGGAGAACACAACTTAAAAAGCAGGCGTCATAGCACAAGAGAAATTCAACACAAGATACTATGAACGTCCCCTCTATATACAAGATTCTGGTCACGATCAGGCATTTACTGAGATTCCTGAGAAGAATTTAGATGGTAGTATCATGACCACAGACCTCCTGCTAGGAACACAACACTGAAAGGGGGTGGGAAGGGGGGAGGTGTGTGTTTTGGGTTAGCTTTGCTAGAGGTGAGAATCTCGTTTCCCATTGTGAAGGAGAAGCATGACATCCCCAGAAGAATAAGACGTTTTTAAAAAAGAAATCTGAATGTTAATGCAAAGCAACACATTCATAGTCCATTAGCACAATTTCTCTGCTAATTCTGGATAATTCTAAGGAGTTTAAACATCAAAGAACTTATTGATTCATTTGTTCATGACTAGTAAGAAACCTCAGTTTTTCCAATCCTGGAACTTTTAACAGAAAGGCATGAAAGAAGGTAATTCCCCAAAACTGTCCACTGGGATGGTTCCTTTATTTTTAATTTAAAAAGTATAGAACATATGCACTCTTGTTTAGGTCCCCATCGAGGAAATAAATGGGTTATGGGGCCACCTATTTCTTGACTTTGTCTCTAAGCCACTGAAAACCATCACTAGCTTTCACGTTGTAATGACCTTTGATCAACACCTGTGCTCACCACTTTTCCAGGGGCGGAAAGCCTGGGGATGCAGCCGTTCAACCTCCTCCCCATTGAGCATTAGGGCTCAGCAGCCTTTAGGGCACAGCCAACAAAAAGACATAGTCATTTGAGTTGGGGGGATCAGTAAGTATTGAGAACTGCTGAGCTGTTCAGTCAAAGACAGGAGGGAAAGAGGGCAGTGTAAGTAGTGAGCTCACTACATTCAAGAACCTCCTCTTACTCCTTGGATCAAAATGGTTTTAGTAACAGAAATCTTGAAATAGTCATAATTTTGGCAACCAAGGATACCATTAAGGGACAGAGTACTGGCACCCAGGCCAACAGAGCTCATTTAGAGCAAAAGCCCACATATTTATATTTGCAAATACGAACAGAGCAGAGGAGGGCAGTCATTCAGCCAATGTAACAAACTTTCTCAACTACTTTCAGAATGCCATGGTCCTGTGGCCCCGTCTCACTTCCAGCTGTGCACAATGGCCTAAAGCCATCATCAGGACCTCCATCAAGTGCTTCAGATGCTGCAATGGGTATTCCCACCATGCCACTCACCCAGAATACTAAATTCACTTTGGGTACAACCAGCCCGGATCTGTTGAGATTTGGCTGTTTCAATATAATCTACGTTGGTTAGGACTGGTTTACATACACGTAGGCACGCTGATTTTACGTTTACCCACATGCATTCCACGGGAATGCATACATTTTCAATTACAAATAACACAAATATGAATATAAACTGAAAAGCACCCACACTGTGTGTGGGCCAGGGGGGGCCCTACAGCCACTATGATTGCGAGTAGTAAATGTTAGTAAGATTTCCTCAAGTCCCCCTACATGTTACAGAATAAAACATACGGGGACATCATTTTTACTCAAAAACACACCTATCCTTGCCTCTTTCTCCCAGTTGTTTCAGGATAATTTTTCCAATATTTTTTGGTTATCTTCAGCCTACATTCAATACTGCAGACCTCTTCCTGTTTGAAATAAAGAATCCTTTAACAAAATAAATCTCATCCTGGTGGGAAAAGGGGAAGTGGGATGATAATCCCACCAAATATAATTTTTCTTCTGTTCTTTCTCACTTGGATTGGAACTTTGATCTCAATAGTCTCCCGGGAAAGATAAGAAAACCTTTAAAGGCACATAAGATCAGCGTGCCTACGTGTATGTAAGGCAGTCCTAGCCAACACAGGTTATGTTGACACGGCCAAATCTCAGTAGGTACAGGCTGGTTGTACCCAATGCACCTTTAGTTTTAGAGGAGAGGAAACCAACCTTACAGAGAAAGGATGGAAAGACACACACAGACATAAACGTTCACCACCCCTGGGACCTACCTCAAGCTCTCGGAGGGCATTGTCACACTCTTTCTGGCCGGGAGCTTGTTGGGTGCATAGAGTGATGAGTTGATTGATGCTCTCTGTCACAGCTCTGGGAAAGAAAGAAAAAAAAAATTTTTTTTTTTTTTAAATCAACAGTAATTTCCCAAAAATGCTTTTGCAGGTTCACCAGAAATACAATTAATTCGCTATTCAGGCAGGGGTCCCCCCCAGGAAGGCTCCTCCACAGAGGCTCTGCACAACCGAAAACAAACCATACCCAGGGAAGATAAAATGAGAATCCCTCCCCCTGCTTCTGATTACTGACTGATTTACCCTTAAGGGGTCCTAATACAGTTGACCGCCTGGGTTTGAACGACACCAATCCAGTTATATGTAGATTTTTTTTCATTATAAGTTACATGGACTGTGCCTGCCTCTCCTACTCTCCCTTCTACCTCTGCCACCCCTGAGATAACAAGACCAACCCCTCCTCAGCCCACTCAACAAGAAGACCTTTATCATGACCCACTTCCACTTAATAAATAGTAAATACATATTTCTCTTCCTTATGATTTTCTTAGTAACATTTTCTTTTCTCTAGCTCCCTATAAGAATATAATATATAATACGTATAACGCACCAAGTATGTGTTAATGGACTCATCGGTAAACCTTCTGGTCAACAGGCTATTAGTGGTTAAGTTTTGGGGGAGTCAAAAGTTATACGTGGATTTTCAGTTGTGCAGGGGATTGGCGCCCCTAACCCCTGTGTTGTTCAAGGGTCAACCGTAGTTCTCTTTAAAAAGTATGGCTATCTTTTAATATATTCATAAGAGAATTCGCAATGAAGTTGCAAAAAGCAAAGAGAACATATTAACGCTGTTTAAGACCCTTAATTAGCAGCTCACAAGGAATAAGATTACCTGAGCAATTTGAAACATTTTGTAAACTTTTTAATACAGCAGACATAAAATAAACTGTACTTATGATTTTAAAATCTCTACTTTCTACTAAGTTCTATATGATTGACTAGTTCCTAGAAGTTATTCCAAAATTATTCTTTAAAATAGCTATTTTCTTTGTTAATATTAATAGGAATAAATTACAGACTGTTGCATGATTTTACTTGTGTTTCTATTCACCTTAGAACATAAGGGGCGGTCCAGATTTTTTCCTACATTGACAAGGGTTCTACCCCCTCCTGAGCTGCCCCTGCTTAATTTGTCTTAAGTTATAATATAGATAATTTAGAAAGTCATTGCCCATTTTGAATTAGTTTTTTTTTTAAATAAGGTGTAGGATATGGGTCATGGGTTTTTTTTTTTTTTTAATTTTTACATATGGAAGTCCAATTGTTCCAGCCACATTTGTTGAAAGACTGTCCTTTCTCCATTGAATTATTTCTGCAATTGGTCATATTTGTGTGGGTCTACTTCTGGACTCCGTTCCATTGTTCTAGGTGTTTAACCTCTTGCCAGTACCACAGTCCTAACTACTGTAGCTTTATACTAAGTCTTAAAATTGAATACCTGTGCCTTTTATAAAGGAAAAATCTGAGAGAGATGAGATAAACTCCCTAAGGGGATGCTATTAATACAAAGAAAGAGCAGATGACCGGGCACGGTGGCTCACACCTGTAATCCTAGCTCTCTGGGAGGCCAAGGTGGGCGGATTGTTTGAGCTCAGGAGTTCGAGACCAGCCTGAGCAAGAGCGAGACCCCATCTCTACTAAAAATAGAAAGAAATTAATCGGACAACTAAAAATATATAGAAAAAATAGCCGGGCATGGTGGCGCATGCCTGTAGTCCCAGCTACTCGGGAGGCTGAGGCAGGAGGATCGCTTGAGCCCAGGAGTTTGAGGTTGCTGTGAGCGAGGATGTCACGGCACTCTAGCCTGGGCAACACAGTGAGACTCTGCCTCAAAAAAAAAAAAAAAAAAAGAGCAGAAACAAGACTTAAACCCATGCTTATCTGTTTCCAAAGCCAGATCCATTACTCTTTTCTGCAAGGTTCATAACTGGCAGGGCCCAGAATTCTATTCACAGTATTTCTAATCACTGCAGCTAAAGGGCAACTTAAAACAAAACAAACAAAAACAAAATAGGGCACATATTGCTGTTAATCTCCAACACTGTCTAATATAAAAGATGCCTCACTTTATTAGCTAAATTGGTTTTGCAGCTTTCTACAGCATATCAAATTAGATGGAAAATGATGCTGTCAGTGTACAAAAGCAATCAGCTTAATTGTTTGATGAGGAGATACTGCTTTCAATTTTAAATTTAAAAAGAAAAACATTCCCAACTCCAGAAAGAATTGCAAAATAGTTTTTGTGAGATTGACTCTGGTGATTTCATTTACTTGGAGAATAGTGCTTAATTAAGGTGTCTTGGGAAACACTGAGCTCTCCGTGGTGCAAAACAAAACAAGTGGGATAGCAGGACAATCCTAGTTCCAAGGGCCATGGAGGGTGTGGCCCATGATGTCCATATATGAATGTCCTTGGGAGAGTCCAATGCAGTGTTCTGTGTAGTGACCTTCAAAACACACTTCTGAGTGGACAGGCTGGCACATGCCAACACACAATGGGAGAAGAATGCTGTGATGACACGATCCTTTGGAGAATATTTGTACCCATCACAGAAGCTTTCCACTTAGCTTAATTCTCCATGTTTCCTGTTTATCTGTATTTTTTCAAAACTTAGTTTCTATAGACTTTTCCATTAGAAACGAAGTGTTTATAATTGGTGAATCCAGAGGACATACAGCTGTGAGAAAGCTGCCAGCTTCGCTATTCTTCTTTTTTTGTGCATGTGAAAATTTTTCAAATAAAGTTTGAGATTAAAACAAAACAAAAAACAGACCAAGAATTTGTGGTTAGATAATCCATAAAAGTGCCAGCACTGCAACACACGGGTAGTATCGATCCACGGCTAAGTAGCATTCTTTAGGTATCATTAATTCCCATAACTCACTTTTCAATCTGGATTACATATAGCCAAATAGTAAACTAGGTGGTTGAGAGGAAAACAGTGTGTGAATTTGATAATAAAAAATAATATTTTTATGTTTCAAACTATAGCAGTTATGCATAAGAGCAAAGAATTGGAGGTAACCCAAATAGGTAACAATAAGGCATAGGTTAAAAAAATATACAGCCCACAACAGAATTCTGGGGACCCATTAAAAGTCACAGTGTGTAGCATATTACTAATGTCATGGAAGAATATTCATGTTACATGATTAAGCAAAATAAAATTTGCAAAATGGTATAAACAGTATGGGCCCACCATACTGTTTTTTTCTGTATGCATAGAAAAATGACACGTATAAAAATGTTAACAGTAATTTTATAATGTTATTTTTAAAGAAAAAATTTCAATAAATCTACTCCCAAATTAGAAATTAATCAATTTACATTATCATAAAAAATATGGCTAAAGTTAGCAGGGTCTCTGTTCTATGTAAATTCAAATAGGCCTGAACCACAGTTACTTTTATTTTTTCTGCTTTTTTTTAATGATCAAAGCTATATAAACTTATTTTTAAAAATATGAAAAAGTTAAATAACTATAATTCCACCATCTAAAGATAACTTTTTGCATATTTTATTCTTTATCTAGGCATATCTAGCTGTTCTTCAGTTTTTTAAAAAATCGGGATCTACAACCTCAGAGGTTAAAAAGAACTTTCTAAAGTGAAAAGCATTTAGTGTTCAGAGATACTGAATTGATGCAGTTGAAGCTCTGGCTGGAAATTTTATATAGACACGGAATTGGGGCAGGGTGGGAGAAGAAAATCAACCAATTTGCGCTTCTGATTACCTATTAAGTACAAATCACCCAATAAGGAGCTTGGAGGGAAAAAAGCAGCATAAGACATCTCCCTTCCTCCAGGGAAGAGGGGCTGGGGAAAGGAGGAAGAGCAAATCAAAATCCACCCACATGCAGTGCCCAGGTTATAGTATGCACAAGGCACAGGGAATTAAAAAGTAATATAGTATAAATCTGTCCAGGATGGCAAGGTGCTTGTAGTCTAGTTGGAGAGATAAGACAATGAGAAGACAAAACACAAAGAAGTTAGGCCAAAGAAAGCAGTGACCAGGCATGACACCAGACAGGACACGATGGATCGCTTGAATAAGAGGCCAGACAACGTGGGGGCTCACAGGGAGCCTCGAAAAGAGTTAAGCCTTAACCATGGGGCACGGGTTCCGCATGAAAGGGAGGCTCAATGTGGACTGAAGCACTTGGAAAAGGCAGGGCCGAGTGAGATCCTGATTTGGATAAAGGGGAGAGAACATTCTAGATAAGACCAACAGAGAGAACAAAGGCCTCATTTGCATTTTCTATTTTATAGAGTGGAAGTAGCCTGTTAGATTATCCTTTTTCACAGTCTCTGGAGGGAGAAGGAAACCTGCCCCGCAGGAACCTCAAACTCAAAGGGAGCCAGGAACTGTAGGTTCCTAGGGAAGCAGCTGAGAACCCTGCCTGGCTCGGTCTGATGCTGGCAGTCGTGCGCATGAAGGCTTCTCAGCTCTGGAGTCCTCCTGGCCAAGGTAACTAACTGTGCAGTGAACAGAGGCTCAGGGAAGGTGCTCAGAGGTAGGAGTACCAGCTGTTTTGCAAGTACCAGGTGATTTTCCATTTCCTTGACAAGTTGAGGGAGCATCACCAGCCCCTGGTTGGGGAAAAAGGCTGATTAATGGTTGGCAAAGGGTCTCCAGCTCTACCCGACTCCTCAGAAAAGAGCCAGAGCCCCATCAGCTATGTGGGAAGAAGACGAACAAGCTGCACACTAAATAGAAAACAACTTCCTCTCCCTTAGGCACTCAAAACCAAGGGGCTGGAGTTTCCAAATGTACCTGGGCTCAGAGGCAGAATTCAGAGCAGAGGAAAAGGACATCCTCCACCTTTTCTCCAGAACAAACCTCTTTTCCCAGAGCAGGAAGGACCAGAGAGACCACAAAGAACAAGGTCAACAAGACTGCTGACACAGGAGCAGGACAGAGACAAGTCGGTCCAGGCCTGGGTCCCCGCAGTGGCATTTCCGGGGCCTTTGGGAACATGCACGTGAAAGACAGGAAGGTCTTGGCCGTCTCAAGAACAGGGAGGGCAGTGGAACTGAAGACTGAGGATGACGATGATCGGATTTCTGCTTCTCAACTTCCTGTGTCTAGAGGAAATGAGAGGAGCATGCTCCGTGTGTGTGTGTGCATGTGTGTGTGTGCTGTGTGTGTGTGTGGCGTGTGCATGCGTGTCCTACCTAACTTTACCAGGGCCACATCCTTGTCTTATTCACAGTGTCTACCTGGCACTGGGACTCACCCATCCAGGCTGTGATAAAAATTTGTGTAATGAACACATGAAAGAACAAAAGAATGAACAAACCTCGGCCTGGCAAAGAGGAAGTCACCTAGACCCCCTTGACCCGGATGGAGTTTCTGCTGAGAAACCACCCAGGACGCAGCAGCTTGCCAAAATGTGCCAAGAAACAAGGAGAATGTGCCAACATCTTCTTGCAACAGTTCCATTCTGAGACACTCATTTTCATGTGATGATTTTTAACTGCTTACTTGGCTAAAAAACCATCAGGCTGGGAACTCTGTCAATTGCTGTAAGCCAGGACAGAGGTAAAAGGTGGCTTTTTTACCTACTCTCCTCACTGCCACCACCAGGGGGCCTGCAGATACCCACGAAGCCACATCCCAGTGACATGCCTTCTGGGCCTGTTTCCTTCTCTGTCTGGCTTTCCAAAGGCCAATTTATACATTCCCCTGCTTCCCACAATTTAAGGGAATGAAACAACACGTTCCAAGTTGAAAACCGTAATTTTGAAATGATGCAAAAAATTGAAGATAATGAAAAACATCTGAGTTCAGATACCTGGCAATGGCGGTTGCATTATCCAAAGGCTCTTTGTAGGAGGAAAGGAATGAACAGCTGCTCGACAGAGCGGACATCACCCCTGTCTCCGCCCCCCATCAAGGGAGGACACTTGTTTAGTGGAATAATCACAAAGCATGAGATGGAGGTGGGGAGATGTGAAGATAATTTTCCATTCCCCTAGTGGCTCTAGCTGTTGTTTGTAGCTAAAATGCATTATCTGGGAATAAATGAGGAAATTCAAGGGTTTGCAAGGGAACTGCTCTGACAGTGTCTAACCCTCCACAAAAACCATTACAGGTCAAGAAGGGATGAGAGTCAGGTTTGAGCCATTAGTACCACGAAATCTTACATATTGGAGAGCTAAAATGGCCTTACGGATGATGTACTTTAGATCCCCATTTTGCAGATGGGAAAGTTTAGACAGGTTGAGCAACCTGATCAATGTGACTTAGTTAAATATTAAAGCTTGGACTAGAATTCAGGTCTCCTGAGTCTAATAACTTAAACAGCCATTGAGCTCTCAGGGGAGACATATAAAGTCATGAAAAAACAAGCAAACAAATAAAACCAAGTTAAAAAAAAAAAAGAAAGCAGAATTGAAGCTATGCTTTCCAAAAATCACTAATCCGCACATTTTGAAAGGGTTTCCAATTACTCTACATCCCCTAATAGTCCTGCTTTTAATCTCCCTCCACCGTCAGCTTCTTTGTATATAACATGATGTCAAATAGTGCTAAGAAAACATGCCTGTACCAGCAGAGAGTCGTAATATACCCTACCGTGTGGGTCCAGGAAAATGGACGTGGGATTGCTAATGTAAGATCTTCCTGGGCTGCCACTGCAGGGCTCCATGTACCAGCGTTCGATCACTAGTTACAGAACTGAAGAGCCACAGTGGCCCCGGAGCAGAAACTGTGTTGTGTTACCCACTCCCCTGGGTGAAACCAACAGGAAAGAAGGACACTAAAATTATCCAAAACTCAGACTCATGTTTCAATATATTTCCAAAACCAATTTACTCCCACTGCCTTCCCATTCATCCTAAACTGGAGCCCTTCCTCATGTGACAGGTACAACATGTGAAATTCAATCTAACATTGATGCTAGGCACACAGTAAGTGCTCAATCGATGTCTGTTGAATGACTCACTGAGCACTGGTTCCTTCTTTATCCTTTTCAGTATTTTCTGATTTCTTTTTCAACAAGCATGTATTACTTTCATAATCTGAAAGATACATAACACTACTTTAAAAAATTCTATTTAAGTCATTGTGTTTACAAATCAGTCCCTCCTGAAAAGGCTATATGAGAAGACAGAGACATTTTTAGTGGGAAAAGAACATGAAAATGAGCTATTATAAAATACCAGAGTCCCCATCACTCGACTCCACCTCTGATGACCTAAGGACAGCACCAATTCTTTGCTCAGCAAAAGTGGCAGGATGTCAGGCACATCCTTCAGACTGCAATGACACCGTTTAACCACACATGAAAGCACATTTGCCCCACACCTACCTTGCAGCTGCAGCTAGGAGATTTTTCGCATTGGGAGCTCCTGGATCTACAGAGAGAGACTTGGCAGCTAACAACAGCTTGCTGGATGCCATAGAGATATTCTTGAGGTTTCCTATCACTTGGATCTGGTCTTCTTTTGTCTGAAAGGTCAAAAGGAGTCAGAATAATTAGGGACTGTCCAATTCTCGAAGCAAACATCAGAGAGCTAGGAGCAGCATCCTGAAACGGAGGCAAGTTATCTGTATAGATCACATTAAACCCAATTAGTCTGCAGATGCCTAACTCCTCGAGACACTAACCAGTGTCTACCCTTCCCCAAAGAGACGCTCAGATCGAGATGCAGGCAATAGGGAAAGAAATCCATCCCCGAGTGGGTTAGCCAAGAGCAGTGCTTTCTCACAAGTAGAGGCATTGAAGGGGGGAGGGGGTGGGAGGAGAGAGAGCTGAGCAGAACCAATGCACAGACCAGGCAGCGATTCCAGCATCTTGCTCAACAATGCTGGAGTTGTCAAGTAGCTGTGCATCTCAGCCTGGCACAGACAACCAGCACTGACTCGGTATTCAGAGCTGACTGCATCCCTGAAGTTCCTGGCTCGGGAGAGGACACGTTTCTCACCTGGTTGCCATCAGAGAAACATTCCTCTGTAGATAACAGAGCAAGAGACACCCCAGATCTCTCTTTCAGGGAGTTTACAGGAGCTCAGGAAAAAAAAAAAACAGCTCTGCAAGCTGACACCAGACTAGTCATGCTCCCTTGTGCTAAACAAGGCATTTATCTGTTCATCTGAAGGAGGTAATTTTTAATCACTTGACACTCAGTATTAGACACAGTGCATTCAAATGGGCCCAGTAAACCTCATATACAAATATATATTTTTTACTATATTATCCAGCATTCAAAGAGCTGTTCTAATTTCTACTAAACATTCTCCCTCTTCCTGCCCTCCCTCCAAATAACATAAGACTATGGATTCTGCCGGAGGATCGTGGGAAAAGTTATCTTTCATCACTAAGAGCACTTCACACGGAAGCTGACAGCGTCTTTGCGAATGCCACTCCTGTGAGGTCATGGAGCTTTCAGAGCAGCAAAAAGAATACACCTGTGGCCTGCCTGTTTCCAGGTTCCCTCTTCCTACTTGTTCAATTGCTCTCAAGGGTGGAAATCCATCAGAGCAGAGAGAGGCTAAGGTCAACGCCAGAAAGCCCCCTGCACACCCACCTGAGCTTGGCCAGCCATCTCAATACCAGCATCGAGGAATTCATCGAAATCATCACTGAACTTTCCAGAGGCTGCAGCCAGCTCTCCACTCTGGCCCCGGGTGGCATGGACAACTTCCCCTGCGGACTGGTTCAGATCAGCCGCTGCCTGGTTCAGTTCACTCTGGGCTTCCTGGAAAGGCTTCGTGCTTGGAGGTAGCTACAGAGAACAGAAGGCACATCGCGTGAGAAGTTCTACTCTGTATGGGAGAGAAAAAGGTAGGTATTGTGAAGGGAAGAAAGACTCTTCAGGGATGCATTTCTGAGTCATCAAGACCAAAAAGCTCTGTATGGTCTCAGCCATGTTAAGTTTGACTTTCAACATATATACATTCATTCACTCATTCATTCATTCACATTTATTGAACTCCTACTCCATGCTTGACACTGTGGATCTAAAAATGGTAAGGACAGCTTATCTTCAGGACTCACGGTCTCCTAAGTGGTAGAGACAGGCTCCACACCAAGGCAGTCTGATTCCAGTATCCATTCTCTGAACCCCCACCCTATTTTGTCTCTCCTAAGATGGAAACTCTCAAAGTTTTAATTTTCTAGAACTAAAACGTAGATGCTATCAAACTTCAAATCATGTTCTTCCAAACTAATACCCACCAATTTTGTTTTATTCGTGGTCTTTCCTAATGATAACTTTTTTACAGAATACAAGTGTCATTTAGCAGGACAATAACCTCTTGTGAAAAGTTCCAGAGAGTTAAGCTAGACTCTATTAGTCACCCGCATCCATTGCCTGCATACCTGTGCAGAGAAGAAACCAAGATGAACAAGCACAAGCCTCCTTCAGCAGACTGACTATGCAGGGGAGGGAACCAGCCTGAGGTGACATTCCTGACTATTTGCTCTCTCGGTGAGTCTTGGACACGTGCGCCCCTCCAATGCCTGGTCAGAAGCCAGATGATCACACACCCCCTTCCTGTCTCACTGGGATGAGCCCAGAGCAAACAGCAACATGGGCTCAAGCAAAAAGTAAACTTTAACAGTTCTACCTGGGAACTTTGCAGATCAGAAAGCAAAACAAGGGAAAGACAAATTAGCAGGAAAAACAAGATTACTAAGGGAAAGGTTAGCTACTCAGAGATCCCATGGAGGGGAAAAGACCCCATTCATACCTAAGGTGAACCTACTTCCCTGGTGCCCCTTCCCAGTCCAAGAACCTCTCACCGAATCCACAAGCAGCTTCTTGCTGGACTCCCCAATGCTCTTCAAGGCCACGTCCACGTCCTTCTGCCCAGGGAGGCAATTCACACAGTTGTTCAAGGAGTGTGAGACGGCTTTGGCCACCTGAGTACATGGAGGGAGAGAAGCACCATAAGACAGCAGCCTCCAGTACAAACATTTTTGCACATTTGTTGGGGATGAGCAGTGACAATACACAGACCTGAACCAGATAAGTAAATTATCTACCAGCATCTACCTGACACTGTTTACTGTCTTAAATCACCTCGTCCAGGCCTCTTGTCCAAGATCAAATTCTACTCTCTCACCGGGGTTAACATTCTGCCTTAGCAAAGGGTCCGGCACAGAGATACGGCACATTGCACCCGCTCCCCAAAGCCAGGCTACGTCACGGCTCTGTGATTCAACCACAGGACGCTCCAAGATGAGGTCAGGTTCTAAAACAAAGATGTCTTATACCAAGAGAAAGAAAAATATCTCCCTTCTTGAGAGCCCTGCTGAGGTCACCAGGGTGGAAATAGACCTTGAGTTCTTTGGATCACAGGTAGCTAGGCCTGTGGATTGATTTCTGCCCAGCAACCTTCTGGTGCCGTCACCCCAACCTTGCTCTGCCTGGGAGCGAGTGGGATGCTCTGAGCACTTACAGACCAACCTGGAGTTGCTGACACACTGCCTAGGAATGTGTAAGTGGCTCCCTGTTTGCACTCTTCGGTATCTTCAGCTAAAAGGTAAGTAAGGCCTTGGAGGTGGGCTGTGGCATTCCCTCTAATCTAAACCATCTCCTCCCGGCCCCATGTCTAGAACTATGCCTGGATGGTACCTGGCCAGCTGGTTTCATCAGGTAGTCAGAGAATCATCTGAAGAAGTAATAGAGAAAGTGCAAAACTTCTGAGTGGCTGGCCCTACCTCACGCCCCAGGCTCAGAAGAGGAATGTAGTTCAGCATACATAGGCCTGAGCCAACATGTTATGTCCTGTCTCCTAAACTTCCAAAGACAGCGTTCAAAGTCCCCCATACCTTCTGTCGACTGTGAATTAAGCAAATCTCACATTAATGTGAGGAACACTAGGCAAGACTTACAAAAGCAACCATCACGTATGGCCAGCATTGCTATGACACTTTGGAAGGCTCTGAAAATACCTGCTGAGTCAAAGTGTTCACACCAAGAAAAAGTGCCCAGGAGACAGCTTGCCAACATGTCCACGTAAATGGTGACAATGACAGCCGCGATTTCCGATTCCAAGCCTCACCTGAGCTAGTCTCTGCTGACTCTCTGCATCTCCAGGTGCAATCAGGGCCTGCTTGGCTTCTTGGATGAGCATGGCGGAGCCCTCCATCACGTCTCGAGCAGAATCTAACATGGCATGAGCAGCCGCAGGGTCACTTGTAGAGGCAGCCACTCCACGGGCAGCCTGAGCCAGCGTTTTCAGAGCTTGAGCCGTCTCTCTAGCAGCCACCCCTGGGGATAAAAATCCCATCAGAGTCTCTATTAGATTCCACCTAAAAGTTACACCTTGGGAATAGGCCTCTGGACCAGGACCTGGCACAGGGTGAGCTCCAGATTAATTTTTATAAAGTGTGAATTGCTGTGTTTCTCAAAGATGTAGCCCATCCTCCTGGCTCTAGGCCAATCCACAAGACATTATAACAAATGCAATGCTAAAGACTACTCCCCTCTGACTTCCCTTGCTCCTACTGCCTCATGTGTTCCTAGACCTAAAAGACCCAGTGCATGGGAGCAAGTACACAGATGGGCACACCTGGGTGTGTCAATGTGTAGGTGTGCGGGAGGTCATTTGAATTCACTTTTCGTCTCAATTATCTCTGTTGGGGAAATAACCTACATACAATAAAGTGAACAAGTCCACGTGTGCAGCTCAGTGAATCCGTACATATGGCTCCATCTACATGTCCACCGTCACCCGTGCCCTTCCCCAGGCAATATGCCGTCACACCAGAAGTAATCACTATCCTAACATCTATTACCTTAGGCTAGCTTTACCTGTTCTTAAACCTCATGTTAACAGAATCACATAGTATGTATGCTTCTGTGTGTGGTTTCTTTCTCCTGACCACAATACTGTGAGGTCAATCAAGTTGTTTTGTGTAGCAGTCCATTCTTTTTTCTTGCTGTGTAGTATTCTATCATATGAGTACAGCCACACGTGTTTATCCATTCTTCTGCTCATGGACATCTAGGTTGTTTTCCGTTTGGGGATATTATGAGTAAATTTACCAAGAAAGTTCTCATATACACATTCAGGGAGACGTGGAATTATTTCTCTTGGATATAAACATAGGAGATGAATTGCTGGGTCACACAGTAAGTGCATATTTAGCTTTATAAGATACTGTGAAATGATTTTGCCATAACACGCACCACCAGCAATGTATGAGAGTTGCAGTTGCTCTATATCCCAGGCAATACCTGGTAGCATAGTCAGATTTTAATTTAATCATTCTGGTGGGTGTGTGTTGTATCTCAATGAGGTTTTAGCTTTTGTATCCTTAACGAGTAATGATGTTGAACACCTTTGCATATACTTAATGGCCATTTAGATATGTTCTTTTGTGAAGTGCTTGTTTATGTCTAAATTCACATCTAAACAGATGATGGGATTTGGTAATAAACTATGAATATAAATGAATCCTTTAAAACTATAGTACCACCTCTTGCAGAATAAACATGAGTCTTACTACATGACACCTAGTCCTTGGCACATGCAAGATGAGGATGAAAATTGGAGATGCCAGGGCATATAACAAAAAACCCGGAGAAGCACAGAACAGGTGATGCTGGAGCTCATCCCATCTAACCATTTCGCAGATGAGGCCCGGCACTGAGAAGCGTCTTGCCCACAAACACTTCTAGAGGCAACACCAGAGTTAGATCTAACTCTTCCTAACTTTTGAGTCAAACACTCATCATAGTGCTCTTTGGGAGAGAGAATGATGAGGGCTTCTTGCCAGAACATATAAGATCTGCATGAAAAATACACAAATCAGTGTCTCTCTCTCACCAAACTTTGAAATGACTCTTTTCTACAGGATTGAGCTGGACGGTTTCCAGGTACCAGTGAGTATGACCTGTACTAGCCATGGCTTCAGCTGAGTCCACAGGGACACAGCAGGTGGTCGTCTCCTTACTGAGGACGAGGCTCTGTAATACAATAGAGGCTGAGAAAGGCCCCAGGTCCACACAGCAAGACAGCTTCGCAGTGCTGCAGACCTGTTAATATGTAAATATTTAGTAAATCGCACAGCTGGGATATAACTGCACCATCTAATCAAGGTAAATTACAAAGCTGCCAATCTACCTTTTACTACATGGCACTTCTGAGCACAGCTTGCTGAAGGAAAGAATTTTAAATGAAGTGCTTTTTATGGCAGAGGAGAAGCCCAGAAGAGAAAACACAAAAGTAAATAAAGCTAAGGTGCAGGAGAGAAAGCAGCAGAGTCAAACGGTCATTCCCTTTTGTGTTTAAGCTTTCGGCACAGGGTCACAGGGTGTCGTTGCTGAGAAGAGTGCCAGATGTGGTGGAGACCACGTCTGGCTCTGGTTCTCCTGCGGATTAGCTGTGTGGTCTAGACCGCTGCCTTTTCCCTCTGGGCCTCAGTTTCCCCCAGGTTTAAGGAGACAGTGAGGTCCTAATTCCGACCGTCACAGATTCTAGGCTCTGATTTCTAGACCTCTCCTCTTGTCTTCCCATTGGTCAGATGGACTCTTGAATCCATTTTATTTGAGTTATATAGAAATTGGGAAGAATAAAATATTTATCACATGCAATTAGAAAAGACATGTTTATGCAAAAACCATTTAGTGAAAAATCTTTCATAGACTGCTTAAAAAATGCAGAAACCAGAAGAGCTAAATTCCAAAAGCCTAAGCCTGTCCACCCCATGTGTTTTCTGCTGAGGACTCACTGTGAAACCTCGAGGCACATCAAGGATCTTCTCGGGAGGGATTAGGTTTCCTGGAAAGAGGAAGCCACACCATCAAAAGGATGAAACAAGACCACCAGGGGCCAGGGAGCCCAATGAACATCCACGGCTGTACACAGCAACCTTCTCAATGGAAATCGCTAGAGGTCAGATCTCCAAGCAAACACCCCCTCTCCAACCATAACTGTTCCTGTAGTCAAGCGTGCATCACAATGCCAGAACCATCAGTGTGAAATACTAAAGCAGACTTCTGTTTCAATAACCACAGTCCTTTGAAAATACAGATTACTTTCACAGTATTCTTGCTATTAATATCTGGATCTTAAATTATACTCAGCAGCAGATTCTTAAGAAGACATATCAAGTGATATCAAATATAGTAGCATTCTTTCTAATGGTTGCTACTTTTTCAGAATTCAAGTGGACTGTCTGTCCAGACAGTACTAGACCACACAGCAAGCTCACAAGGTAAAAACCAGGTATGACACAAAGTTTTAATCTCTTTCAAAGTACTGGGAAAGCGTTCTGTCTGTTTAACTGCATTCAGCTATGCAGAAATGTACGTTGGATGTTGCATTGGCCAAACCAAACCATGTTGGCATCAGAATGCAGCCCAGTGGCCGCTAACATTTAACTTCTGAATATCCCACACACCTCAGCTGTGCACAAGGGAATTGAGACCCAGAAAGAACTTGTCCACATTTGCCCTTTCTTTCCTTACTTCCCACCCATTCTTCAACTTTCCTGAAACTGCCTCCAACAAAGACAGCAGTGACCTCCTTACTCTTAAAGCTAACGGATGCTTCTTAAGTACCCACCTCCCCGAGACACGAATTTCTGGGCAGCAACCACATACATGGTTCTGGAGATATCGCTCTCTCTTGGCTTCCCTGCTCTCTCCACGGCCGCAGGTTCTCATTTCTCTGGAAGATTTCTATTGCTCCGCTTCTGCCTTACCTAGTTGGGTTCTAATGGATACGCTTTCTCGCACTCTACCACTTCCTATAGGCAAACTTACCTGCTTCCATGGTTTCAAATCATTATCATTTTACTAATCATTTTCAAATCTTTTATCTTCCAGCCCAGCCTTCTCTACTGAGTTCCACAGCCAAAGATCTATCTGCCTAATGACATTTCCACTTGCATATCCCGCAGGGACTTTGACCCAAATGCATTTAAAGCAGAACCCCGCATCCTTGAACTTCACCTCTCCCACCCAAACCCCACTCCTACCAATGCTCATATGTTCCCTTCACAGTGATTCACACGACTTTTCATTCGGCTATCAGGCCAAACACCTGGAGGTGTCCATGTTACCTTCTTTACCTCCACCCTGCCAATTTCTAACCAGTCATCAAGAACTATCCTGTTTTTCCTTCTTTAATCCTTCTCTTTGTCTCCACTGCAGGACACTACAGACTCTGATCTGGATAAATGCAATAGCCTGCTTGCTGGTGTTCCTGCCCCTCACTTTGATTCTGTCTAATCTGTTCTACACACGGAGGAAGGGCAACCTACAGGAAAGGCAAGCTGAACTGTATCCACCACTGAAAATGTCCGCATGTTCTTCAGTTAAAGTCCAACTTATTTAAATTGGCTTATGGGGCCCTTTAGCATCTGACCCCATCCTAACTTTCCAGCCCGATCTTTTTCCTCACCCCCATTTGCCTCTACTTCAGTCACCCCCAGTTCCTTCAGGCAGCCTTCTTTTCCCTCACCTTTCAGATGGCATTCAGGCAGTGCCCACTTCCAAACCACTTTTCAAAGCCTGTCAAAACTAACTGATGCTATTTCTAGGCTGTTTTTCAGACACCAGCTAGGTAAACTGTCTTGTGATATGTCATCAGTATCAGAGGATGCAACTTGGAAGACAGTTTTCCCTTTCCTAAATATGCATTTCATCATCTAGACAAAATCTGGCAAGATTTGGGGAATGCATAGACATTTTTGAAACATAAATCTCTCATATAACCCTATGTTTTATAAGAATTTATACATACTTTTCCTTCTCAAATGCTAAAAGAGTCCTAAATAAGCCTCAAAACCCTGGTCATTGGTCAATTCTGCTCTGAAAATTTCCCTTATCCTCCCACTAGGACCAAATTGTACATTCTTATTATTAAAGGTACTATATTATACTATACCACCACTTCTTGTGTTTCTGTTGTGCTTTTTAATTTTGATCTTCAAAGTAATTAAATGTACGCAGTTTTGCAAATCAAAGAGGATTTTGCTTATAGTAATGGCAAAACAACTTATTGCAAATCCACCTTCCCACAGAGAAACAACTAGAAACACAGGAAAACATATATAAAACATATATTCGAAGGCCCTGGAGAGATACCAAGGCACCAAGGTAAAGGGGGCCAAGATCTTGGAAAGAAGGAAAACCTCAGAGAGGTGAGTCCAACTTTAGGGGTTGCTTTTTCCCCAAAAGGCATTTCCTAATTTGTAAACTGTTGCCACGACACTGAGAAGCTGAGCAAAGCTTCCTGAAATCTCATGGGGCTAGGAAGATTAAAAAAGCATAGTTCTGATCCTAAGAAACACAATGGCCTGGTAAACACCACAGCCTTTCAGAGGGGACATACAAAGAGCGACACCCCAACAGGTAAACTGGAAATAGACCTTACAACTTCCAGTCAGCTCAGTCCCCACATTTTTATTGTGATCTGTCCTTATCTTAACTACCTGCCAGAAGCAAAGTGTGTTCCTGTGTAGGGAAAGCAATACGATTCAGGGCCTCAAATTATCTCTATAGTTTAAAATACCAATGCCCAGCGTTAAAGAAAAAGTATCAAAAATCCGGGAGACAAGACCAATGGCTGAAAACCAAGCGGGGGGAAAAAAAACCAGACAATAAAAATGGACCCACGGGTGATCCAGATATTAGACAGGCTGATTCCAGAATTTATGTGGAAATGTGAAAGGCAAAGAGTAGTCAACACTAACTTGAGGAAGACCAGCAAAGTTGGAGGACTTACATTACCAGACACTAAGATTTAGGATAAAACTGCAGTACGGTAATTAGCAAAGTGTGGTACTAATACAAAATCAGGCTGTTAAATCAATGGAAAAGAAAAGAAATACCACAAAATGACCCACATGTGTACGTTCACTTACTTTACAACAAAGTGGCAGTAAAGACACCAGTGGGGAACAGACGGTGTTTTCGATCCGTGGTGCTGGATCAAATGGACATCCATGCAAAAAAACAATTAAGCTGGAACCCTACTACATGTGAACGAAACAATTCCAGATGGATCTCAGTTCTAAATATGAAAAGCAAAATGATAAAGCTCTAGAATATAACAGAGGAAAATAACTGCATGATCTTGGATAGGCCAAAGTTTCAAAATAGGACACAAAAAGTACTGACCATAAAGAAAAAAATTATAAATTAGACTATATTAAAATGAAAAAAAAACACTTTTGTTCATCAAAGGACACCTTTAAGAGCATAAAAAGGTAAGCCACAAGATATAATACATACAAGTGACAAAGAATTCCTACAAACAAGGAAAAGATAAATAAGCCAATTTTCAAAAAATAGGCAAAAGATATAAACACACAAAATGGCCATTAAACCTATGAAAAGATTGTTCATAGGGAAATGCACTGTTCATCAGGGAAATGCAAATTAAAATCATAATGTGATACTACACACTCACCAAAAGGGCTAAAATTGAAAGACTGACAATACAAAGTGGTGACAAGGATGTAGAACAACTGGCATTTTCATACACTGATGAAAGGAATGTACCAAATATACGCAGAGCCTCTGACCTAGCAATTCCGCTTCTAGGTATGGATCTAGAAAGTGCTTACTTATGTTCACTAAACAACAGGTACCAGAATTGTTCATAGTTGTTTTTTTTTTTGGAAACAACCCAAATACTCATCAACTGTATAAATAACAACAGGTATATTCACATAATGCAATACTATAGAAATCAACAGAAATGAGAGAATTACTATGTGTACCATAGATGCCTCACAAACAATGCTGAGCAAGAGCAGCCAGACACAAAGGGATACATACTGTATGGATCCATTTATTTATAGTTCAGAAATAGGCAAAATTAATCTCTGCTGTTAGAAGTCGTGGGTGTTTATCTCTGGGGAAGGAGAGAGGACATACAGCGGTTGGAAGGGGGCAGGTCTGGGATGCTGAAAGTGCTCTATTTCTTGACCGTGGTGTGGCTTCTTGGGTGCATGTGATATGAGATAATTCATAAAGGTAGCCATTTAGGATTTGTGCTGTCTTCTGTATGTATGTTGTACTTCGGTAATAACGGATATTTCAAAGAGTCAAGCAGTACTATTGTACAGCACAAGCCATACTCCTGACCTGCTCCTCCTCGCCCGAGTCCCACTCCTTGAGCCACTCAGTTTTCTTCCAATACTTCGTATATTTTTAGTAACGTGCTTATACTGAAACTTCTTGGTTTTTAAATCTGAGATATGTATAGACTTCCTACTATGATAACATTTCCTTTTTGTATAACTTTCTGCTTTTCTTAGACTTGATAATTATACAATTTGTTCCTTATAGAGACAGATTCCTGTTTAAGGAGTCTCGTGGAGGTGGGCAGAAAAAAAAAAAGTTTTGTGCCTTTAGGGGCAACTGGCATCGCCAATGCTCCTCACCCCTGATCCCCCAGGGTTTTGCAGCACAAATCAGCTTTTGCTTCTTGCTGGCTTCCCTGCCCGTTAGGTTTCTGTTCATTCAGCTCCGTCCGTTACCGCTCGTCTTTCTCCTTCCATCCTCAAACATTTCATTGACATCTTACCTGTTGTCATCTCTTATTCTCTTTGACCTTTTTTATTCCTTTAGTGGGATTTCAGGAGTCAGAGATAGTTCTAGAAGTCTGTCGTTACTATTTCTTTACAGTCTAGCAGGGGCAATCCACAAATAGTTTGGGGGAATCCTATTCTATTCGTCTTTGTGCGCTCAGTATCAAGCCCAGCAACAAGTCTGTGGGAAGTGCTTGAAAACTGTATGGTGAACTGCTAGGGGAAAAATGTCAGGTGTGTTGTCAAATCAGTGAATTCCCCATCCCCACGCCCAGGTGGCCTGCACCTGGCCACGTGGCATCATGCCAGGCGCAAGTCTCACCTGTGTAGTGCTCATTGCCTTGAGCTGCACAGGTCAGGAGCTGCGCCATGGACGAGCCCACCGCCTTCGACGTGCTTCCCAGGTCCTGAGCACATTTTTCCAGCTGCAAGAATATTCAAGGAGGAAGAGAATTCAGAAGAAAAGAAAGATACGCTGAGGTCATAGCATAATTGAGAAAAATAATGAGCATAAAACCTTGAGCCTTAGCTATTTCCCACGGAATACAGCAGTGGCGCTAAGGGGCAGCAGGGTGATACGGGAGAAAGAGCCCGAGCTTTAGAACAAACAAATCCGGGTGCAAATCCCTGCCCTGGGCTCTCACCCCTCAATTACTAGCCTGAGATCGGGTAAGTTACTGAACCTCTCCAAGCCTCGGTTTCCTGAGGAGATCATAATACCTAGCTCAGAAGGTTTTCAGAGAATTAATGTAGGCTCTCAACAAATGGTAGCTATTAGTAATATGCCTTTAGAAGCTAATTTAGAAAGTCTGCAACAAATCCTTAGCGGGAATTAATTATGCCTTGGCAGGAAGTGGGCAGACATCCAGCTGCACCACCTTCCTGGCATGTGGGACCATTAACATTGTTCAATTTGATCATTATACTTTGAGGAGTTCCAACTGAAAGGAAATGCAATAGAAATAGAGGTTTGGAGCGGTAAATGAGATTATGAAAATGGGCAAAGCGTTTGCTTCCCATGAACAGCATGCTATCTTGCTTTGTAAAATGAATACAGAATTCAGAGAACAAAGTCAGCAAAGGCCTAGGGTATGGATAATTATTTGATTACTAGAGGAGGACAACATTTTGGAAAAGAATTTCTAGGTACACCACGAGAGTGCAAAAAGACATCAGAGAACAAATGCATTTTGAACCCTGCAATATGTTTCCCAAGAGAGGCAGGACCTTCAAATAAAAAATAGAGCCTGGTCCATTATAACCAACAATATGTTATAATACAGCAACATGTCTTTTAGAGCAAATAATTTCTTTAAAAAGTACATGGTGTTTCTTGCACTCTAACTGATCAGTTCTAGGCAAAGGTAGAGCACATGTTATACCAGCCTCTCTTGGGCCCCCGTGGAGCACAGAAGAGACACCTGGACCATTCTGCAAAGCTGCTGGCCCAGGAGCCAGACTCAACACTGTCATTAGCTGGGTGACCTCAGTTAAGTAACTTAACCTCTCTGAGCCTGAGTTTCCTTATCTTTACAATTAGGGGTAACCTGACTTAAATATTTCCTGAGTGCTTCCTATGTACCAGGCATTGTTCTATCTACAGCACATCAGCTGTTCCTGAAGTCTTTACATTCTAAAAGTGTTTAGTCCATTTGAAGAGCGAGTAGCAGTAGTTAAGAGCAGAAGCTCTCAAGAACATAGGTTTTGGAGTCCAGTAGATCTGGGTTCAAACCTTGGTTCTGCCACTAACCGGCAGATAACACTGGACAGAATACTAACAACTTCTGTTTTCTCAGCTGTAAATGCAGTTAGTAAAACTTGCTCATTAAGGTTACTAGCAGGATACACCACACTGTGTGTACAGTGCCTAACTGGTGCTTAATAAACGGTGGTATTTTATCAGCAATGTTCAGTAATCTCAGAAAGCAAGTACATACTAATGAGGAGGATTGGGAAAATGTTAGCCAGAAAGCCCTGCCCTGACATTGCCATCAGGAGGTGTCACAATACAGTCAAAGCAGATCTCTGGCGCCATCATCCCATTGCCAATCGTGGCTTCATTGTGTTAAAGTGCTTTGCCGTTATTCACCCCTATGTTTTGTGTTAAGTAAATGTTTCTAGAAAGCAGCTGATAACCTTTTCTGTGTTTATCATTACAACCTCATTGCCACCTATTTCACAGATAAAACTCTTGAGACACAGGAGACACAGGACTTGTCCACAGCTAGCTGATGACACAGCGGGCTCTAGAAGGCAGCACTCCTAGCTCCAAACCCGATTCCTCCAGCCACGTTTGGCGACCTTTCAGAAAAAGGCCACAGATCCTTCAACATTTAACAAACGTCACCAAACAGACATCGTAAAAACCAACAACTAGACAACATCGTAACAGGTAAAACCCGCACTCCAGCTGGCTCTGACAGCTCACCGTTTCCCCCGGGAGTGGTTTCAGCTGACTCTCCACGGCAGCCACCTTGGCATCCTGCAGTTCATTCTTCAGGGTCTGCACGGTGTTCAGAGCCGAATCAATTTCCATAGGACCACAGGCTTCGTGGGCCTGTCAACAGAGAATGTGGGACCATCTGTACACAGTCTGCTTGGGGAAAGTGTCCCCAATTCTTTGCAACATATGAAATGCCTTCTTGGATATACTGAATGGTTCTCCAGATCTAGTAGCAGAAGGCAAGGGAAGCAAGTAGTTTTCCCCGAGAGAAGAAAATCATCCTCAGTCGGAACCTCAGCCTTAACTTCCCCAAATAATCACTTATGTATATCTCATAACTGGACATACTTAAAGTCTTCTTGAAACTATTTTTATCTGAAATGCATCTGCCTCTTAGACTTAGTGGGTCCTATATCCAAGGTGGCTGGGTTCTAGAGACAGGGCACCGTAAGTGTGTACACGGAGGCGTGGCAAGTATGCCGTGAATGAGTGAATAAACGAACCCAGAACTCTGGAGGCAAGTCTGTACCCACCTTACTGATTCTCTTTACAAATTTCTAGAATATAAATCAGTATCTTTCCATACTGAAGATTATAAAAGTTTATTTCCTTAGTAATGTGTTTCAAGAAAACTACTGCATTCTCTTGATCATTTAGAACATTCCTCTCCAAATGCTTTGATGCATGTCCCTGATATGCACATGTAAATAAATGACATACATGAGTAATTATTAATCAGTTTACTAAATACTGGTAAATCTTAATTTCTTTCCTTTTTTAGAAAATAGAAAATTTACAGCAGCAGCAGTAAATACTAATTAATTGATGTCTATGTGCCAGTGTTACTTGGTGAGGAAACTGAGGCACAGAGAGGTTAACTAACTTGCCTAGGTCACAAAAATCAGTCAGTGGCAGGGACAGAATTTGAATGCAGGCAGTCTGATTCTGGAGCCTGCACTCTTAACCCTTACACTATACAAAAAACAAATACTTACAAGCCCTCACCGTGTCTTTCTGCACCCAGTGGACAGTCTTACTTAAGTCCCACTTTGGGGACCACTGCTCCAGAGCAGCTGTTTGATGCTGGTGTGTGTCTCAGGCTCACCAAGAAAACTTGTTAAAATGCAGATGTCTGGGCTCCATGAACAGAGATTCTGTTTGGTTGTTCGGAGGGAAGGTCTAGGGACCTCCATTCTAACAAGCACCCCTAGGTGATTCTAGGGCAGACAGTCCCAGGACTTCTCTTTGAGAAACACAGCTCAAAATACTTTTTTATTGGTTATAGTCTAAAGCTCTGGATATTCTTCTTTGGCAATGTAGTGTGCTGCTCATATTAACAATTCAAGTCCGCTTCTACCTTCTTCCCTTACCGATTTATAAGTCTGCTTGTTTCTATACAGGGACTGTTACAATAAGGAAAAATGAATTCATGCGAGAACCTCATGCTAATACCACATCAAACAGGGTCATAATGAGGCCTTTTGGTAATTAATAAGTTCCAGAGACAGAAATTCATTTAGTCCCCAATTCTGTTCTCTTGAGGACCTTGTGAAGGTGAATGCTTCCATGCAAGATGTGAAAACTTTTCAGGGGGAAAAAGACAATATAGATGACCCGCTTCCCCAAGTAGATTTTCTGCCTAAATTATTTGTTATTAAGTTTACAAGATGATACCTAGAAGATATATCGCTTATTTTAGCCTGTAATCTGCATGGCACCAAGACACTGCTGGCGTCTCCTTTAAGACTGAGAAAAATGGACCATTGCTTGTCCCAGGATATCGGAGGGGAGGAAGCGGGGGAAGAGGAGGAGGAGGAGGAAGCATGCAACTTAAAATAGTTCAACAAAAGTCATCTGGGACCAGAAGGTAATAACTAAGTCGGGGAGATGGTGGCTAAATGCAGTAAAAGCCAATCCACAGGGGCATCCTTAACCATCATGCAAACGAAACAGACAACTCTGCCGAGAAACAAGTCCAGCAGTGTGCAGACCCTGGGCAGCACCCCAGCCACATGAGCAGTAAGGAATGAAAACCTCCATCCGTAACGAGCTAACCGCCGTGACAAGGCTCCACTTGCCTTCTGCGAGGCGGTGCGCAGCTCCGCCAAGCTGGTAGCCAGGTTCTTGGCGCATTGGCTCAGCTGCATGGCTGCGGCCTGGTCACTCACGGTGGGCACCGCAGCTTTGGCAGAGGACACCATCTTGCTGCCAGGCTGCAGAGAGATGAATGGGAAGTAAGGACAGCTCCTGGGCAACAAGAGGCAGAAAGGCAAGATCCAAACAGCTACACCTTCCTATCAGCCAGAACTTATCTTGCCCTTAAAAAAAAAGGAAATATTAAACTAGTCCCCCCACCCCCAACACACACAACTGCCACCCCAAATCAGATACTCTAGGGTAATATATTCTAGATATGTTAAAAAAAAAAAAATGTTTCACTGGTGGGGAGGCAAAATTAGGATAGTGGCTTAAGATTCTCATGTAAAACAGATTTCAAAGAGGAATTCCTTATTAAATAGGTCTTTGTGTTTCTTGGACTAGCTCTTTATTCTGAGTCTAAAATATACCCAATAGACTACTTGAATGAAGGCAGACAAATAAAACAAAATGACCTCACATCTCACAAAAATAATTTTGCCATGCACTGATGTCTGTGTGCATGTATATTAAATGCAAAATCAAAAGGAGTTTTATAGAGCAAATTGGCAAAAACATGTATTTTTTTTAAATGTTTGATTCCCCATCTCATAAAAGATGAAAAAGTATGCTCCATATACTGCTAGCTATAAATTTAGATTTGCTCAACCTTCTGGAAGGACAATTTTACATGTATGAAGAAAGTTTAAAATGTACAAACTTTTTGATCTGTCAGTTCCGTTTCTATTTATTTTTAACCTTCCCTTTTTCTTGTAAAGATCTGAGTGTCTACAGTAGCAAAGTCAAAAGAACAAAAGAAAAAGGGAAAACAAGGGCAGGGCCATAGTGGAACCAGAAACACGTATACACTGCTCTGTCCTGACGCCATACAGCCCTGCTCCATGCTCCTACCCGCCCCAGTGAACAGAGAAGTATCTTGTCCAAGTCATAATTCTCAATGTCCTGAAGATAAAAATAAGCTGCTTGAGATCCCGTTTCTAGGAATTTATCCTGAGGAAGTAATTCAAGAAGGGAACAAAGATCTGAGCAAAGATTTTTATCAGTCATAGGTTATTTATGATAGCAGAAAAATTAAAAACCTTTATGTCTAATAATGGGAGAACAGTTAAACACAGAGCAGGGCCATATGGTAGAAGATTTATTCAAAATCGCAAATGCTCATAATGGTGTAAGAAAAACACAAAGGGCCTATATATAATGAATCCCAATTTACAAGAATATATATGTATATACATACATGTGTGTGTGTATGTGTATGTGTGTAGTTAAAACATGAGGAAACACATCAAAGCTCTCATGTTTTATCTCTGCATGTTAGAATTACAGCACTTGAAAAATGAACCAGATAGATGTATCACTGGGTCCTGCAACTATCAGTTGAACTAGAAAGGGATGAGGAATTGAATCGCCTAATCATATCGACTGCTTATGAGATACAAGTAGAGAAAAAGTGCTGATAAAGTAGAGAGATTTGAATATAAGAAGTAGGTCAAAGGGAGTTTTCCCACAACTTAACAGTCTTGTGGATTTAATTTGCCTTAAAATGAATCTACCCCCACCCCTACAAAGACTAACAATGCTAACGGTACAATTGCCACAAAGAATGATTATGTCTTTGGAGAAGATGCACTTACCACTTCTCTTTTCCCAGTCCGTGAATAATAGCACTAGGCTCTCTGCAAACTAGGAAAGCTAAAGCAATACCTGGTCCTAGGACACAACGTGCAACGTATTACATGTTCTCTCTCTTAGGAGAGAAATAAATATGATAATTCTGAGAAAAGTGGATCATGTGCCATCTCCCTGGGGCAATTTCCCTGCATATTAGCATTTTGTTTTGCCAAGCTCAGCCAAGCTCTCCTGAAACTGGCAATGTATATAGAGGAGTAATCCTGCTTACTGCGAAGACTTAGCTGAGGCTGAGGAATTTGTTAGTTCCTCTCCTGAAAGGGCAGCCCTGCCCAGGTGAGGGTTCTGAGTAAGCCCCAGGTGGCCACTTCTGCGTTACCTGGAGGAAGTTCTGGCTGGAGATGATGAGGGCCAGCTGGGCACTGAGGTCTTCCGCTTGAGCTTGGCTCCCTCTCACCCCCTGCACCAGCTGAGGGATGTGGTCAGCCACTGCCTACAGAACACACGGAAATGCAAATAAGCACAGCTACAATGGTGGAATCGTCAAAAGAGGTTAGAAAGTGACCCAGGTGATGCACTTTTTGGATGTGCTATACCCAGTCCCAGGCCTTGGACTGACACGGCACACTCAGCCAGCTGGGTCCTCCCCAACACTGTGCCCATGCCCTGGGTACTCTCCTCCAGGTCCCAAAGATCTCAACACGTTCCACCAAAGATGGCTCTCTATAATGAGGCCTTAAAGTAATTTCCCTAGTTACAACTCACACCATCATGGCTCACTGGCATTGCACACTTAGAATCAAATAGTCTACACAATTCACAAGTGGATAAAATGAAGTCACATGGTCCCATGATGAGAAGACAGTGAGAGAAATACTCAGCTCCCAGCATAATTTGAGTGCTTTGGCCCCTTATTGCAGGTGTGCATTTTGTGCACGGGCTTTCCTGTTGTCACTCACGGCCCCTCTTTCTCTAAGTAGCACTTCTCATTACTCCAACTGGAAAACCTACAGCCAGGGTAAGGGAGGGAGGAGCAGCGTTCTGCGAGCCAGGCTGCCGTACACTAGCCGTCTCCCATGGTGCCTGAACAGACAAGCCTTCTGCTTTTTCTGTGTTCCACCTGCATTTCCCCTCTGTGCCCACGGTCCCTCGATTAACCAAGCTCTCAGAGGTTATGGCACCGTGCCATCATTGCTGATAGAGGTGCCTGGTGCATGCTGGCCTGACGACACTTTTTTCTTTGGAACTTGCTCCAGCAAGGGTTAAAAAAAAATATCTCCATGGAATTTTCCCCAGAACCCCTTCAGGACTGCTGATTCCAGTAATTTGGCCCACTTTCCCCTCCCCACCTCAACCTGATAAATAGTGACCCTCTCATTTCCTGGCAGTGATATTCAAAGACCTATTATCTTCAGTCTCTTTGCAAAAGGGAGAGAGGGGCTCATCTTGTGGCATTTTCCCGGACACGAGTAGCATGTGCTCCATGAGAAGGGGAAAGGCCGAGCCTCCCCCACTGCTGGCAGCTGAGCTGAGGCCCCAACAGGAAACAAACTCCCCCGGAGCGGGGGCCTCACTCTCAGCAAGACCCCTTCTCCATCCATCCAGGACCCAAGGGCACTGGCCAGGACCCTACTGCATCGCTGAGGCTTCTCCTACTAGAGCCCATCAGTCCCCAACAGCAGGGCTGGCCTTGGAGAACCCAGAACTGGGAAGAGTGGGCTCCAGGTGGTTCCCCCTCAGAAGTAAACCCATTTCTGAAGTAGAAGCAGTGACTCCCCCTCACATGTGAATCATTATTTTACAGAGGAGATGTGGAGGAGAGTAGGGAGTTAGCTCTCATAACCCCAGCCCAGGCAAACATGCCTCTCGCCCAGCTCCCACCCCAGTCAGATGCGCCGCCCACATGTGGGCCATGACTCTGCAATTGGACTTTGTGTCTGGTACCATTTGAAGGTATCCTGAGAGAATCAGCTCTCTGGGAAGACAACAGAGTGGTTCACTGTGGCCTCTGTGGGAAGCGGGCCTCAACTCAGCATCAAGGCCTAGGTGTCAGAAGAACCAAAGCACTGTGTCACAGAGGCCAGCCAGGAATAAATCCTCAAGGAGGGGTGGTAGAAAGCAGGAAATCACCCCTGCTACGGTGAGCGAAGACCGAACGCCAAGGCCCGCCTGTCAAAGAGAGGCATTCCAGAAATTCAATGCCTCATTACTGTTTCAGGGCCCTACGGTGGCCTCATCATTGATCCTCTTTGTCTCTCAAAAAGAAATGCAGGCAGACAAAGACAACGCTAGGGGGAAACCATACTCTCCCTCCAAACCCAGGCCATCCGCTTGATGGACAAAAACCAGACGTATGTACACCTGGAACACAGGAGCCGGAGCAAACTGGATCAGGGGCCTGGATTATCTGTCTTAACTGAATTACCAGGGCACTCGGCGCTCTAATGCTATCAGGGTCATCGCAGCAGACCCGGCTCTGTGCGCGCCTGAACCTCACCTTGCAGCTCTGCACCAGCTGCTGCTGGGCCGCGGGGTTCTTGTTGGAAACGGCCGCGTTCTGGGAGGCGGCGATGGTCTGTGTGGCCGCCGCGGCGGCCTGCTTGGCTGCGACCTGCCGAGGAGAGGGAGACAAGGCGAGTCAGACAGACACGCGGGCACCTTCTGCATGCCACTTCCACCAAAGGGTCGGGCCCAGGTTTGCTGCTCTAAAGGAGCTCCAAGAGCAGACCCTGACTTATTTTAAAAACCTTAAGCCTAACCTCACAACACCCTTGGGTTGACGCTCCCTGGGACGAGTGGTAATGACAGGCACACCTGAAAGCTCAAGTCCTGATGTCCGTTTGTCTTTCTCAAAAGACCAGGGACACTTCCAAGACTGTGGTGGCACTGAGAGGCTGCACCGAGTCTAAACGCTTTAGGATCAAAGATCTCCCATGAGCAGCACAGGCTGCTCCGTGTCAAGCACAAACACTGATGCCCACGACTTTCCTCCCATGACACCGGTAAGCCTTCGTGCAGAAATGTAGAGATTTTCCCACCAGGTCACTTAATCCCGTTTCCTCTCTCATCTCCTCCTAAGCTGATTTCCTTCCAGAATACAGCAGACTATATAGGGAGGGAGTCCTCATGACATAAGCAGGTTCTTGGCTTCCAATCCCCCTATTTTAGTATAGGCTCTCCCGTGTACATTCGTGAGAGCAATATTTTTTCTTACATAGTTTGTGCCTCTTACTATTTTCAATTTTTGTTCAGAAGAAATATTCCAAAAAATGGCAAAGTATTTCTTCTTACTCCCTTTCAAACCTCACTACTCAAGCCTGATCTCCATCTCTAGTCTTCTAAAGCAGCAGTCCCCAACATTTTTGGCACCAGGGACCGGTTTCACGGAAGACAATTTTTTTTATGGATCAGGGGCAGGGGGGATGGTTTCGGGATGACTGAAGTGCATTACATTTATTGTGCAGTCAAACCTCTCTGCTAACGATGATCTATGTTTGCAGCTACTCCCCAGTGCTAGACTAGCATCACTACCTCAGATCATCAGGCGTTAGATTCTCACGAGGAGCCTGCAACTTAGATCCCTCGCATGCACAGTTTACAGCAGGGTTTGTGCTCCTATAATGCCACCGCTGATCTGACAGAAGGTGGAGCTTATGCAGTGATGTGGGCGATGGGGAGCGGCTGTAAATACAGATGAAGCTTCGCTCCCCCGCTGCTCACCTCCTGTTGTGTGTCCCGGTTCCTAACAGGCCACGGACCAGTACCGGTTTGTGGCTCGGGGGTTGGCCCACAGTTCTAAAGCCCGTATCTCCCATGGGAAGCCCCCCAAAAAGTCACTGCCTCCAACAAAATATAAACATTTTTAGCGCAAGGTCCTTCCTGAATGTGTACATCCTTTAATGCCAGACAAAACAAAATCCCGTGTTCCTCCTGAAAAAAGTCTGCATTCTATTCCCGAATGTTACACTCAGGAAGAATTTTAGCTTACCACAACAATTTTTCCCATTCTGTCAATGCCTTTACAGTTCCTAAACCACTAAACGATGTCACTAACCCCGATTTAGCTTTCTTTATATAGGCATCGCCTTGTTAATTCAACTATTTTTTCAAATAACTCTTTGCAATCTCAAATAGGCAACCCAGAAAGCCAGCCTCTTTACTGACCTCCAGTCTGTTGACAATTTTTTTCTTAATAGCATTCTGGGCAGCAGCATTGGTTGCTACACGGAGACCTTCTGCAGCTTCTCTCAGCCTTTGCTGCTGGTCCTCATTCTCTGGGTTGGCTGCAGCGCCCTGCAAAAATGAAAATAAAGATTTCAAGTGGTCCAGGGGGCACAGCTGCTGAATTCATGCCTTCAAAATTACTTTTTCCTAGTAGTAGAAAGAATTTGGAACGACAGCCAAATGCCACAGGCGATATCTTTATGATGAAGATGTTTCCTCTTGCAGTAAAATATATCTACCAGGGGATGCTTCAGAATTGCATGGCTAAACAGTAAGAAATCCAAGGTAATAATTAAACACTTGAGATCATAGCCTTGGTTGTCCATACAAATTAACTTGTGGTCAGAAACCCATGGTTTAAAAGATACTAAGATAAATCTCCCCTCTCCCCATCTTTCTCAGGGATAATTTTATTTTCATTGGCACAGACACAGTAATGATACACGTCTTCTTGTCGTTGCTGAAACACTCTTCTGCCCTGTGGTCCCGGTACTTGTGAAGGGCTACTCCTACTCCACTATAAATGCACGGGGGCACGGAGGGGAGGGGAGTGCCTTTCAAAAAGACCGTAAGGAAATGTTGTTACCGAAAGCCATGCTAGAAATCGCATTCCTAGAGAGCCTGAGTGGTGAAGTACGGCAAAATAGAGCTGGCATCCAACTGTAGTGAATTAATGAGAGAAACCCGATGCCCTGACCCTGAGGAAGGCGCCGTGCACAGCCCGTCACCACGCTTTCTGTGTCCAGCTCTACTGCCCTTTTTACAATGTTGCTTTAGTTGAACATGTCTTAGAAATCTAAGTGGATTTCCTTCACAAGGGTAGGATTCCAAATTAGGGGAAGACTGAAGGTAACGTAGGGAGGGGATAGAATTTTGTGTCACAATAGTGCAACACAGACTTGAAATTGTATCCTCTCCCTACATTACCTTCCTCTTCCACCGACAATCGAAGCAGCAATTAAGATTTCTCTCACGGGGCCTGGATGTTTTGTAACATGTGCTTGATGGTGTATAGATCAACGAGTTTCTTCCTATGAACACTTCAGGGCAATACTATTTGCTCTCGAGGCAGGGAGAACAGCATGCCAATTTATCAAAAATCAATTTTCTGAATGTCTAGATTTTCCAAACAGTCAATTTGCCAAATTTACCAATTTATAAGAACCTATTTCTTTTAACTATTTATAAAAGTGAGAGCAATGCATACTGGAGGCAATGGTTTTAACATCTGCGGCAGAATTGTTTTAGCAATCCTCTTGAATAGAATCTCCTCTTTTTTCAAACTTTAACCACTCTTCCAGTCTTGATTTTGTGTTTCTAGCAATTAAGAAATTTTATTTCTGTGTGTCATGTGTAAAAGGATTACTTGGGGTACTCCTGTGTTCTTTTGCAAGTTTATGAAAGTCGTTTTATTTTTCCTGGTCGTCAGGTACTTTTTAAACCATCCCTTTATCAATACCTCAAGTGGCCACATCAGCCTCGATTTTACATTTGATGCTTTGAGCAGCTGGAAATCAGCACTTCTGCATTTCACATTGATGGGGATGTTTGGATCCTTGCTCAGCAATGTCTTTTTTTTATGATGAATGCGTATCAGATATGGAGTACTAATCTTAGCCTGAAAACTTAGTCATTAATTATGAAATATGTATTTTTTTGCACCTTAAATATATTATTTGGAAGTCCAACCATCAGGCGTTCTTTAGCTTTCGACAAAATTCAGTAAAATATTGCTATCAAGACAAAATGACGACTTTTAACTAAAAGTTAAAAGAATTTACAGAAATACTTTAACATTGTCCAACGTAATATAAACAACCAAAAGCCGCATAAATACTTAGAAGAAACAGGTTTTTGGTCACTTGGTGAGTTCAGTGAACCGGCCTGCTGAGCAGGCCCATCACGGGGAAAAAACGTGTACTGGTCTGGCTCAGCCCTGGTTGTGTGACATCAGGCTACATCTTTTTGAGTTTTAATTTTTTTCATTTGTAAAATAAGGCATTGACTAGATTTTCCCTATGGTTCTTTCTAGACTAGCAAGCAATTTTTTTTGTGAACATGAAGGTTTGCTTGAAATAGTTATGTGTAGACCTAGAAGGGAAGGGAAAACTAGTAAAACCTTAAAATAAAAATCACCTACTATACAAAACTCTAATGCATATTTTTTGCTAAAAGGTGGTGGTTAAAAGCAGAACTTGGCTCTTAGATGAAACAGGGATCAGGAGACAAAGGGAAGAAATTCAGACCCTGCTCCCTCCTTGGTCTCTCCTTCACCCCTGCTCATGAGTGATGTCTAAGAATTCGCAGTCCCTCAGGGAACACGTGGCAAGTGCAAACAGGGAGGGTCCTCTACATGGTTCATTGCAGGTCTCAATACATTTTATGTGAAGTAATTCACACATCTGATTGAGACACGCTACTACTCTGTTGAAGGCCAGAGAGACAGGATAAGATGTGGAGACATTTAATGAATCTTACATGCATAGAAATGTTATCTTGGGGGCACGAATTGAAGGTGATTTTTTTCTTTTTTCTTTTTTTTTCATACTTCTCTGTATTTTCTGTTAATTCTACAAGAAATGTATGCTCGATGCATAACAAAAACATAGAAGAATCTAGCCTTATCCATTTAAACAGTTCTCACCTAGAGGTATGCATCAGAATAGCCTCTAGAAGTCAAATACATACCCCTGCTCGGTCCCACCTGTGATTTTGTGAAGGAGGACCTTTGGGGTGGAACTGAGGCGAGTGCATTTTAAGACTGTTTCACTGTGGGCTCTGAAACAGACTCAGGTTAAGAATCACTATCTTTCAGAAGCGTTATATTATAGCAGAGCTATCAAAAAGCACAAAGCTAACTCTTAACTCTTCATGCTTTTATTACATTTAAAATTGCTAGTGGAATTTGAAGAACAATGAAGTAGGAGACACTCCGCTATTCAAAATCTTGATAGGAATTTGGTTGAGAAGACGAATGGGGGAGGGCAAAAAAAATTAAGGATGAAGGAAGAAAATGGGCTTACGTGAATTTACTGTTGAAAATCTCAAGTTTAAATTAATCACCCCTTTCAAAGCAGCCAAAGGTGAGGACCCAATGGAAAAAGTAAGCAGGGTACTTTGCTGCTATGGCTGAGTCAGTACCATCCCCCCAAAGGGTTTCATTCGGATGTCCCATCGCCTCCTTGGACACAAGGTTGGATGTTGCAAGCCATATAGGTTTTAAACAAACAAAAATGCACATTCGGCTGACCATCGTCTATCTTGAAGGTAACTCCCAAATCCTAACACTTAATAATGTTCACTTCTCAAACACAAATCCAGTGTAATACCTTTGCGGCTTCCACCATGCGAGCAGTAGAGTCAGCCAAGAGTTTCGCTGCTGCCAGGAGCTTCTTTGAGTTCTCCATGTCGATTTCAGCCTCCGCATCTGACCTCATGGCATTGACGAGGTCTGATGTGGCCTGGGCCAGGACCCGGGCTTGGCGCACCATTTCACCTAGAGGATGGGACAGAGGATGCAGACTGTTTGCTTTCCAAAGAACGATAAAACCTTAGGAGCCAGTACGGTCTTGTCTCTAACTCCTCTGGCAAGCTGGATGGAGAAAACTGAACCTCCATGGTCTACTCCTAAGCAGTGCACCCAAATTAGAACCTGAACTGAAAACATTTTCTGTGGCTGCCAGGACAGTCCGCCCCAAACACATCCAAGTTCAACCGTTAACTGTAAAGGAAAAACGTGACACAAGTAGCCAAAGAGAAGCATTTTATAAGCAGAAGGCAGGAAATAAAATTATGTGAATTTATCTTTAGTAAATTCTTATTTAGAAAACATTGTTTACCTCACTTTCAATACTGCTTACAAAAAAGCCTCTAAAATAAATTCTTCAGGAACCGAGCCGCACATCACCGCCTGAGCTCCACCTCCACCCCCCGTCAACCCGTCCCGTAGAAAAATTGTCTTCCATGAAACTGGTCCCTGGTACCAAAAAGGTTGGGGACGGCTGCTTTGAGGAATGGACATAGAATAAAATTACTCTTAAATTTTGGATTAATTTGCATGCTACTTACCACCACATGAATGACATCACACAAGCCATTACATTTGTGCCATGTGGCCCTCATTAATAGAGAGCACAGACCCCAGCGTCATGCTCAGATGCTAAGATGCGGCTTAGCCCAGAGCGTTCCCTGCTGATTCTCTCTTTGCTCATCCTTTTCTTCCCAGTGCTGGTTTTGATCTTGTATTATTATTTTTTTGGTCTTACTGTGCCTGTGATTTTACTGAAATCTATTTCAACTTCCTTTTGGAGGAATAATCAATATTAAAAATAAAACGACTCAAATGCAAGGGATTTCTTCCTCTCCCAGAGGTCATTTAGCAATGCTGAAGCACTGTAACATTAAGGGGGAAGAAAAAAGCTTTTATAGAAATAAAAATGTGCTAAATTCAGTGTGGTATTCTGGACTGGATCCTGGGACAGTGAAAGGACATCAGAGGAAAAATGGATGAAATCCGAATAATGTCTGTAGTTTAGTTAGCAGCAAGGTACCAATGCTATTAATAATTTCCAAGTTTTGACAAAAACTATGGTTCAGGGAAGGTGTCAGGAATGGGGGAAACTGGGAAAGTTACTGTCTTACCTCAGTAACTTTTTGGTATATCTAAAAGCATCACAAAATAAAAGGATGATTAAAAAAGCAAAAGAATTTAAAAAAAAAAAACCCAATGTGTGTAGCATTCCTATCTTGTTAAATCATTTAAGAAGGATATAAAAGAGCACAAGATAATTTTCTAAAAAAGAATACTTGTTATAAGGTGTCATTCTATGCTGGTGAGGAACTAGGAAAACAGACCTCTTCTAAACTACTGGGAAGGTTGCAAATTGTGGGTCCTTTCTCGAGAGAACTTTCATAAACACGTTTAAAATAAAAAATGTACATATCTATTGGCCCAGCAATTCCACGGATAGGAATTTACCCGACATAGGTTCCCCCCAAAGTAAACTGTTTTTATGAGAAGGCTTATTGTACTATCAGTTTTATAAAAGCAAAACAAACAGAGAAATTTGGAAATGACCTGAATGCCCATAAAAGATAACAGTTAAATTATGATACCTCCAAAAAAAAATAGAATACCATGCTGTTATTAAAAAGATTAATATATAGGTGGACAGGAAAAAAGTCTCAAGATATATATCAAATTAAAAAGATTATAAAATAGCATATATAATTCCATTAATATATATTAAAGAAGAGAGGGTCTCTCTCACCCACACACATGACTGTAGGCAGATGAGAGAATCCTGGACAGATAAAACAGAAATTGCTAAATGGTCACTTCTGGGGATTTTGATGACACAGTGGTGGGCTGGGTCTGGGGAGACTTACTTTTCAACAGATTGAAAAGGTATTTATTTTTAAATTTGCCGTACATTATGTATGATGTTTTGACATCTTAACACCTTTCTGCTGGGGGAGATGCCCCTTCTGGAGCTAGCCGATTCTTAGAGATCCCAAGGGCTCAGCTGGGAGAATGCCTCTGATATGCAAACTAGCCAATCCAGAGCCCTGCCTTCTCTACCTGGCCCAGAGACCCAGGAGGCAATATTCCTCTGCCTTGATCATCCCAGGCACAGGTACCAGGCAACTAGCCACCCTCTCTATGACTTAGAGCCTGCCAAAATTACGTAAACTAGCCAATCCTAAACTGTTTCCTCTGCCCTGCCTTGCATTTCCCGAGGACACTCCAATAAAGATTGTGGTCTGGGTCCTCCCCTAGTTCCTGTCTTCTGCCTCCTGACCACCCTGGTGGTCTCCCCTGAGACCCTGTGCAGCATGTCCCTCCAGGGGACCTGGAAGTGTAATGAACTTCATCCCAAGCCTTGTTCCTGTTTCCTTCTGTGGCTGCTCCAAGGCTGCTCCAACTTTACCGTACTATACCCAACACATGCATTCTCAGAACAAAAGGGATTTACCTTGAATCTAAATAATAATAAAAACCCGGTTAACTCTGTTGAAGTCTTTAAGTGTGGCTATGAAAGAGCACTTTTGGAGTCTCCTATCTTTTTCTGAGCCTCAGTGAGGAAGCCTCAGCCAAGGCTGATCAGAGTCTGCCCTCGCCAGTCACGCAGGCAGCTGTCACTTTCCCTAACGTCGTCACCATCATGGAACCCTTACCAGCATCGCCCATGGAACTGAAGATGCTCTCAGTGACACACATGATGGTGTCGGTGGCCTGGTCGTAGCGGCCGATGGGCTCGCCTCGGCTGGCAAACTGTCGTACGTGCTGCAGGAGGTCGTGCAGGGCCTGGCTGACCACGCTGGCCGCCGCGCTGACCTGCTTGAGGAGCTCGCTGTCGGTGGTGGCCGCCTGGCAGGCGCGGACGCAGTTCTCCACGGAGCGGTCCACCAGCTTCCCCGCTTCAATCAGCTGCTCCTGACACACAGGGGAGCTGATGGTGGGGCTCACGACCTGAAGCGAGACAGGAGCAGGTCTTCAGCACCGCAATGACTCCTGGTCCCTCATGGGCCCTTGCAGTCCCCACAAGTCCCTTCCTGCTCTGGGCCTCAGTTCCTCACTCACAGGACCAGGCATTCAACTAAACTATCGTTGAGGTTTCTCACGCTTCACTATTCTACTTCATTTTGTGATTTTAGATGTCCCCCTAATTTTTATCTTTGTCATACATGACAATCCATACCACTGACCTACTTCCATTGACAGAAATTTCTGATATTTACCAATTATATCTCCTCCCTTTCAGGATCCTTGGAATTTGAGTCTTCTGAGCTAGGATAAGCAGGTAGACCACCTAAGAGAATTGTTATTTCTTTTTTTCAGAGACACCTGGAAGTCTGCCTCATGGTCCTTTAAAGAATGGGATTCTGTCAGTTATTTGTGGATCCTGGCAGGGTCGACGAGGAAAGCAGGAGGGAGACCACCGAGCACACCTCTGACCGACGCTGCAAATCCATCCATAGGATGTCAATGCCAGGCTGAGCCAGATCACACATCTGCACAGCAGGATACGTCAGCAAGGCCAGTAGTGGACATTTCCCATCTTCTGACACATCATCACTGAGAAGATGCATGGGACGGAGCGGAAAGGGTATTTGGTGGCTAACAGACCCGAGTTATAACCCCAATTCTGCCACTTACTACTTTTGTGGCCTTAAGCTACTTACAACATCTAAGGGCCTCAGGTTCCCCCTCAGTAAACTGGAGATAGTGGAGCTTAATTTACAGGATTGCTGCGCAGATCATGCGAGGTGATCTATGAAATGCGGAGTGTGTACACCCTGGCAACAATTAACATCCTCACTTGGACACTGCCACAGAAAGGGTTCCCACGAACTCTGCGGATTATTTCTGCACCCATGCAGATGATGCACCACACGATGCAAGAACTCTCTCTGTGCAGGTGTAAATAAGATGCATCGAGAGGTCCGAAGGGTAAGACGGCAATTTGCATATAAAAGTGGATTAGCAAAAAGTATCCACTGCTTGAGAACTCAAGCAAACCATAAAAGCAGAATTAGAAAGCTTATGCTAAAATCCTATCATGTCGCTTAAGAGAAGACACTTGAAGCAAGCTCTAAGTCTCAGACTATTTGAACAAATTCTGCCCCTGCTCCTGCCCAATGCCCGGAGGCAGACAAGAGCATGTGACACTGTGCAGAGAGGGCTGCGGTGCCGCCTGGCTCACCTTGGCACACGCCACAAGCTGGGAAGTGGAAAGGGCACACTGGGTGGCAGCAGCGATCACCCTGTTCTGTAGGACGGTGTCTTCGGCCACTTGGGCAACATTCTTCGCCTTCAGTACCAACATGGCAGCAGCATTGGCAACAGCTTTGGCCAAACTCATTAAGACATCCTACGAAAAGGGAATCAAAGACTATTCATTTATCTTTTTCTAATCACCCTGTTCACAGCCTGACAATTAAATGTGGCATCCACCTAACCATTTTATTAAAATTCCATTTGATCTTTTTCCTTTAGCACTTTAGACTTTTTTTTCACTTATATTTTGAAAAGTCAGCTTATCTTCAGAGGTAATTAAGGAAGGAGACTTGGGTCCTCACAACTCAGTCTCTCATACATCCATTAAGTAGCAGAGGTTTAAATCTAAAGTGGGTTAATTTGAGGGAATGGTTTTCATTTTAACCACTGATTCACGTTGATGCACTTATCCAACACGGAGTCTTGACGTCTCTTTGAACATGCGGTTGATGCGGTGAATCAGGAGAAGCTGAAAATATATCCAGATGCCACAAACATCATGTGCCCTAGGAAAGTTATAATTCACGGCCTCTGAGACATCATGCCCCACCGTAACTCCAAAATTTATCTTTTCAATTTCTACTTTGCAGAGAGATCCAAGTTATCCTCAGAAATTCAGCCACATCTCTACCTGCAGAGGGCAATGTTGGACACACACAGACACATAGCTGGCACCAACACCTACAGATCCACAGATCGGGAGCCAAGGAATGCTCTGAACATGAGTTATTCTCAGTGTTCTGTAGCCTTCTGGATAAGAATTAAATTATTATGGAAAGTGGAAAGGGAGCCTACATAAATAAACGAGCTACAGGACAATCTGCCTGAAGATGCAAGGAGCCTGGAGCCTTTAAAGATCGGTTTATGCTTCAACTCCATGAGAAGGCACTCTGCCTGCAGAATCAGGAATCCTTTGATACAGCCTTAGCAGATTTCTCACCCGTCTGTTTGACCTGAAGAATAACCACTGTTACATTTCATTCACTTCTTAGCTTTTAATACTGAAAACAGTTTATTTGATTTAGAAATATCTTCCCAAACGTATGAGCCATTTTTATTGTGAACAAACATGTCAAGGTTTTTCCCCTAGAGGAAATGGGGTCAGAAGTCTTTATTAATTCATCAGATAATAAAAAGCACTTTTGATTCTAAATGCAAAGGGCACCCACAGAGTCTTTACAATGAGATATTTTATAAGAAGATATACTGGAAAGAATATTCAAGCCTGTAAAATTTTACACAGAGCAATGACTGTACGTAATCTAGGCAAACCGGAAACCCATCAATCTACCAAGTAAGCTCATTTTAAAAAGGAATAGGTTGGTCCAGTCTTTTTTTTGGTCATGTTTCCTGGATATCCAAGGAAAAACTAAAGCCTGCGGTGCTAAAAGTTGGAGACGCCGCTGGGATCTGATTGGCACCTGTCTGCTCCACAACTTGTATTAACAGGAATCTCTCCCAATGTGGCAGTTTCAGTTCTTAGACACCTACCTCAATGCTCAGTGAAAACACGGCTTGAATGTCACAAATTATTTAAAAGATTTTTAAAAATAACTTCCCAAAGTAGGTCACAGTATTCCTTCACTTGATATGAATTCATCTTTTCACATGGGGACCAGGATGTGGTCACATAGAATCACGATTGTTCGAAAGGGCTTTGTTAGAATCGTTTCAAGAAATCCTGTTCCTCCTACTAATTTTGTCCAAAAAAAAAATAGTTGGAAAAAGAATGTGATACTACAGCTACAGTTGCTGACAAGGCCTTTGTCAAAATTTTCAACAAGACCACTATTATGTAGCCTGTGTAAAATAAATCTTTGTCAACTCTGGGAACATGCAGTACATTAAGAACCCAAGAAAAGCTCTGTGATAGGATTTCAAGAATCAGAAAAATAGAGTAAGAAATCCAACGTCAGTAAGTCAGGGGCCACCCATAACTGGAGGAGGTGGCAGGATCACCTTACTGCCCTGGTCTTTACCTAGAGACCTTACACAAATGCAAACATTCAAGTCAGGCCTTTCGCAGGTAACACACACCCCATGACTCTATTATCCTGAACGTGAACCTGCTTCTCTGGACGTCTGAATAGAAACAAACATTAAGGAGCAGAGTTTGCATTTGTACCCAATGAAAAGAATCTGTCATATCAATAAAAGAGTAAATCTTTTAAAAATACAAGAACACATGAGATGTCTTAAGGAAGAATTGTGACTTTTTCCTTAATCTTCTTCCTTAACACTTTGGGGAAAGCAATAACATTTTTGAGGAAAGTAAATTGACTATTTCAGGATAATTAAGCCTAGTTAAATAGCAGCTGAATCTCATATTTACCAAATTCCTAAGTAGGTACCTGCCTAAAAAGAACTACCTGCTCTGATACAAAAACTAAAGGCCAATGCAAGGGCAGTTTGGGGACCTCGAAGGGGAAGTAAGGATGGGGACACAATTAGCTTGGGTTTAGTGGGGTATATTTATGTGGTCTTAGGTAAACTCTGGTCATAGTGAAATTATTACTGGCCATCTCAGTGTAGAAATGGCTTTCAGGAATACTCATACCACCCATAATGGAGACCCACACCCTCCATCGTGACATGAATGTTTGTGCACTGGATGTCTAACTGAACCATGGGATATGATGAGTCCTACGGCCCCAGGGCCACAGGTCTGCAGATAGTGAAGGAGAAACACATATATCTATGGATGAAGATGCAGGTTTCATGTCTCACAACATATATGGTCATGTCTTAGTGTATCTAACACATCTTGTGCTGATGAAGTTTGGTATTTCTACAGTAGATAAAAATGGCCTGTAAAGTTGCCACCCAGGAAGCAAGAAACCTGAGTGTCAGCAGAAGGCTGAATGATGTTTTTGTTCTATCAAATACGGCAAAATCATTGTCAAATGAAGAGGTGGCCAAAGAGGATGCAGCCAAAAATGTGGGGGAAAAGCTATTTAGGGATGTCAGGTAGTTAATAAAAAACATTATGTTATTTTTCTGGATTTAGTTATATTTGTGGTATTTGTTCTTATAAGTTTGTAAATTTTTCTAAATAAATGTTTAACTGTATATTTATATGTTACATAAAAAGTTAATAATTTGGAAAAAAACTTTAACAAAGTAAGGTTTTAAAAAAGCTAATGAAATTCTGCAGAATTCCCAGTGAACTTGACACAGGATTTGAAAAAGGGCAACCTGGGCTAGAACTGCAAGCTTTTAATTAAGATCTATCTACTACTTGCAAAATCAGAGACTTAAGAGGAAGAATAAAGGGCGTTGGCCCACGAGCGCATGAGAAGAGAAATTCCTCTTGGCTTGGACTACCCAGCAGCAGGCCCGTGCACTCTGGGAGACAGACAAATGGAGGTCTTGTCTGAGCCACAGTGTGGCGATGCTGGCCATGCATCAAGCCAGCTGCAAACAGTGGTGACAGCTGTTCACCAGAGGACAAACAGCACCTGTCCCTGGTATTGGAACACAAGGGTCACAAAAAAGACTTCTCTGCCACACTTGTGGTTTTGGATAAGACACAGAAAGTAGACCCACCTCTGAAAGCAAAGGAAAGCTCCACTGTGTGCATATGCGTGTATGGAAGTACATGCGTTTTCACGCTTACATGTGGACTCAAGAATGATGCTATTAAAAACTGCCCCCAGACAGAACCAGATCTGCCAGCAGTTGGTAATTACAGAGGTTGGGTGGTAGATAACAAAGGGGTTCATGACACTATTTTCTGCACTTCTGTGTTTAAAGAATGTCCAGCGTGTTGACAAACAAGCAGAGGGTTAAGTAAATGCTATGTAAGTGAAATGAGTCTTTCCATTAAATTTTTTTTTTTAATTAACACAAAAAGACCTCACTCCCAAGATAATTCACCTCAATCGCATTCTCCACAGCTCAAGGAAGATTTGGTTTGTTTTCTAGTACATCCTCCCTGCTTGTGTCTAGACCATCACTGAGGCTCCTTCCCGATATTGTAAAGCCGCACGTATCTTACCTGAAACCGCTCATCAGTCTCATTCTCCCCAATCTGCCTCAGAAGATCCCCACTGGCTTGCCCGATGCTTCCTGCAGCGGTCAAAACCGTCTGTCGAGGCTGCGAACAAAGAACACATCTTCATTGGAAAGAAAGTGCATTTCCTCCAGTGTCATCAGACATGGTAGTGCAGGAGGAGGAATCTCATGGGATTGGCTCCTTTTGTATATAAATGAGACTCCTGGGTTGTGTGCCAGATAGGAGAGACATAAGCGTTCTGGTGAAATCTGTGCAAGGAACCACTCACTGTCTCATGAATCAGCAATAGGTAGATGGATTTGAAATGTCCAATGAAATGAGCCTCATTCGGCTGGTAAGAAGGTGATAAAGTGCTTTATGGAATGTAGGGTGCAAACCCATGTCCCCTTTAAATGTGTATTAGTTGTGAATGTTAAGTTCCTGGAATGGCATCTAATCAAGTACCCTTGAGGGGGCATCCTTCATACTAAGAACTTAGGTTGAACAACAGTGTCTGCTCCCAGTTCAACAACTCCAAATACTGTGTGGTAACTTACCCCATCAGGATGGAAGGAACTGCTCAGGAAGGAAGAGCCCCATGTTCCCCCACCCAAAGGATGCACCTGTCTCATCAGAACCTGAGTGACTGCTCGGCTGTAGAGCTTACCTCTCCAGAAGTAGGCTGCACCGCTTTCAGCAGGTCTGACACTGCCCCAGCGAGGGTCCTTGCAGCTCTGAGCAAGTCCTCCCCGCTGCCCACCTCATCATCCATGAGGGCCGCCAACAGCTTCACGCCTTTGGACATCTCCGTCAGGTTGGAAGAAATAGTGGTGATCGCACAGCCCACAGCTGTGTAATCAGTGTCTGCAGGGTCACCTGGGACAGAGAAAGAAAGACCATCACCATTCAAGGAGGGTGGGGCACGTCGAGGAGACTGAGGTTGGCAGGAGGCGAGTGGTCCTGGTGAGAATTTTCAAAACCCCACATTGGTGAGAGTCCATCACCCACCATCCTGCAGGAGTCAGACACAAAGTTCACATGAGCACAGTGAGATGGGCTACTCCCTTGTCTCCACGGGGACTTCGAAAGGTCCTTTTACCTGGATGCCTCATACAATGAAATGCTGAGCATGGGCACCTTTACAATTGCAAAGGAAGTCTCGGCATCTCAGGGACCTTTTCATTAGGCTCCTGTCAGCAGCCAGGGGTGAGTGAGGAGGGGTGATCAACTCTGTTCCTGAAGCAATGATATGCTGCAGGGCGAAGCCAAGAGAGTTCCCAGCTCTTGCGTGACAACGCAAGGCTGGGAGTCACCCTATGCCCCGTGAGGCCACTGCTGGGCAAGGCAGGTAAAGGCATCTATGACGGTCTGTTCATACAAAACCATTTTCAGACTGGAAGCTCCCAGAAGGCAGAAACTAGCATCAACAGATTTCGAAGTGTGTCCAGCATATTGACAATGAGAAGAGCTAAGTGAGTGATTTTTTAATGACGATGCATGATACAGACAAGAAGGAATGAGATGTTTCTTACACTTCTCCTGGGTCATTGGGAGAAAATGCCTAGAGTGCTCCAAGTGCCTTAAAATAGACTACCCTCTCATAAGATGAAAATCTATTGCTTTGATCAGCAAATAAAAGCTTATTTATTTTTAATTTTTTTTTTAAGAATAAAACCGCAACACACCACAAATCCTTCAGGGACTTACCAGCCGTGAGGTTAACAACCGAAGCCGTTCCAGCCGTGATAGCATCGACTTGGGAATGGATTTCGTGTTTGGATTCGTCCACTTTGTTCTGAACCCACACCCTAGACGCCTGCAAAGCCAGACAACAGCATGACACGATCATGGCACAGAATTACCCAGGAGACCCGAGAAGCCCTGCCGTGAAACGGGACCAGCATTTCGGCCACACTCCTCTGACAGGGCCTGTAAGTCATCCGAGACAACATCCTTAACAGGCCTCGTGCTCATTCAGAGATGCTGAATGGCATGTAAATTCTCCCTCCTGTGTCTATACTAACACTACATCGCTTTTAACTTTTAAGATCTTAGGAGGGAAAATTCTACCTGGCTTTACTTAGGTAAATTCGACTGAAAAAGAACGAGGAGAAAAATCAATGTCTTGTAATACTGCACATTAGCACTAACAGTGGTTGCTAATTTTCACCTTGCCTTTTAGGGAACAGGGCTAGAATGAGGGCGTTTCAGCTTGCAGGCATTCTCTGTCAACATAGGCAGTGTCTCTTGTTTATAACATGAACTGCCTTGAAGATGATGAAGTGCCATGCTCATGCAGAGGTGACATCTTTCCTGGTAAGACTGGGGGCACGGGGTAAGACCCCTGTTCTGGATCCAGCTCTCCCACTAACAGGTGACATGACCCTGGGCACATTATGTCCAAGTCCTGTGCCTTACATTTCTTCTACTGCAGGAATTCAACCTCTTTAAAAACCCTTTCTAGTTCTTATATTTTATGTTTATTTGAACCTATAAATAGCAAATTCTCTATTTTCTGGCATTCCAGGACTCGGCTAGTAAATGATCATTTTTATTGATGATGATGACCCTGCAGTAAGGTGCTGATCTGCTTCCCAAAACATCCTCAGAATGTTAACCTAGGTTTGGGAACATCTAGTGCTAATAATATTTTACTGCATTCTCATTCTTTGAAAACTGGTGAGGCAGGCATGTTTTAAAACACTACCTCACAATCGTACTGCCTGTGGGAGTCTGCCAGATATAGTTTCACCCTAAAGTTCCCCAAAGCAAAATGTTTAATGATTTCAGGTTCTTCAGAGAAACAGCACTGAGGACCCCAGCAGCTTCCATGCATAAAAATGTGCAAATGAAAACCCAGCATTTCAGGGAGAATTTGGAGGGCAGTTACCCTGATGGAACAAGATGAGGCTACAGCCTGTGTCTTGGTTCTGGCCCCTGTGATGGTACCAGTTCTACAGCAGTGGCTTTTAACCCTGACTGTCCATTAGAATCACCCGGGAAGAATGAAAGCCACTCACACCCAGGCCACACCCACTGTGACATCGATTTGTTCAGTCTGAGCTGAGAGCTTAGGCTTTGTTTTTGAAGCTCCTCAGGTGATTCTAACGCATAAAGCAAAGCTGAGCATGACAGTACTAGCCAGCGCTTCTCAAACTTGAATGTCCACGCAAAGCAGCTGGGAACTTGGCTAACGTGCAGATTCTGATTCACCAGGTTGGGGCAAGGCCTAAGATTCTCTACCTCTCACGAGATCCCAGGTATTGCCAATGCTGCTGGCCCACGGACCATGATTTGAGTAGTGAGGAGTTAGATGATTTTATGCAACAGTAGCTATAGGAAGGTCTCTGGGCTAATTCCCCTTCCCTGCTGAAAAGCTTAGTAGTCACCAGGGGTTCTCAAAGCATGGCCCCCACACAAGCAGCGTCAGCATCACCTGAAATCTTGGAAATGCAAATTCTCAGGCCCTTTCTCAGACATAGTGAGTCAGAAAAAACAGGGAGAAAGCCCAGCTGTGTTTTAACAAGCCCTACAGGTGATTCTGATGAACGCCAAAGTTTGAGAACCACAGGTGGTAATAAAAACAAACACAGCTAATGCTAATGAGCACTCGCCATGTGCTAGGTACTGTGCTAAGCACTCTACATGGGATTAGACCATCCATCTTCACAGCAAGCCTATTTACAGATAACGAAGTGGAGGCTTAGAGAGGGTAAGTGGCCCAGATTCACACAGCCAGTGAGTACTGCAGCTGGGATGTGAACCCAGATCACAGGCCTGTTCTTAGCCCTCCTGTGGTACTGCCAAAGGCTAGTAGCACCCTGTGGTTCTCTCCTGTGTGGGTGTACCAAGGGATACTCGGTATCTTAAAAAACAATGGGTGTCCATCTCGCCTAGCTGGAGATAAAGATTCAACTAGTTGAATCCGGACAGAGTGTGCAGCCCTGTTTTCTGCCAGGGCAGAGTCGTGGAATGAAAACAACTGAAGAATATTTACCATATCCTGGCCGAGAGGTGGCAGCGAGTCGAGTTCGCCGAGGTCCTCCTGGGCCTGCTGGACGGCGTGCATGCTCGTGTTGATGGTCCCCATGAGGGCCTGCTGGGCTGAGGTCTGCAAGGGCAGATGAACACAAGGCAGTCAAACCACACCTCCGGGACTGGCATGGCCCTTTATGCAAAACAAAGCAAAACAGAACTGAAAGCTGAAGACAAAGCAGCCCAGGCTACACCTCGACAGCGCCTAAACCATGTCCCGTTTCAACCTGGAGGCCAGAAATAGATATTGCATTATATTAATAGAATACAATACAAAGGTGATTGCAAGAGAGGGATTATAATCAGGAGCACGTGCAGAGCTTAATTAGCTGAAAAGAAAGCTCAGAAGAGTCCTTGCAGGGAACTAAGGGGATCCCATCCTTGAGTACTGATGACAAAAGATCTCATGCACAGGAAACATGGGAGTGTTAAATGAGATCACTCCTTGATAAATACTTGAGGATCCCACCCAAACCTACTGCCCGCCTGTTTTTGCAGAGTCAAATTGTTTCTGAGCTTTGAGGCTCTTAAGTTTTCAAAAAATTCTTGCCAAATAGCCAGGGATTCCCAAGGCAGGTCTCAGAGAGGCACTGAGACCGACCAGCACGGGGGAAGGAAATCAATGGCTCCTGGCGTGAAATGTCAGCATCACGGAACACCTGGCTACCTCCAAGACTCTCCAAGGGGTATCTGGGCTGATCCACTTGATGCCGCCAGGGCAGGGGAGCAGGGTTCTGCCCCTATATCAAAGTCACATTGAGAGGTCCCTAATTCTCCAGCCACAAAGGATACCTCTGATCCTGGACAGGCAATGATCAGAGTCATCCAACAAGCTCACAGCTGAATGAGCCGTGGTTCCGACGGGAGCTGGAGAGCGTCCCCCGCACACCAGCGGCAGCATACTAACGAGCAGGGGACACACACAGGAAGCCTCACCAGTGGCGGCATGTGGCCTCGGTGCATCTGCCCAACCATGACCTGCTGCTGCGGCGAGGGCATGCTGCCAACATTGAAGGTCTCGGGCCCGCTGGAGCCTGAGCGCATCACGGCCGGCAGCGCCACCGAGCCGTGCTCCGCCTTCCCGGTGCGGTTGAACTGCTGCTGCAAGATGGTGGACCTGCGGGGAAGGCAGTTAGGTCACCTGTGTGCAGTGTAATGAGAGGACACCGCAGATGTAGCATATGTTCGCTGCTCTATGCTGTGGAGGCCGATTCAGAGAAGCACACACAGACGGAAAATTAGGAATGAAGTAGTACAAAAATGCTCAGAGGAAGAACCCTGAGATGAATCCTATTACAATCAGTAATGCAAATAATGGTTCCCAATCTATCCATCTAATGGGTTCACAGTATTATGCAATTAGTTTGTCCTTATAAAAAATAAAACAAAGCAGATATTCCTATAATAATGATGTTCCAGGTTTAACTGAAGGTTCTGGATAAACTGATCTATTATTTGATAAATCATACCTGAAAGCACATTCATTCAAACGATATCTACCTCATGCCAGGTTCCATTCTAGGGACTGGAGATACAAAGCATTGCTGATCTTGAAGGGAGAAATGTGGAAAGGAACTTAAAATCTCCCCCAGCTTAGCTCCCCCTACCCCAGGTCCAAGACCATTGACACAGAGGATGTTTCATTGCCTCTGGACACTTCACAATGTGATAGTCTGTGGCACCTTTTCCAGATGATTTCAATTAAAGATTGGGAAGACTCTTAGGATGTCTAACAAAAAAAAATTATGTATTTTTTTTTTTACTTCTTGATAGTTTCTTAGAATGAATGGTAAGTGCAAAGGACTTTGATCAAAAGTAAGGAGTCTGAGGGTGGCATATCTTCTTCGGAAGCCCAGGGGACAAACCCACAGGGAGAATGGGGTGGGGGGAGTCTGTGTGCATGTGTGGGAGGGGGAGGGGAGTGCAGCTGCATTAAGAGGCAGGGGCTTCCACCCCAGGGCTCTCAAACCATCACAGATCATTCCCTGTTGCCCAGAGCAAAGCTTGATAGCCATGCTAGGATCCCAAGCAACAGACATCTGTGGAGAAACATGACATCTGGGGGAAGGGGGAGGGTGTTAGACTAGGGAGGGTGGTTCTGTGGGCTCCAGTGAGAAATCAGCTGCATCCTGAGATCTCAGCCAAAGACCAATACAGGAGGAAGCGGAAGGTCTAGTGATGGGAACCACCCTGGACCATTCTTCCTGCTTGCTTTGATCAGACCCCATGGCGATCAGATCCCGAGGCAGTGGAGGGGGCCACAATGGTCCCAGGCGGGGCGGGGGGGGTCCCAGCACTCTGGGCTCAGAGCTTACAGAGCTGTTCCTACAGGAGACATGAGTACAGCAGAGCCCTCTGAAATGAACAGCTCACCCTGTCAGGAAGCGCTGGCTTACCAATTTCCATCCAATAGTCACTAATTACGTCCCGAGGACGTAAGGTGCTTTGCCAGAAGGTAGCAAGCACTTGAAATGGACCCCGTCAAGTTTGGCTCCAACTTGTGTACTAACAGGGGACAAATGGAAAAGCACCTTCAGGGTGACAAGGAAGCAAATTGCAAGAAAATGGCGGAAAGGGTGGAAATGTTCGGTAAACTACTATGGCTAAGCAAGTCCAATACAGTGGAACATGCTAGAACTTTCTGGCAGTATACTACAGGAAACATCACAAAACTGAATCTGAGTCCTGGCTCTGCCGCGTGTGTGCATCTCCACTAACTTCTGAGTTTCATTTCCTCACCCAGGAACTGGGTGTGATGATCTCTGGCTGACCCCTTGCATAGGGAGTTGTTATTGGGATCAGATGAGACAGCATGTCGGACACACACAGCAAAGTGTAGATAAGAACAGTTATTACAGAGCTCTATTTAACATAAAAGTATCATTTATTAGGTGATACTTAATTTTACTAAATCTGTTTCCTCATCTATAAATGGAGCTAAACTAAGAACACTCTGAATTTAAAGTGATGATGATGAGAATAACAGCAAAGACTTACTATGTGTCAGGCATTGTTTTATGTGCTTTATTAGTAACTCAATGATGAAAACAAAACCCATAGGGTGGTACTATTGTTATCCTCATTTTATTGATGAGCTCATGCAGGCAGAGAATTAATTTGGTAACTTCACCAGGGCCACAGAGGAAAACAGAGCCCAGAGGTGAGCCCAGGAAGTCTGGCTCCAGAGTCCATGTTCCTGACCCCTCCCCTGTACTGCCTCACAGCACGGGAGACAAGTGCTTTATGGACAACGACCCCGCCACTGGCTGGACCCCCCAGGCCCTCCCTCCAAAAGGGCCACAATCCAACAAAAGCTCACTCTCCAGCTTTTTGATGATAATGATCCAGTTCATGAGATTTCAATCAAAAGTACAAAATGATGAACACTCGCTTCCCCTCAGGATGGAGTTAAACACCACATGTCATTCAGTGTCTCCCCGAAATCCTCGCCAGACACTGCAACACAAGTGCTGCTGCTCTGGGGCCCGCACTTGGAGAAGCAAGAGTCGACTACATCATCTGCCATCATCTTTCCCAGGTGACGGACTTGAGAGCGGCAGGCCTGCACTGGCAGGGGAAACCTGCTCACCTGGGGGTGAGGCCGTTCGCCAGCACCCTTAACGATACGTACTTTTTGGGGGAAACGGACTCTTCTAACATAGTTGACTCCTCATCGCCTTCTAGTCCAAATCTATCTTTACTTTGTTTCTGGAAAAAATGCAAAAAAAAAAAAACAAGATGCAAAAATGAAAATTTGCAGATCTTATCACAAGGACCTTTGAAAAGACATTTTGAAGGAGCACAAGCAAAAATGTTAAGGTTTACCCAAAGTTTCTTGTTTTGGATATTTAATAAGTGATGGCTGGACAGAAGCATAAGACAGAGAAATACATTATTTACTATAAAGATATGTCTTCCGTATTTATTTCATAGACAATTTTACCTTGTAAAAAAAATCAAGATGCACATATTAACATTTTGTTAGCTTGGTTATTTGAATGGCATGTATCTGGAAGCCTTAGGAAATCTGTCTTTCTGTATACCAACGTGGCATATAACCCCACCACATTTGGTTAGGGGGAAAAAAATCCACGAAAACTACAAAGAACATTTTTAGCCCTTCAGTCTGAGAAGCACAATACACCTACCTGGAGAGGAAGATGTGGAGGGGTAAGCTAGGCTCATTCATTAGCTAAGTGACACACTATTGCTCATTGCCTGGCAGTACATGATATGAGTATGTGCTGTAGCAAACTCAGAAATTCTCACAGGATCTTGAGGTCAAAGATCTCACACACAAGCAATTGAACATCAAAGATTAAATTAGTGAATCAAATATTTCAAATAAGGTTTTTATTTCAAGATAGCCACATCATCTAAATGAGCATTTTATTACAGCAGTCTTGCTTTTCCAATTTGCATCAGTACAAAATACCTTTTTGAGGATGATGTCGATGTAGCCTGCAATAAGCTGGGATATTTGCTCTCCCTCAGTGGTTTGTACCGAGTAGTAGCTTTCCTGATACTCCCCAAAATCCTGAAAAAATAGAATTGGAAGAAATACAGCTATAGCAGATACATCAGAAGTTTTAAAGGCTAGGAGGCTCAGTTCTGGAACAGTATATGACACAGATTTGCTTTTCCCTATTTTTTCCCTCTAAACGCAACTGAAAACCTCAAAATTTATTCTACAATGATAAAGGCTCTGAAAACTGGAACGATGGCCTGGCTGGGGTCCCTAAGCCATGAGAAACCACAGCACAGTGAGTTCTTGGCTTCTCTTTTCTATCCCAAATGCCCCCAGAACTGGGAGCCGTAGAGGCCTGAACACTGGGACCTTCAGCAGACAGTTCGGAAAAGCCTGCTCTCTCCAGCCAGAGGAACAGGTGAGGGGAAACCCAACAGGGACATAGTTGGGAGCCCCAATTCCAGCTCAACAGCCTGGGCTGGCATTTATAGGCAGCTGCAGAGCAGTGAAACGCCAGCCAAGGGTGGGGAACCTGCAGTCTCAAGGCCACACGTGGCCCTCCAAATCCCCAAGTATGGCTCCATGACTGAATCCAAACATCACAGAACAAATTCCTTCATTACAAAGATTTGTTCCGTAAAATTTGGATTCAGTCAAAAGGCTGCATTTGAGGATCCAGAAGGCCACATGTGGCCCCAAGGCCACAGGTTCCCTATCCCTGAGAGACCATCCCAGGCCCTGCTCCACAACCCAGGCAGGCGGGTGGTCTGATCCTTTTGTAGCAGCAGCCACAGTGAAGCCCGGTGTCTCCCTGCTCTCTGCCCGGTGGATCCTGCCTCCTCAAACAAAGGTTGCCCAGCAATAGCAGGCAGCCCAGGGAAGTGCCTTCTGCCCTCACAGCCAGAACCAACAGGGTTTGCTCATGAACACCAGCAGTGTCCAAAGAACAAAGCAGTCCAGAATAGCACTGCAAGGGCTCAGAAAATGAAACTGTCATTGCAATTAAATCCTACAAAAGTAGGCCAGGACACTACACATTGAACCTGAACAAAGTGGCTGCCTGCTAAAATAGAAGATTTAAGTAAGATCAAGAGTCTCCTAACATAACAACCAAGATGTCTAGGATGTAATTTAAAAAATCGATATTCATATCAAGAACCAGATCAACCATAGTAAGAATGAGAAAAGACAATTAATTGATACCAATGCTGAAACAAATCAGATATTAGAATTATCTGGTAAGAATTTTAAAGCATCCATTATAAAAATGTTTCAACAATCAACTGCAAATTCTCTTGAAGCAAATTAAAAAAAAATAGAAAGTTTCAACAAAGAAACAGAAGTCATAAAAAAGAACCAAATAGAAATTACAGAAATGAAAAAATGCCATAACCAAAATGAAAAAAACCTCACGGGATAAACTAAGTAGTAGTGTGGAGATGACAGAGGACAGAATCAGCAAACTTAAAAACAGATTAAAAGAATTTAGTCAATCTGAATAACAGAAAATAGACTAAAAAGCAAGCAGAGCTTCAGAGATCTGTGGGAGAAAAACAAAACATCTAACATTAATGTCACCAGAATTACAGGAGAGGACAATGTGAGACCAAAAAAAGTATTTGAAGAAACAATGACTGTAAATTTCCCCACAATAGTGAAAGACATAAACCTACAAATTCAAGAAGCTGAGCAAACTCCAAAGAGAATAAACCCTAAGAAATCCACATTAAGAATTTTGCAAACTAGAGATAAAGAAATCTTAAAAACAGCCAGAGAAAAATGACATATTACCTATAAATGTAACAAACCTGAATGACAGCAAATTTCCCTTCTGAACCAATGGAGGTCAGAAAGAGGTGGCATGACATTTTTCAAGTGCTAAAAGAAAAGAACCATCAATCCCAAATGCTGTAGCTGGCAAAAGTATCCTTCATGAATGAAGGGGAAATAAAAACATTCTCAGAGGACAGAAACACTAAAGGAATTTGTTGCTAGCCAACATACCCTTAGGAATAGCTAAAGGAAGCTCTCCAAACACAAAATGGTAACAGAAGAGGGCTGGGAGCCTTAGGAAGGAAAGAGGAGCAAAGGGATGGATGAAAATAGATGGAAATGTAATAGACTACCCTTCACCAGGAGAGTTTTTTTAAATCATATTTTATGTTTGAAGCAAAAGTTATAAACACCATCCTATATGGTGTTTAGTGTATATAGAGGAAATATTTAAACAATTATATTCAAGAAGTGGGGAGGGTAAAGAGACCTAAATGGAAGTAAGATTCCTAAACTTTATTAAAGGGGTGAAATAGTAACTAACACCAGTAGGCTGCAATTAATTTCAGATGTATATGGTAATATCTAGAATAACTAAAAACATTAATAACTAAAAACACTATACAAAGTGATATGCCCAAAAATGTAACAAACAAATTGAAATGGAACTCTAAAAAATGTTCAAGCAACTCAGAGAAGGGCAAAAAAAAAAAAAAAAAAGAAAGCAGAGGAGACAGAAAAAAATTTATAAAATGATAGACTTAGGCTCTAATATACCAATAATTAGTGTAAATATAAATAATCTAAATACACCAAGATTGATTTTAAAAAGCATGTGTGGCTATAGTAATATCAGATAAAGTAGACTTGAGAGCAAAAAAATTACTAAAACAAAAGAATATTACATATGACAAAATAATATCTTTAGTAAGAAGATATAGGAATCTTAAATATACAGGCATCAAACAACAAAGCTTCAAAATACATGAAGCGAAAACTGATATAGCTGAAAGAAGAAATACAAAAATCCACAATTATTGTTGAGAACTCTCAGTAATTGATAGAATTACTAGACATAAAATTAACAAGGATATAGAAGACTGGAACAACACCATCAACTAACAGAGATCTAATCGGCATTTACAGAACCCGCTTTACCAAACAACAGCAGAACATATATTCTTTTCAGGTACTCATAGAGCATTCACCAAAAACAACAATATCCTAGGATATAAAACAAATCCTAAAATTTCCAGAATTGAAATCATACAGGGTATGTTCTCAACCATAATGGAATCAAACTAAAACCAATAATAGAAAGCCAACAGGAAAACCTTCAAATATGTGCAAACTAAATAAAGCCTAAGAGTAGGAAGGAAAAAAATACTACATATAATGAGTTTTAATTCAACTTTATCCTTTAATAAAAATACTGATATTCATTCTCTCTTTTGCTTGAGGCAGTTACTGAGATTATCATAACTATTTCTTATTTTTTAAATAAATTTTTGTTTTAATAAATACTTGGACGTAGTTTAAAAAGACCAAGAGTATTAAAAGATATATAACACAGTTGTTCCCTGTCCTACTCATTCCCACTTTCTCTTTCCACCACACTGCCCAAAGGTAACCGCTTTCAACTCTCTTAGAAGTTTTTTCTAGTATTTCCAAATAACATGTTTATATTGATTTCTTGGTTTTTCTATTTTAGAAGTTACACATGACTTCCTACAATGGAAGATGACGTAGCTAAGCATGAAAATCCATCGTTGAGGGCCATGTAAGTACAGCTGTTACTGACCAGAGGAGGAAAGAAGGTATGTTTTCTGAAGGTTTCTTCCAATTGGCATGAACCTATCAATCTATGATCAAATTAGATAACTAATACTCCTTCCAAGGCCCCTTCTTTACACTTTTTTTTTTTTACGTTACAGACTTCAGGAATCTGAAGAAATTGACAAATTCTAGCACTTTTTGATTTCTCTTATTGCTCAACTTGCCCTGCAACATACCTGCCCTATCCAGTTTCACAGGTCAGTGTGGCTATAGTTAAGGAATGCAGTTATACTCTGCTAACAGCAAATATTCAAATTGGGAGGAAGAATTCAGAGGTCTGAAGACCTGGAACACACACGTATTCTCCCTACTTGCCATGAATTTTATACTAAACATTTTATCATCTTCATCTCCTTTAATCCTAGCAATTCTGTCCAATAGGTATTGCTATCACCATTTTAAAACTGAGGAAATTAAGGCCCAGAGAGGAGAGGTAACATGAACAAGGTCACAGAGCTGGGAATGACAAAATGGGGTTTTTGAGACTTTCCCAAAATCTATGTTATTTCCACCACATACTGTGCTGTCTTTCTAGGTGGGCTGGTAAAACACTCCTCAGCAAGATGTCACAATTCTCAAGAATGTCTAAAAACAGCTAAAGATGAAGATGGGGACTTTGCGTGGGCTTCGGAGTGTTAGGAAGTTTCCTTTCAGGATGTGCTAGAGATGCCATCCGGAACACAGAGCTGAGAATCCCCCTGCCAAGTGGCTCTTCCTAGTGAATGAACTAGAGGCAGACTAATGCAGAGCAACAGGGGGGAAGCGGTGGCCAGGAAACCCAGGCTCACTGGCCTCTCTCTTACTGCTGGACCAGTCTTCCTCCCTGCCCACAGGCTCGCACCATCGTCCCCCCTCTATGCTGGCTCTGGAAAGCCAGAGAAACCCAGTGGGCGAGGACCTGGCCTTTCTCCTGCCCCACAGTATCACCCGTGCCAGTCCCCTCACTGCCCTCTGCCAGTCCTTACCAGGGTGAAGCTCTTGGGCGAGGCTGCCCAGCGCTTGACCGTGGTCAGGGGCCACTCCTGCAGCACTTCCTTGGTCTTCTCATCCACACGCATCACGGAGTCTTTGGTGATTCCCAGGAGGCGAGGCACCAGCTTGTTCTTGCCTTTCATCTTTTCCTGAAACAGGAAGGTATCAAGAGTCAGAGCTCTTCCTCTGAATACATCTGATGTCGCTAAGGTATCAGGGACTTTGCAACGTTTTACCTGCATCCAGCCTACATATGCTGTTTCAAAACAGGCAGGGCTACAGGAAAACCAAGGTTTTGAAGCTGGGTGAATGATTCACTAAATTAAAGGGATGGGAGTTAAAACAGAGACATCAGAAGACTGGAAAGATGTATAAAGGCTTGCTTCCTGGAAAGAGACTGTTTCGGGGCAGGTTGCTCCAAAATCAGAGACGAGGTCAAAAAGGCAGGATAGAACTGAAAAGACACCCAGAGAAAAAGCAGCTAGGGTGAATTCCAAATATTACCAATCCCAGTAGCTAGCTCACTGAGTAGCAAAAGAGGGTTAATCTGTAATTTAAAATTAGCTAAAACTCTGCCAAAGTAAATCTCATTATGAAGAGATAGAGCCTCCCACTCCCTTTTTTTTTTTTTTTTTTTTTGAGACAGAGTCTCACTGTGTTGCCCGGGCTAGAGTGCCGTGGCGTCAGCCTAGCTCACAGCAACCTCAAACTCCTGGGCTCAAGCGATCCTTCTGCCTCAGCCTCCCGAGTAGCTGGGACTACAGGCATGAGCCACCATGTCCGGCTAATTTTTTTTTTTTCCTATATATTTTTAGTTGTCCGATTAATTTCTTTTTATTTTTTTTAGTAGAGACGGGGTCTCACTCTTGCTCAGGCTGGTTTCGAACTCCTGAGCTCGAACAATCCGCCCGCCTCGGCCTCCCAGAGGGCTAGGATTACAGGCGTGAGCCACCGCGCCCGGCCTCCCACTCCCTTTTTTAAAAATCTCTGAAATATATTTCCATTTGGATTCTCTGTTCTTGGTATTTTTTTATATCTACTGATATTAATACTTAAAACAACTTTAGGATTAGTTTTAATGGTTTTTTTAAGACATAGTAATCATGCCTATTAAAATAATGGATCCAGATCTCACACTCATACCAAAAACAAATTCAAGATCGAGTAATAACTCAGGAAGAACATACAAGTGGATATTTTTGTGATTCTTGGGTGAGAAATGACTATCTAGCAAAAACACCAAAACAAGAAGCCAGGAAGGAAACACTTAACAGGTTCAACTCAAAATATACATATCTGATACGTCGTAAGAGAGAGGGAAGGATAGAGAGAGACAGGCACAAAAAAGAAACCTCACCATTCAAAAAATTAAATATTTAATAGTAAATGACTGAGGAAAAAATGTGCAATAGTGTTGAAATTCATATGCTGTCTATGTTAAGTGTTCTTATAAATTCACAAAAATAACTGCTTTAGAACATTAACAGGAAATGTTTTCAAAATAATAAACTGAACAATAAACAAATAAATTTTTACTTACGTAAAATAGCAGAGGTTTTTTTTTTTTAAAAAAAAATAAATTCGTACCCAGAATTGAGATGTCACAGGGTCCACTACTGATGGAAGTTTAAAATAGCAAAGGCTTTATGGAAGAAAATCTGTCCACATCTACCCAAAGCCTTAAAAATGTTCCTAGTTTTTTAAAAAATGTTATAAATGTGTGTAAACATTATGCCACATGAAGTTTAATCACAGTACATCATAGTGAAAAACTAGAAAGAACCCAAATGTTCAATAATATGGGACTTGATACATAAATGATATATCCAGATAACAAACTATTCCATAATTATTAAAAATCATATTGTAGGAAAATAATTGGTTTTATGGAAATAAATTATTCATAATAAATTACAAAGTAAAAAATAGAACAGTATACGTAGCCTGATCCTATGTGAAATAAAAATTTAAAAATAGGTACATGTCCATTACATGAAAAAAATGGTAACACTGAACATCTCATGTGATTTATACTATTTTCTTGTGCTTTTCCTTATTTCTAAAATTTCACTTAATGCCGTGGTCCCCAACATTTTTGGCACCAGGGACTGGTTTCATGGAAGACAATTTTTCCACGGATGGGGTATGGGATGAGTCAAGCACATTATGTTATTTGTGCACTTTATTTCTATTATTATCACACTGTAATATATAATGAAATAATTACACAACTCACCATAATGCAGGATCTAATGCCACTGCTGACCTGACAAGAGGCGGAGCTCAGGCGGTGATGCAAGCGATGGGGAGCGGCTGTAAATACAGATGAAGCTTCGCTCACTCCCCTCCACTGCTCACCTCCTGCTGTGCGGCCCAGTTCCTAATAGGTCATGGACTGGTACCCCCAGTCCACGGCCCAGGGTCGGGGACCACAGACATAATGCACATTTATTTTTAGTGTTGTCAGGAAAAAGAAGAACTTTTCAAGTAATATTTGCTGAAATCTAGCAATGCCTAAACTGCTATTCTCAGAGGAATACATTCTCTCTCTCTCTCTCTCTCTCTTCACACACACATACACACACATACATGTATGTACATGTGAGTATATGTACGCACACCCAACACGGATAACAGCACTTAAAACAGGACTAGAGAAAGTTTAGATACTTAATAAGCATCATCCATTAATCCTCAGAGTGTCTCCAAAAAGTTGGTATCATCATCAGTTTTCATTGTGCAAATGAAGAGACCACTGATTCACCCAAGGCCCACAGCGCGGAGTGGTAAAGCCACAATTTGAACACATATTTAAGTAGCTCAAAAATATCTGACTTCAAAAGCAGATTGTTCACCACTGTTTATTGTCTTCTGCGGAAATAAAAAGAGAAAAGGCCAACCCCCCGGCCGTGGGTATTTCATAAACCCTCAGACGGTGATGGTCACGCACACCCCCAGCTTCCTCACAGGGGAGGGACATGATGGTATCACGGATCTGTGTGGGTGTCTGAGGAGGGGAATGAGGCACTGTAGGAACCTCAAGTCTTAAAAAACAGAGAAGAGTCAGATTCATTTCAAAAAGAAGCCAGTTCCATAACGGGGGAAATCAGCGCAGGGCAGACAATGCTAGTTAATCTAATTTGGCTTCGGGAGCCAGAGACTTAGGTTGAAAGGTTCTAGGCGGCTAATTTAGTCACGCAGGGTTGGCGCAAGCCCAGCTGCTGGGACCCAGGAAGGGGATTGGAGATAAAATATGGTTTGCAGCTGTTTACTTCATCCTTTCTCATCCGTACTTCTCCCCAGCGAGGGGCTCTGGGGTTTGGGAACATGGAATCATGATGGATTGCCCTAATTCCTGTCAAGACCACTCCAGACTGGGAGAGGAAACCACAGTGAACACACAACTTACAGTGGACATTCCATCAGCAGGTCACAACTGGGGAAAGGGGTTTAGGGAACTCAAAAAAGACTGAAACTGGCAACAGAGACCACCATCAAGGGATAAAATTATTTCAGTGCCTACCCACAAAATGCAGAGCAGCTGGAGGAAGTTAAAATAGCAAACGGCTCAGATCTGCGACAGCAACGCAAGGTCTTGCCTGGTGCAGAACCTGCCTTAGTCCTCAGTGGCAGAGATGTCAGAAGGCCACAGGGTAATAAGGCTCCCTTCTTCCTTCCTACACCTGGAATCTCAGTCCACCCCACGCCATTTCTTTCCAGCCTTCCAGCCATAGGTGTGGAGATTGGCTGATTCTTACCTCACCTGTGCTTCACGTGTGAGATTCAGACTTGAGTGATGGATGCAACTGGGCTAAGCCTTTTGCTCTCAGCCCCTCACTTCGACATGGCCTAAGCATCACAAAGGTCCTCCCTGTGCGCCAGCTGAGCCACTGGAGTTCTGCATTGGCTTGGCCAAAGGGCTGGCTTGTGAATTTTGCTCTGTATTCAGTATAAGCATTTCTTTTAGGGGCATGGCAGAAAGGCATGGCTGCTCAAGAGCAAAATGGAGTGTTAAAGACCCTGTTTATTAGCCATTTCTCTCTCTAAAAATCACTGGCGATCCATTTGACTTAACTCGTGATTCTGAGATGCTCTCAATGTCCTCTGTGATATTTTTACCGTTCAAGGGGGGAGGAGGGTCAGCTTCCCCGGTGTCTCACACCTCAAGTCTCTGGCTACGACTGCAGGGAAATTTCAAAGGCAAATTTAGAAGAAGGGTTACACAAGAATTTTCTGGAATGAAGCAAGATCCTATGCAGGTCAAGGGAAATGCCTTACCATTGCTTATGGGGTTTTGATTTAGCAGATCATGATGAAATGCAAAAGAAATCAATGAAAGAGGAAGAATGTAGACATTTGCCACTCCCATTTATTGAGCTCTTATACAAGGCAGTCCCCTTTTCTGCATTATCTTATTTAAACCTTATAAAAAGTAACAATTTTATAGGTAAGCAAACCAAAGTTTAGCGATGGAAGGGAAGGTCAAACTACTAAGTAGCAAAGCCAGGATCCAAACTCAGGTCTTTCTTTTCAAAGCATATTTCTTAGCCACTGAGAAAACTACAGCCTAATGCTGTTTCCTGTGGCCTCATATATGGCTTACAGATATTCTCCAGGGGTGGGTGAACCACGGCTGATGCTAAGTCTAGCTTATTGCCTAATTTCTTTAATCATCTGAGAGCCAAGAATGAATTTTCTATTTTTAAATAAAAAAAAGGAATAATATTTTGTGACATGTAAAAATTATATGAAATTCAAATTCAGAATCTATAAATAAAGTTTTGTAGGAATATAACCATACCCATTCATTTACCTGTCACCTATGGCTGTTGTCATGCTACAAGGGCAAAGCTGAGCAGCATGGCTGGCAAAACCTAAGATGTTTACTATCTTCCAGGAATTTGGGAATGGTTAGGTGACAGAGATAATCTAAAATTAATCAAATATCCTTACACTCCAGGCAATTCCAGGCATTCCACTTATTTACATACATTAGCTCACTTAATCTTCATTAGAGCTCAGTAAGGAATTATCATCCCACTTGTCAGATGAAGAAACTGAGATTTAGAGAGGTCAAGTATGACCCTTAAGGTCATATACGTTTCTCCTATTTCTCATATAAGCATATACTGTCATCTCGGATTTTAGGCCAAGCTTCCCAACTCCAACACGAGAGCACTTTCTATTGTAACGACATGAAGTATAACCCTGACTGTTAGGACAAAATGATCATCGACATGGAAGAAAACATGGCTCTAACCACAACACTAGCTCTCTCAGAATATCTATGACTCATCTCAAGGCTGTGTGGCATGATTATGTTCAATATCAATATTTAAATGTTTAGTAAGTTATAATTTCACTGACTCAGAGTTTCTCATAGAAGCCTATAAAGTAGTGAATGAGAAGCTGAAACTACTCACTTTTAATTTACTTCTTAAATTATGCTAATGAAGCTCCTTTACAATTTAATGCTACATTCAGTTTGGGGTCTGAGAAATCTGTTACTGACGACTTAAAAAACTTACTAACCTTTAGACATAATTTTTTTTTTTTTTGGTGATGTTCTGTATGTGATCTCTTTATCATTATACTCTAAATGGTTTTATTTTTACATATACTAAGGGCTTATTTCATGTGGTCGACATATGTCTTATCAATTTACTTGGCAAATTTAATGAATTTAACAATAAATCTAAACATTAAAATTATCCTGTACATTTTGTTATAACACATAAAGGATCTATATGTTGAAAACTACAAAATCAAGGAGGATCTAATACCATGTTCATGGATTAAAAGACTGAACGTAGTAAAAAGTGTCAATTCTCCCAAACTGATCTATAAATTTAATGCAATTCCTATTAAAATCCCAGGAAGGTTTTTTGTAGATATAGATAAGTTTGTTCTAAAGTGTATATGGAAAGAAAAGGACCTAAAATAGCTAAAACAATGTTGAAAAAGAAGAAAAAGTGAGGGGAGCCACTCAACCTGATGTTAAAGCTATCTAAAGTGATCAAGACAGTATGATTGGCAGAGGGAATGATGCAGAAAGCAGCGAAGCAGAATAGAAAATGCAGAAACAGGCCCATAGAGATGTGTCCAGATGAATTTTGACAGTGGTGCAAACGTAATTCAACGGAGGAAGAAGAGCACTTTCAACAACAGATGCTGGAGCAATTTGACTATGGTAGTGGTTACATGAATCTACACATGTGATAAAATTGCATAGAACTAAACACGCATACACACAAACAAGTACGAATACATGTAAAACTGGTGAACTCTGAGTAAGGTCTGTGGATTGTACCAGTATCATTTTCCTGGTTGTGATACTATAGTACAATTACCATTAAAGGACACTTGATGAAGGGTACACAAGACCTTTCTGTTTTTTTTTTTTTATTACCACAGTTAATTTTAGAACATTTTCATCACATAAAAAAGAAACTGCACCTTTTAGCCATCGTTCCCCTATTTCCCTCGCCACACCACACTCCTAAGCAACCACTAACCTACTTTCTATCTCTGCAAATTTGCCTATCCTGGACATTTCATATAAATGGAGTCACATAGTATACAGTCTTTCATGACCGACTTCTTTCACATAGCATAACGTTTGCAAAGTTACCCATGTTGTAGCATGTATCAGCACACTTCATTCCTTTTTATGGCTGAACGACATTGCGTTGTATGGATTTACCATAAACTGTTTATCTGGTCATCAGTTGACAGACATTTGTGTTGTTGCTATCTTTTGGCTAAACACCTCTATAAACATACACCTTCAAGTTCTTGTTTGGACATACACTTTCAATTCTCTTTGGTGTATAATAGCTAGCAGTGGAATTGCGGGGTCCTATGGTATCTCTCTGTTTAATCAATGGAGGAACTGACAGGCTGCTTTCCAAAGTGGCTGCATCATTTTACGTTGCCACCAGCAGTGTATGAGGGTTTCAATTTCTCCGTGTTCTCACCAACACTTGTTATTATCTGACTTTTTGAGATTCTGTATTATTTTTACAACTTCTTATGAATCCATAATTATTTCAAAGTAGAAAGTTAAAAAAATGATTTGGTATATCTTGCTATGAGATAATCATAATAACAAGTAATAATAATTTTGTTCCTTCACTTCCTAAAGCAATGATTTTTTGTTCATCTTTATATCTTACTGCATTTCCTAGAACTTCCAAAACAATGTTAAAGGGAATGATATGGTGGGCACACTTGTTCTGATTCCAATTTTTATAGATTTCTCCCTAGCATTTCTGTTAAGTATGATACTGATGATAGGTTTGAAAGAGATACTGTATCATGTTGAGCAAGTACACTTATATTCCAGCATTTTAAAAAAAATTTATAAGAAGCAGATGTTCAATTTTATCAAATACCTTAGTGGTTTCATAGGATGTCATCTTATACAACCCATTGATTTGATTTACAAGATTCATTAATTCATATTGAATCATTCCTAAATTTTCAGTTGTACCACTTTTAAAATAAGGAAAACTATGGTCAAGTAGATTATATTTATTAAAAACAATTATAAAATAAAATGGCTTACTAAAGAGGATCACTGAGCAAAAAATAAAAGTGAGCAATGCACTACTCACATTGCATAAAGTAACAAAAAGACAATTAATGAAAGCTTGAATAATATGTATATACAAGTTGCAAGTGCTGCTTACTTTCTTAACCTTTTCTTCTCTTCAAAGAGACATACTTTTAAAAAGCAAAGAAGAGAAGGAAGGGAGGGAGGGAAGGAGAGAGAGAGAGGGGACAGGGAGAAGGAAACGAAACAGGGAGGGACAGCAGAAGAAAAGAAATCTCTATCACTTTCTTGTTTTGTCTTAAATAATTTTGTAAAAGGAGATTTGGTCTGATCAAATACGCAAGACCCTGCTATAACCAGAAGATCTGTGCTCTACCTCTAATCACCCTACTGACCCATGGACAGGTTGTTTTTGGACCTTAAATTGTCTTTGGAGAATAAATTTATTTTTTCTACAATTTGCTGTTCAATTTCTCTTCCTTTCTAGTTACATGTAGTTTTCTGTGTGTTATTTATTACCCTAAATTTACTGACTTACATGCAAGAGGCACAAGATTTTAGCACATCACCGAAACAAACTCTGCATGAAGTTGGATGAGATTAATGGAAGATGGAGCGAATGTAAGACATAAATTTCACACAGAAAAACTCAAGAAAACAAAGGGAAATTGATGCTATTAACAGTGGAATTAGAGACTGGCCAGACACTCCATCTGCAAATGTCAGGGGTCTCGGTATGACAAACCAAGCTTAACAGCAAACGCTTCACCCAAAGAAAAAGAAGTAGCAGAGGTAAACCCTCTGTCCACTCTGCCCAACTCACCTTCACCAGGAAAAAGGACACACCATACGTGCGGAGGGACCGGGCGAGTTTGACATACTTGACCTTGGCTTCTATTTCACTCATCTCTCCACAGTTCTTATGTTCCTGCAAAAGTGACAGTAGCCGGGGACCAGTTACTGCAGCTCTGCCAGCAGGGGGACTTGGTGGGAGGGAGTTACTACATGTGCTGTACTCAGTGTCTATGAACGATTAGTAAGTGACATTTGTGTCTCAGACCCCTCCAGGACACAGGCTTCTGCTGACCGAGGATCAGAGCACACAGAAAGCTCTACGTAGCACAGGGCTTTCAAACCAGAGTTGGAGCCCAAACAGCCTACATATTTTACAACTAAATGTGATAATTCATGCACATGTGCAGTGTGGCAGGAACGGGGTGCGTAACTGTAATCAGATTTTCAAAGGACTCCATGTCCCAAAAGGTTCAGAGCCAACACTTTCAATGATAGCTAGAGAAAAATGCTCTTCTCAGAAGACGTACCATTCTAACATCCATCCAAAATATATCTTTTTCCAAAGAGCAGGGTAAATACATGCCTGTGCATGACAGTACTCATTAACAATACTGGGTAAAAAGTATGTTTTATACACATGAAATTTGTACTTTAATTTACATTTGCACTTCTGGATCAAAAAAGACTTTGATATCTTGGATTCACTAGAGTGGCTGTTTCATGGCAAAGTTGGTGATAGGGCTTTTCTTACTGGTTGCCTAGAATGGACAAATCTCTGACTTTTAGACTAACCTTGGATTTTAAAAAGGTACTAGTTCCCAAATTCTAGCTTCAAAAAACAAAGCTCAGGTGGCTGGGCACGGTGGCTCACACCTGTAATCCTAGCACTCTGGGAGGCCGAGGCAGGAGGATCACTTGAGGTCAGAAGTTTGAGATCAGCCTGAGCAAGAGCGAGACCCCGTCTCTACTAAAAATAGAAAAAAAATTAGCCAGGCGACTAAAAATAGAAAAAATTAGCTGGGCATGGTGGTGCATGCCTGTAGTCCCAGCTACTAGGGAGGCTGAGGCAGGAGGATTGCTTGAGCCCAGGAATCTCAGGTTGCTGTGAGCTAGGTAGACACCACAGCACTCTAGCCCGGGCAACAGAGTGAGCCACTGTCTCAAAAACAAAAACAAAGCTCAGGACAAAGTAGCTACTTTTTATAGCTTTTTCATCAGGGCATGTTAATGGTCTATCACCTTGTTTCAATGTTACCAAGATAATGCCTTTGGAATTAAATGTATGCATATTTTTCTCAGAAGGGCTAAGTAACCTTTAGCAAGAAAGTATGGATTAAGATAATAAATCTGCCCAAAGTAGAACTGTCAGCTTCTTTACTCCTGAGTCACTAATCATTTATTATATAAGAGTACAGGCACGAGGCATAAAACTATCATGTGCAGAGGCCCCTCATACTAATAAATGAGGCCAGGGACTGAGGAGAATAATAAATTTCTGTACATTTCCAGTACCTGAAATATTCTCTTTTCAGCTCCTCTCTGCTTGATGTATTCTTTGGGCAGGAACTCCTTTAGACTGAGAGAGAGAAATTTAAAAGAAGGTAAGGCATTTATCATGTTCTATGAGGAGAGGCAAAGCAAAGACTTTTAATGAAACTCACAGTTATGTCACTAACTCTCCCAATATTTTATGGAGTAATTAATACCAGACTGCTGTATCCTACAATGCACTTAAATAAGGACATGGACATAAAACCAGTCTGATAAAAAAGGTCAGACTAACATATTTAAAGAGGGAAGAATTTCCAGGCTATATTATAAAGTGAAAAAAACCCCAAAAAACCAGAGCACAAGAGTGTACAGTATGCTACCCTTTGTAAGAAAGGAAGGAAAATATTTTTTACTTAAAAAACATTATTTTATAACATGCTGAAATAAAAAAAAAACATTATTTTATATTGTCTCTCCATATTTTTTAAATACTGGAAGGATAAGCCTAGTACTAATAAAAATGGTTCCCCATGGGAAGAGCGGGTAAACGAGGATAGAAACCAAACTTCTCTGAATATTTCTTGTATTATAGTTTTCACTTTGAACCACATGAAATCACGAAAAAGCAACACCCAAAAGTCAAAAGCAAACTGAAACCAATGAACTTAACAGTATATCAAGATGACAATATAACTACAGGGAGAATAATTATTTCAAGTAACTCTGAAAAACAGTTTTTTGATTATACACCCTGAGTGGGATATATCTTAAGGACAAAAGGAACCAGAGACTTGTTAGTTTTAAAACATCAATGTCAATAGTTTAAAACTAACATCCTTCCTCCCTCCCCCTCTCTCTCTATACACACAATAAAATTAGGATATTACATTATATATAAGTAGGATGTTATATATAATTAGGATAAAGTAAATGAGTAATTATGTTCATTGTTAGAAACCAAGATTTTCATAGCATAAAATAGATAAAAATAAATAAAAGCAAAAAGACTTGACTAAAAATCCTGTAGTCTTTTATACAAATTGGAAATACTGGCCTGAGTGCCTGATTCCCTTTTCTTTTTCCAAAAAGACATTTTGCAGCTGTGTCCCCTAAAGAAGGCCACGAGTAAATACAAGCTGATGGCAGCAGCACACCCCGTGCCTGGGCCAGGTGTTCTTCTAATGTCATTTTCACTAAAAGGAACCAGGGAGCCTTGGAGAAATAACCGATTCCAGGTCTGGGGAAGGAAATGTATAAAATGTCCCTGGGCCTTCTTGTGCCTTGAATCAAGAAGGCTACCAAGATGGTACCGGAGCCAACATCAATAGATTCCTACTGGCCAAAAATGGGATGGTTTTTAAAACATTATATAAAATAAGAGAAAGCAATATAATGAACCCATCATCTGGCTTCGACAACAATTATCGACCTGTGGCCAATTGTGACCCATCTACTTCCCCACCCACAAGTCCTTCCCCTGGATTATCCTGAAGCAAATCCCACACATCATATAGTTAATTTCATGTGATGTGACAATTTGAGCATCTGAAAAAGGATGACTGCCATAGGTTAAAGCATGGACATATAAGATTCACAAAGATTTTTTACAAAAATCAATAGTCACCTCAGAAGGCTGCTAGAGCACCAAACTTATCCTGAAAACTGAGAAATGAAGGGAAAGAAGCAAGCATTTATTCTGATGTTTCTATCTGTTGACGTGGGACAATTCCAGGTAAGAAATGTAGAAGGAATAACAGAAGTCCAAAATCATCATTTTACAACTCTTAATGAAATAACTGATAAATCAAAGGAAACTTCAATAACTGCAAAACCCAGTAAATGAAAAATTGATGGGGAACTTTGTAATAGATGGATCAGTCTAATGACATCTAAACCCACGGATCAATTTTAATATTAATGAAAGTAGGATAACCAGACAATAAATGCCCCCAAAAGGAAGTACACAGCACCACTTAGGAAGCATTCTTGGCAATAAAGAAACTATAAGGAAATACATAATTGAACCTGAATTTAATTAAGGCCCCTAGATCTAAATACTAAATTTACAAAAAGAAGACTAGAGGAGCATGTTCAATGATAGCATCAGGATATACTCAGCCAAACCCAAACATGGGAAATTCTATAACAACAACCCAGGTTCCCCACAAATAAATGGTTTGGGGGTGGTGGTGAAAAGAATGTAGTAATAGATCAAAAGAAATTTAAGAAACATATTTACTACAACAAAGCTGCAGTAACAAAGACAGTACAGTAGTGATATAAGGCTAGACACAGAATTGAGAGTTCAGAAATTAACCCTCACATTTATGGTTAATTGATTTTCAACGAGGGTTCCAAGACAATTACATGGAGAAAGAATTTTTTTTTTTTTAAACAAATGGTACTTAGACAACTGGACATCCACATGCAAAAGAAAGAAGTTGGACCCTCTTCCTCACACTGTCACTAAAATTAACTCCAAATGGATGACAGACCTAAATGTAAAAGCTAAAACTATAAAACTCTCAAAGAAAATACAGGAGTAATTTTTTATGACCTTGGTTTAGGCAAAGGCTTTTTAGATACGATGCCAAAAGCACATGTGGCAAAAGAAAAAAATAGATAAACTGGAACACATCAAAATTAACTTATGAACTGCAACGAATATCACCAAGAAAGTGAAAATAAAGTCCATAGAATGCGGGGAGGGATATTTGCAAGTTACATATCTGAGAAGGGAATTGTATCCAGAATATATAAAAACCCTTACGACTGAATAAAAAGATAAATCGCCTAATTAAAAAAATAGGCAGAGGATCTGAACAAACATTTCTCCAAAGAAGATACACAAATGGCTAGTAAGCACATGAAAATATGTTCAACATCATTAGCCAACGGGGAATCGCAAAGAAAAATCACAATGTGACGATACTACTACACACCTACTAGGATGGCTACAATCAAAAAGATGGACAATAGTGAGTGTTAACAAGGACATGGAGGAATTGGAACCCTCATATATTGCTGGCAGGAATGTAAAATGGTACAGCTGCTTTGAAAAACAGTTTGGTAGTTTCTTAAAATATTAAACAGCAATCTATTACTCAGTGTGTACCCAGAAAAAAAATGAAAACACGTCCACACAAAAGCTTGTACACAAATGTTCACAGCAGCATTATTCGTAATAGCCAAAAGGTGGAAAGAACTCAGAAGTCCATCAACTGATGAACAGACAAAATGTGGTTCGTCCATACAACAGAAAATTACTCAGCGACCTAAAGGAATGAAGTATTGATACATGCTACAACATGGAAACACTGTGCTAAGTGAAAGAAGCCAGTCACATAAGGAAAGCAGTATGATTTCACTGATAAGAAATATCCAGAACAGGCAAATCCACAGAGACAGAAAGGATTAGTGGTTGCCAAGGCTGGGGGAGGGAATGGGGAAAAGGAGAGTGACTGCTGATAGGCACAGGGTTTCTTTTAGGGAGACAAAAACGTTCGAAAATTAGATTATTATGACGGTTGTACAATCCTGTGAATACACTAAAAACACTGAATTATACACTTAAAATGGGAACATTGTATGTAAACTCTATCTCAATATAGCTGTTGTAAAAAACATCAAATATAATTTGTAGGCCTTGTGTAGATCCTGATACAAAATGAGTACAAAATGACATTTTTGAGATAATGAGGGAAAATTTAACACGGACTAGGTATTAGATGATACTAAGGAATTATTGCTAATTTAGTCGGGTGTTAAGGTAGATTTTCTGTGTGTCTTGTTTTTAAAAATTTTTTTATTATTGAAAACAATTCTCTATTATTAGAGAAACACCGAAGTACTTACAGGTGAAACAATGTAACGTCTGGGATTTGCTTTAAAATACTGCAGCAAAACAAGAGGGGGGAGGGGCAGGCAAGGGTCCGTTAAGACTTGAATAATGGTGTCCGGTCCATCAGCAAACTACTTCTGCGGGGGAAAGTTGTTACATACATTTCCTGGAATTTCAGGGATCTGGGTCTCAGCATGAGTAGAACACTCCGGCCTCATCAAGAGACCCCAACTCAGTCAGCAGGAAGGATCTAAGAAATATCTAATCAGCAATAGCTTAGATGTTATGACTATCATTAAGCAACTTCAGGGACAAAAAGGAATGATTCAGAGAGAATAGGCAGGTGCCAACAACACGAGGAGGAAACTGAGTCTCAGAGAGGTAAAGACTTAGCTGAGTGAGGTCATAGGACTTGTCAGTAAGGAGCAGTGACCTCTGACCTCCCAGACCACGGGTGGGCCTACCTGGACACACCTGCTTCAGACTGTCTCCCAGGAGCATGTTTAAAATAAGGAAGAAGCATCATGACCACTGCTGTGACACCCGGACAGTAGCTCCTATACACCATCAGCTGAGAGACCCGGCTAAGGTTAGCCAGAGCACCCCAAAGGGGCTCCGCGTCAAGCCTCCTCAGAGCAATGATTGTTACCAGAATGCCAGATGGTGGCAGCAAGTGGCCCAGCAGGGGCAGAACAGGCTGGGCAGCCATGGCAAGAAAGTCCTGTGCTGTGACAAGCTTCCCTGATCCAAACTCAGCCAACCAACCCACCTGAATCTGCCTCATATCCATTCTTTAGTATGTACAAAAACCAACTTCAGAAGGGGCATGAGACGCATTATCCCCAATGTCCAAACAGTGGGTTTTGGGAGAGTTTACAGTATTTTAATATAAGAAGAGTATGCATGTGTGTGTGCATGTGACATGCATTTTCCCCCAGTAAATTAGCCATGAGCACAGTGTCAGCACAAAGTGGGAATGAGCAGGCAGTGTGTCATCAATGTCTGCCAGCCAGCAGTGCAGCAGTTGTTGTTTTGATTATCAAATCCAAGTTTGGAAGGCTCCTAACATCTGGGATGTGTATTCAAGTGAAATCTGTCAGCCTTCTCTGAGTAAACAGGTAAGATTCTCAAACCTGATTGCAAATTTTTCCAATTAAACGAGCTCTGGCCAAGCAAAGTCCCTCCCTCTGCCTCCTTAATCATTCTCACCTTAAAAAGGAAGCCATCTAAAAGCCATGTATTAA